TTAATCAACATCGCAATCATCATTATCATCAACAGAAAGGCATTTACGTCAGCCATCAGCAATGCCGCCGCCAAAATTAATTCAACCTCAGCTTATTTTTTTTCTGCTCAAGATTGGACAGATCTCGCCTTTTTTCGACTTCTTTAATCTATTTTTTGGTATTCGACTATATGAACTGTGATGATCACCCTACGCTTCCTAATACATTCTTGAAGTACTTTTCAAGGCGCTTCCGACGGTGCTAACTGTAATAAGTGTTTTGATTGAAACTATTGAGCAATTCAATAAAATTTGAAATGAGGTTTTTAGCGAAAATAGCCATATTTTGTATATGAAAGCCTCATAACAGTGGTTTCAGAGGTTGCTTTGGATCGAGAAAAACATTTTAATTTGATATATGCCATAGTAAAATTCTTTATTTTCAAGGCGAAAAATGCGATCCTTTGATTTTCGTAAAAAACCATGAGGGGTACCTCATGCTTTTTGGTTGATTTTTGGCCATATTTTTTAGGTTCTCAAAAGGTTGAGCAAAGGTGTCAGAAAGTTACTACTACTCAAGTGCAATTGTTTGGCGTTATTCCGGTGGCTCAGAAAGGCCTACAGGTCAAGATATGAAGGCTTGAAAACTGTCCAATTTGGTTATATTTTGCTTTATGGCGTTTATTTACACGGCATGAACCGCATCTTTAGTAGCTAAAGTCGTCTGGAAGGGCAGTTCTGCAACCTGTGCAGCTTGTAATTTCAACAAGAGACATATTGATTTTGTAAGACTAATACATGCGAATTTTGATGCCCTATGTTGCTGGTAAGCTTATTATTAACAATGCAAATGAGAACCCGAATTTGCTGCTTGAACACTATGGTTGTACACCTTTGCTTGGCTACGGTAAAATCGATTAGGACTAATATTAACAAATGTTGAATTAGATGCAATATCACTACACTTGACGACGGTGTCACTCTGCGGGCTGTCGCCGTAGACATTCCAAATCACTAACAATAATAAACTCTGCTATATATATGTAGATTTTAAACAATCCATTATTAATAAAGAAAGAGAGAAATCGAATTTACTACTTAGATACTACGATTTTGCATATTCGCTTCGCAACAATCAAGCCCTCGTATAGATCAATACTATGAAAGGCTGGGCTGGATTATATGTGAATACAACACGTAGAAAGACATGGCTTACAGATTTACTGAGTTTATTAAAGATGGATGCATTGAATACCCCCCAAAGAGTAGCACGCTTTATTATGTTGCCTTTGTTGCAGAAGCGGGCCCATACTGTTTAATTTTATTAATAGGATGCTATCTATTACACGGCATGAGATAGTAAAAAGATAACATACATGAAAAATTGTTTTTTAATACTATACGATACAATGTTTGCCACAATATTCATTAGATACTGTTTCTCAATCGCTTGATGACCGTGTGGAATATACAAAATAATCCAATCAGACTGTAGATAATAATCTTCATAAACTGCTACTGTAGTGGAATTAGGTTCTCGAAACTTTGTGGTACTATATTCGCTTTTACTATGTCATCGCGTTGTTGAACAGTTCGTAATATATGAATGTTATTTTGAATGTGTATGTTATATCAAATGTCATAGCAAGGTCTCACACTAAAGGTTTTAGGCTATTCTTGGGTCCTTTGGGTAAATCATGCTAATCATGATTTACAAATCAATTGTTGGGTAGATAGTAAACCTATTTGTATTATAGTTCATCATCATGCTGTAAACCCTAGCATAATGAAAAGTATATAAATGCATCCTTGGGATGCATTCTCAATAAAAGTGTAATTCTTTGGCAGATTCAATTTTACATTGTATTTTGACATAACAGTGTACTAGAGCTGATTCGTTTAAAAGTTACTGGCAGATAAATGTAAAATTATCAAAAAGTTTCCGCATAGAATGTTACAAAGTGTTTGTTATTTAATGGTGTTGTGAGTATAAGTAACAGATTTAGATAAATGTATATGTCTCAGCAGTATAAGTGAGAAAAAAAAATAACCTTTATTATTTTTGATATTCATATTAACTATAAAAGTTACTAACAAAGTCTGTGTGCACCTGTGTCGTATGTATAGGTATAGTTTTAGAGTAGACTTAGATAAATGTATATAAAAGAATAGAATTGAGATATAAGATGATCTTTATTGTTTTGCAAACTAAGTTGATATTTATACTAAATTAAAAAAAGTTACACACAAAGTCTGTGTGTACCTGACACCTGACAATGAAAAAAAAAAAAAGGGAGGGGAGCTTGCTTCTTTTATACTGACGCCGAAAGCTCACGTCTGGGCCACACTTCTTTATATAAAGACGCTGATGGTCTCACGTCTGACATATAACTAACATTGAACCCTTATATATGGTGAGAAAATCTTAATATTGTCAAATTGTGGTTTTTCTTAAATATATCACATTTTCATGGGTAAGAATGTAATGAATTGAAAAGTTTGAAATTGATTTGATCGACTTGACTATTCCCAATAACGGAAAATAATTTAGTTAAATTGTAATGGCAGAAGGTTCTTTAGATTATTCCGGTAATATAAGTATTGCTAGTTGCTGACTAGCAAATTCAGAGTGAATTCTTTTGGAGTTGTACTGTATAAACGTGCATTCAACTACTATCAAGGTAAGCTCTAGGCCATGGTATGGTATAGCACCACGGAGGTTTCATATATCGGATACTGGAAAATATGAACACAAAAGCGCCATCGTAGTTAATCAGAGATTAAAGGCTCTTCTTCCCAGAACATGGCGTATCTGATCAAGTGATTTCTTGTTTGCTATTTGGCTATGGATTGCGTGATATGCTGTTTCAAGGCAACACTTGTTGGTATCATTGGCCTTGAGGGGGTTATACCGTAGTCAAACAAAGGTGAATGGCCATGACAATCAAGCATTTAATCCAACTTTTGTTAGCATTAATTTATATAAGGATTTTATCATAGGGAGGCGAAGGTGCAATACCGAAATAGTATTCAAGCATCTAGCCCAATACTTGATAACAGCGATTTTAAAGGTGGTTTTACCGTAGCGAAGCCAAAATGTAAAGTTTTAGTGTTTAAATAGCATATTCGCTTTCTCATTTCCATTATCATTAGCAGGCTTACCGACAACATAATAACGCATCAAAATTTACATGAGTTAGTCTCACCGAAATTGTGGAATACATCCACTATTATCTGCATTCCGACAGTTCATCCAGTTACCAGATTTAGATATAAACTATATGTACACTGGATTTGATGTACAGTACGATATCGATTTATACTATTGATGAATTCGTAATAATAAGTCGATGATAATAATCAGTTGTCAACTGTATCTAAAACGAAAGCAAAGAGCTTCTTTATTACAGGGCATCTAGCTTGCTTAAATATGGTAGATCCCTAGTCAATGACTACTACGTTGAGATGGTATATAAACAGCAGGCCACTGGGGCCTTATGGATTGTTCGTATAGCTTGTTGAGAGGCCACCTAAGTCGATATGTTTCATATAGTGTAGGTAGATCTCGGTATCTTGACATTGGGGAGATTGAATGTATTGTAGTTCCTGAGGCACCTGTGCACACACAATTGACTGGACTTGTAAACATAGATGTGATGTGATACGATAAACATCATCTATGCTGCTACACTGTAAAAGTGGCTTGAGGAGAAAATGAATATAGCCTAAGATGCATGCTTGTATGCAACAATGTTCAGGATAATAGATTGAATCTATTATCCTATCACCCAAATCAACCCATCTAATACCTTATCCTCACATCAGATCCCTCAATTTGAATAGTATATAAACCCTGTTATTTCCAATGTAATAAACGACATTCTTTACCTGATTAATTTCATACTCTTTTTTATAAATAATTTATTTCTAATAAATCACCTATTACGACCATCACGGGTGTGATTGAGTACACTGTGACCAGGAGTGATTCATTCACACGATGTGAGAGATAAGTGTGCATCTTTACTTTAGTATGCTTAAATGGTTATTGATATACATTTGAGCGCTTTTATTAATACATCCAAATAACATGAATTTGAATGAGAACTATTCGATGAATTTTGGTTTTCAATCAAATTGAGTTTGGGTGGCTGTTACATTGCAGGTACATCGCATGTTTGGCGGGACATTTGGTACTGGGAGAACCCTGTACCTAATGTACCGTACTACTGTAGTACCACCTATTATATAACATTCCCTGGAAAATACCGGTACATTTTAAAAAACATTGCTCACATAAAATTATTTACTGGATAATGAACTCAATGATTGCACCTTATATTACTCTTGAATAAAGAAGGATTTAAATTGTTTCTATCTAATTACGCTTTTATCATTACAAACGACAAAATCATGATAAATGACAGATCAACAGAAAACCAACCCGTTGTAAACCGTTTCTCTTTCAACCTCTCAGCCAATCAGATTGCTCAAAAACTCCGCTGACCTAAAAAAAAATTTGCGAGGGTTTCCCTCTGTTTTGATGTGAGGCAAAATTTTAAGCGCCGCTATAATAGCAATATAGCTGTCACTATCATCAAATTTCCCTCAGGTGCTAGAGCATGCCTTACTTACACCACCTAGCTTTAGATTCAGGCGTTGAGACTCTCAATCATCACTAAAGTAAGTAGCGATAACCAAGTGGAGGCAGCCTATCTACCTCCTAGCCTCGGATAAAGTCTTGTTGAGCTTCAGGGATAGGCACATCCACACAACGTAAGAAAGGTATGCTTCAAAAAAATATAATCAAAGAAAAAAGAACACTCACACAAAAAAGTGAGTCAAAAGAAAAGCATAACAAGTACATCATCAAAGATGTTCAGAACAGCTCGTTGTTGTTGCAACAAAATTGCATACATGAACGACGTTCATGGTAGTAATAGTCGGATGTAAAGCAACATGGCACAAATACGCACAACTGCAAAAGCAACAGTGGTATTATAAGTTTGCAATACAACATAATGACTAAGTTTGTTTCATGTGAAGCCACAGAGGAAACACCACCAACGAAAGAAAAAGAAAAAGAAGAAAAAGAAAAAAAGCGCAACAAGGCAAACATCATGAATGCATTATCACGAGAAAGGAAGTAACAAAATAAACGTTCAGAGAAGGTTTATATCATTGCAACCAAAAGAAAGAAGATACTTACCACTTATCACAGCTAGAGATAGACCAGAGGACGAGCATGCATCAAAGACAGTAAACCAGGAAGGACCATATCAGCAGCAGCAGCAGCAGCAACAACACCAGCACCATAGAGAAACCAACGAACGAGACGCCACCAGCAGAGACCAGTCAAAGACCAAAGAAATTGATTACTAAACCTATCACAATCATGGACAGACCAGAAGAGTATAGGCAATCACCAGAGATAGACCAGATAACAAGCATACGGCAAAGACAATAGACCAGGAAGCCCCAGATTATCAACAACACCAGCAGCAACAGCAACAGCAACAGCAACAGCAACACCAGCAGCAAAAACAACAGCGTAGAAAACCCGAAGAACGAGTGGCACCAGAGACCAAACAAAGACTAACGAAGTAGCTGCCAGAGATGGAGGCCAAAGAAGCAGCTACCAGACATAATAAACCATAGAGGCAAACAGCAGAGATAGCAGGGATGTAATGGTAGCAGCACCCTCGTCAAACAGGCAAAAAAATTATCGAAACCTAATAAACATATTTGATTAGTGCTTGTTCTACGTCTTTCTGTGCTCGCTGTCGAACGGTACCTGCTATATTCCACTTCAAAGAAATAGTATCAAGTACTTTTAACAGTGAAAGACCGTGTTATCAGAAGCTAGAATGTTATTTTCAATCAAAAGGGTTCCAAAACCAATGTGGTTTGATACTAAACGCGTTTTTCAAAAAGGGTAAAAAAAAGGAGGATATGGAAAATGAGAGAGCGCCCTATCCAAAGTCACGGCCAGTAGATTTGGTCCCAGTCTTCTGCCGTCGTGGCAGCCGTAACTGCTGCACTTTAATTTGCAATTGTGCAGTGGGTATTTTCGTCTTCAAACTTGACTTGATTTGACATCCTTTGAACGTTTTTGCCAAATTTAACTATAAAAATTGTCGTTGTTACATCAAGCTTCCTAATGGATTTTTGGAGATCTAAAAAAGTTGCATCGAATGGTGCTGATTTCATTCAGCTTTCTGACCGAAAATAATGAGAAATTTGCAAAAATATGAAACAGGTTTTATGTGAATAGGTCAGATTCTACCATATAAACGTTTCATATAAATAGCTTCTAATGCTGCGTTGCATTTTTGCGATCAATTTGGTTCGATATATATCATAGAAAAAGTCGTCATTTTTGGGGTGAAAAACACGATCGTTTTATTTTCAAGAATTTTCCCTTACTAGTACACCTGAAAATCATGAGGATTTTCATGGATTTGCAATGACCTAAAAAAATTTGAGATAAAGTATCAGTAAGTAAAGCGTGGTCAAGGAGGGACGTTTGACCCTATTCCAAGCGTCCACAACGCTTTGTAGCATGTGTTATTTGTGCTTCAAAATGGTCAAATTTGGACAGAATTTGACCAAAAATAAGACGAATTAGATTGTGTTGACAAAGAAGTAAATAAATCGAAACTCGTTCCGATGTCTCTGATGTTCTGCATTGTATGGAACTCAGCACCTAAGCGATCGACGCTTGTATTCTAATTCTGAGGCTCAGGTCTTTCTTTTTGAAATGTGCGAGTACAGTAATTTCGTAACTTGAGCGTCAACGATATTATGCAAATTTGAATCTAACAACTTACTCAGATTGAAAGAGATGCTTATCAGCTTAGCAGGACACTTTTAATGGTTGTCCACAGCAGAGAAGATGCCATATCTAACCGTAAAACTAGACTTAAAGTCTATCCACGATGTTAAATCCTCTTCTTTATTAAGAAATGACTGAAACCGAACAGACTGAGTCGGTGTCAGCACAATTGGGGAAGCAGAGAACGTAATTCCGTATCAAAGTCGAGCGAATAGAGATTCAGGATATCTGCAAATTTTATAATGCAAGATTTGACACCAAGAGATTGTACTGAAATCGTGTTTAAATGGCTTCACGGATCTACACTACCGAGAAGATCAGCTCCAGCCATATTGTCCAAACTCAATCGCTCAAAGCTAAGTTTTGCTACAGTGGCGCATATAAAATTCTTTTTGTATGCCAGCATGATCCATACAACTCCTTGAATTTAGTTCATAGACTTGACCATCACATGTATGTTTCTGTGCTGTTATTAAGGAATTAGGTGCTTTTGCTATTTTTGTGGATTTCATTCAGTCTAATCTGTAGTCCAATAGTTTATCCAGCTACCGGATGAAGATATAAACCGTGTATGCACTGGATTAGATGTGCAATACGGATGTTTGCCATATTTGAATGAATCCCACCAAGATCGATGCAATATGAGCTTAATGCTCTAGATGCGCACTTTATGATCCACATTATGACACATGGTTATATCGGTGATACCTGCTACAGATGCATTATGTATCACATATTGTAATATTAGATATTATATTGCTAATCAAAATGAAACAAAAAATTAAATCTGCCAAAGAATTGCAGTATTATTAAGAAACGTTAGAGTCTGCAGCATAATGATGAACTACAATACAAGTAAATTTACTACTTACCTGTCCAAAGGAGCCAAGAATAGCCGAAGACCTTTGGTACGAAACCTTGATAGGACATTTGATATATCATCATAGTTTCCTTTTTCTATAAATACAAACGATGCTTGGCCTGCACAGCAACATCATAAAAAGGTTGGACCATAAATTGAGCGCATACCTATATGCATGATTACTGCAACGCGAAGGATATATATAGTAGCCAGCAGAATAAATTCTAGTAAGGTAAAATTGAAAGCACTATTATTCACCTTTCCTTATCTAAAGAATACTAGAAATGCACAAGTATCACAAAATCACAGGAGAGATAGCTCAAAACCCTAGCCAGGCGCAGATGCTATGTGGTATGTTCTTATACTTTCTAGCAAGTGGCAATAGAACAAAATAGTTGTGAGTACTCCCCCTTTATCCTTAAGATAGGAGGGCTCCAGTGCTAAACGCAGCATTATATGGGGTAAACAGCATATTTTTATAGTTATAAATTGGGAGCCTCCATTAAAATAGCAATACATTTACATCACCTTTGCATGCATGCAGTTACATGTAGCTGTTGTTTAAGTTTGACTACCGCCATCGATACATTAGCATGGCAATGCATATTGGCGACAGCATCGTTTTTTGATGGAACCCTTGTAGTAAACATACTAGTTGCCTCTCATTTTAAATCGGTTATACTTTAGATTATATCACAATCCACATATGTAACCTTTGTACGTTATCATTTGCAGAGGACATCTCACAACATAAAGTATATATGTAAAGCTTTATTCTTTTGCTATTTTAGAATGTTCAAAGAAACAAGTCGATCTCCTTTGGGTCTGATGGCATTTATACAAATGATACGTCGCTGCTCCTTTTCTTGATGCAAAAAGTAAGGATGGGCTGCAAAGAAAAGGAGCACATCGAGAGAATGAAGGAATTCAGCCCTACTTTACTAGTGAAAACAGTGAAGCGGAGAAGTAACGAGAGCATTCTTTCATGTTCTAAAAATCTGAAAAAAGAAATCTAAGGGTCTTATAGAAGCCATTAAAAAAGGGATCCGTTTGGAGGCGGCGCACATGAACTTTGTATAAAATGGTGGATGTTTGCATGAAAGGGAAAGTTTAGGAGGAGCAAGCATAAACAAAAAAAAAACTGGTTGATGCTGACCTGATAGATATTGCATTTTGATGGATAAAGAAAAACCTATAAAATACTAAACTGAATCATCCTATTGTAAAGAGCACTCAGAGAAGTGGACCCTTTATTTGATACCCTTTAAAATGACAGACATGGCTTTTGCTTATGTCTATAGTGATATTAAAATTTGTTTATTATTTGGTAGAAAATAATAGTTAAAAATATAAAGGCTCCTTTATTTTTCTTTGGGGAGGAGGAGGAAAATCGTCCAAATCATGAGTAGTTACTATAGAAGACTTGTTGCAATGAACAGCAGCAGCAGTGTCTTCTGAAAGCTTCAGTCTACAAATTGCCTTTTTGTATTCGGGTGTGCGAACGAATTTAGGAATTGAATCAGAAGCCATCAGTCTGCAAATCTGATCATTGACTTTATCAAACCAATTTAAAATAGTAGACAGACTTTGAGTAGTGGAGTGGGTTGATATAATAACCATGGGTCGTGATTGTCCAGGAGCAAATGTGTAGACGAGGGTTGTCATATTAGAGATCTCTTCCGCCATGTCTTGTCGTAGGGCATGATCGATATTAAGTTTGCAGTATGCAGTGCCTGGCATGAGATACGTTTCCCACAAGGCGTAAGCTTCTTCAAGTAGCTGCTTCTGATTTTCTATTGACTGGCCTGGGTGTCGTCTGCATTTCCGATGTAAATTATCATGGTCAATCCAAAAGTCCAAATTCTCTGTGCAATAGTTTAATTCAAGGAAGTTGTGGAACAATGAACAGAAACGAGCATCCTTCAGAACCATCTTGAGTTTGATGTGATTGCTTTCGTTTGGATTGATAGTGTCAGTGGGTGTCGTAGGAGTGGGCGGTGGTGCGTTATAGTATATGTGATGCGTGTTGCTATTTAGATGCTTGATATCGAAATATGATATTGTGTTGTTATTACAGAGAGGGGTTGATATGGTGCTACTATAACTGCTGCTACTATTAGACGTTGTCTGCAGTAACGGTAAAAGCAGCGCTTTAGATTTTTGATGTTGAAAATGGTGCCTCTATTTTTCCTCGATTAGAGATTGGTGCTGAACAGCAGTGTGATATGAATCTGTGTTGCTATTCGATGATGATGATATAGTAGAGCCTCTCCTATTAATGGATAGATGATCGTCCACAGTCTGCTGTAGCACGTCATTGCATTGCTTCAATGAAACGTCCATGACTACTTTAATGCCTTCCCTAGTCATGTTGAGAGTGATTGATTTAGATGATTCGATATATTCAGAATGTCTGTATTTTTCATCATAAAATGTTATCCAACCCATGTTTAAGAATTCCGTCATAATACTTTCAGCCTCATCATTTGATGCTACAGTACAAAATTCAATCAACCAGTTGCAGCATAAGAGAGATGTGAATATAGCCCGCATTTTGAATTTTCTTGATGATGGACTCAAATTTTGTAGTAATGCCTTTTGTTGCTGAAACGATGATTTCTGATTTGACCACTGCGGATACTTGTAACTGACACCGACCAACAGATCATTAGGCAGTATCTTGATATAAGGGAAGTAGTCTGAAAATATCATGTTTCGAGATGCCGAGTTGGTAGAGCCAAAGTCAGACGAGTGGATGGAATGTGCATCTTCAGATGTAGTTTTGCCTACATTAAAGTAATTGTGGCGTAGAGGCAAACTAGCAATCATGATGGTAAACAGGCACGAAATATACTTTCGTTTGTTATTGATTCTATCATTGTCTCGTAATCGCTCGATCTGGATCAAGAATATAAGTCTGGCTGAGGGGTCAACATAAGCAGCAAATTTGCCAATATCCATTTTAGTCTTGACACAGAATTCTTGAAACACACAGAGGCCCTTTGAACTAAGACGCCAGAGGCCCTTATCTCGGTAAGTTCTATTTGAGGGCTCCACCGCATTGATGATGAGACGGGTCCACAGAAACTGCTGGATCAAGGCCTTTGCCATGTCTCGACACATTTGAAAAGTTGTGGTCGAAATGACTTCATTTGTGTACTCTGTTGATTCGAATGATTTGGTGAATTTGAATGTGCCCAGTTCCTGAATAGCGTCTTCAGATGTGAATGTGTTACTGTAATTTCTAAACATGTATCGATGAGTCGAAAAAGAGATATGGGATATCAATGCAGAGAACAAATCATGGGTGTCCTAATGCGAAAGAATCAATAAAAATAATTTCTGTAGCAAATCGAGATATTTTACTTCAATACTTGGACGCCCATCAATGGTGAACTTCAAAATGGAGGTGTAGGGTAAAGGTGAAATGGTGGAATATCCCATGTTTTAGATGATGATAAGAAAAAGTGAGAAATAGAAAGAAAAACCAAAGGGAGATTGAGAAGAAAAGGGTACTTTATATGCCATCAGATAATAGCAATTTTAACTTTTACATGATAACTTTACCTAGAGTATACAACGATGAATCATCATTGACTCGAAAAAATGGGAAAAAAGGAGGGTGAGATTTCCGCATTATACTTTGAAAGGGGGAGCACCTCTCTCTCTGAGGGTGGTTACCAAGCTATATCATCCCAAATTGAGTTGACAAGAAATAAACTTTTTCTGTCTGTTTGTTTGTTTCTTAGTGATACGCTTGGCAGGTTCAGGGTTTATTTTCGTGATTTGGTCGATCTTACAGTACATACAAATTTGATGCGCACACACAGACAGATAAATACAAATGTATACATCCATAAATTCGAAAAATGGTGGCTCATACATGCATGCCTACATGCATTACATCTCATAGATATTTATATATAATTGTCTAATATACGGTTTTGCTTCCCACCTCCTCCTCCTGGTTTCTTCTTCTCCTGCCTCCTTATTCACCTGGACGTAATGTGTTCAACTCCCAAATGGTCACTCTCCCCCTCCCCCCCCCCAAATCGAGGCTCGCCCCTTCTCATCCTGTCTATCGTTTATAGTAGTGAGCTTGGACAGCCAAATCAAAGATATCTCTTCACTTGCAGTTCAAGGAGGTGTTTTTGTTATATGGGATAGTGTTGTTTGTGGTTGGAGTAGCCATTCATTTGGTGTGTGTTGTGCAAAACTATTCAGTTTCTGTGTATTCGCCGTTGGGGATGGGGCTGAATCAAATCACCTCCTGAGCCTGCTTTTCTCTCTCTTTACAAGAAAGTTGAAAGCTATCCAGTTCATTGCATAAACCTGTGTGTATATGAGTGTCATGTCCGTTTGTACATGGTCATACAGACAAAAATTCCAATGGCTGCATCATTCGTTTGTTTGGTCTGCCTGCGTTATGGACTGATAGCAAGCAGGCAAACAGGCAGATATAGACATCAAACTAAAGTTTACCTCGTGCGAGTACTATTCTTTAATGCACATAGGAAAATGACGTACGTAAATCATGCTAACATTTAGACGTTTGTGATTTTAAATTGATATCTTGACAAAAAGGCTAAATGCTTATATAATTCACTCTACGGAAGCGATCGCCTATGGTCGTATAGCATGTATAACTTTTTATATTAAAGCGATCGATTGTAAATAGACACGCATAAATACTCTCCTAGGTTCTGAATTAAATCGGGTAATTATTTGTATTTTATTCATATGAAATTGGGGAGATGACATATAAAGTATACCCATTTAATGTGGGGGGTTAGAAACGAAGGGAGTGGACGATGAATGCAATTAAGCCTTGTCAAAGACAGCAATGGCAGCTTCAGCTGTCGAGTGAGCAGAAGCGGGATTAGCGCCGGTAACGACCCTGCCATCTGTCTTGTTGAAATCGGCAAATGGTGTAGGTGGAGCTACATAAGTAGCACCAACAGAGGCAGCACCTTCCTCAATGGTGGGGACCTTGTCTTGCTTGATCTTGTCCAAGACACTCAATTGTACCTCACCTTCGGTAGTGAATCCAGTGACAGTCTTACCGTTGATGATAGATTTGCCGTCTTCTCCCTTGATACCAGGTAAAATAGCAGGACCATGACATACCGCAGAGACAACGCCTCCGCGTTTATAGATATCCTCGGCGATAGACTGAAGACCTCGTGCAGAGGGGTAGTCGTAAAGAGAGGCGTGACCTAAGTTCACAGAGGTTATTGATCAATTACGCGAAAATTGACCATCCAACTAACTTACCTGCACTAGCAAAGAACAAACCATATTGCTTTGCATCCAAATCAGAGGCCTTGTGAAGATGCTTGTTCAAAAGCACGTTAAAGGGATGGTTTGCATCTTTCAGGATCTTTTCATCTTCATCAGTGAGAAACTGCTTTTCAGTAGAATGTTCGTCCATGCCGTAGGTGCCAGTTTCAGTGGCAAGGTCTACTTCAAATCCTGCTTTCTTAAGGGCTTGATAAGGGTGAAGTGCTTCAGTATAGAATAAGCCTGTCTTGGTGCCATCAGCATAGAAAGGTTCATTGTAGCTTGAAATAGCGATCAAAGCTTTGCGTGGAAGAGAGGACATATTGTTAGTTTTGTTTTTAGATAGATGTGAGTGTGTGAGTAAAATGAAATGAAGGAAAAACGTGAAACGGATAGCTTCTTTTATATGTTCGATCCCAGTATTGCTAGTGCGCCAATACAAACAACATTCTGCATAAATGGCAAATGTGTACGCGCATTAGGATTGCTATTTATGGGGGGGGGGGAAAGCACTGCTTGAACGCATTAATAATCAAACATGGAAACACTTTCAAGCTGACAAATGCTATATAAACATGTATTGCTTACCAAGATATACATTGATTATGGCTGATATGTGAATTCTAGATACGTCATTATACCGTGTATTAGACCCATTCATACATTGAAACAACATCCCAAGCGAAACACTTCCCAATGAGACATTCCTGTCACTTAATCGCGAAAAGTCTGCTACATGTGTTTCAACAATTGAGACATTTGAACATATAAATCTGTAAAAATCTTTCGATTTTCTTGAAACGTCATTCCTCTTGTTGCGTCGATCTTCGAAACGTATACAGTAGTATCGTCACTGTGTTACAAGATTCAAATACAATGTTACAAGCAGCATCGATATTTGGGCTAAGCAGAATTCGGCGAGTAAACATGTCCCATATTTTGGCAAGACATGGACCACATTATGCAGCAGGATTCTTAGGTTCGCTCCGTTTCAATCATCGCAATAAATCTCCAAGCATTATAAGCATTACAAGTATATTTAACACAAAAATGAAGCATTTTTATTAAAAATCGACGAGTACACACGTAAATTATGATTTCGAAGACTGATCAAGCAAAAAGTTACTAGCTTTTTCTAAATCCTGGTCGTATCTATTTAAAGCGTCTTTGGCTTCTTGTTCATTGAATCCCATTTTGACCAATTCCTCAATCTTGTCGCCTACGATGCCAATAGAATGAATGGGCGATTTTGTCGCTGTGACGGGAGATGGAGAAGCAGAGGAGGCATTAGCAGGTTGCTTGCCCTTGGAAGAAGTTACCACAGGAGATTGCTTGCCGAAATCATCGCCAAAGCTGGAGAACGCATCATCAAAGCCGTTATTATGAGTGTTTGTAGTGGTAGTAGCAGGCGCGGATGGGGACGTTTGATCGTTTGATGTGGCAGGTGCTGTGGCAGGTGCTGTGGCAACAGATCCAAAGATGGAATCCCAATCATCGTCATTGGCCGCTGTAGTTGCGGCAGCAGAAGCAGGCTTTTGAGATACGGTCTCTTGACCAGGGAAATTGAATCCACCAAAGCTAGATGCCCAATTGTCGTTGGTGGCAGCAGAAGTAGAAGCAGGGGTGGGCGAGGCGGGCACTGCGGTGGATGCCTGTTGCTGCTGTTGTGGTTGTGTGCTGGCAGCATTTGGCTTGGTATCAAACGCGCTAAAGGCATCATCAAAATCTGCAAAATCATCCTCGTCATCATTCTCTTTGGTAACCACCTTGGCCTCAGGTAAATTGCCTAAAAATGCAGCCTCAAAATCATCTTCATCCGAATTCTCTTGAATTTGTGTAGGTGTTTGTTGAGCTGCCATGGCAGGAGGTGGTGGGGGAGGAGCACGTTGCTTTTTAGATATAGTAGAGGGAGAGGTAGCAGAATTGACAGAACTGACGCTCTCAGAGGGCTGTCTATGATGTCTGCTTTGTGGAGGTGGAGGAGGTGGACCACGTGATGATTTTGCGGTGGAAGGTGTTGTTGGTGTGCCAGCAGTAGCCGTGGTAGCCCAGGCAGTGGAATCGAATGCATTAACAGGAGCTGTGGCGATGGAGGTAGTAGGGCTGCTCATGTTACCAAAGATGGCATCAAAATCATCGCTGCTTGTAGTACCCGTGGCATGGGTGGTGGTGGCGGCAGGAGAGAATGCCTCAAATGGACTAGCTGAAGAAGCAAAAGGAGATGTAGCTGACTTGGGCGCAGGGGACTCGCTAAACAAATTGTGGAGAGCAGGAGTAGATACGACGGAGGGTGTCGGTTCGGGGCTTGTTGCCATGGCAACAGAAGGCTGATCCGTGTTGGCAGTAGCAGGATCTTGTTTGGAATCGGCGAAAATAGATTCGTCTTCATCTGTGTCGTTCTCTGTGCTAACATCATCTTCCTCAGCGTTCAGATTACCCGCAGTCTTGTAGTCTTCCAAATGGCGTTTCGCTTGAGCACGATCCTGTTCAGCAGCAGTAACTTGGCGTCTATTGATATCCAGCATCATGCTTTGTTGCTTTGTTTGAGCTCTCATTTTCTCCAGTTCAGCAGTAGCAGCATTTGTCTCTTGTTGAATCTCGTTGACTCGACGACGCAAACTCTCTGTCTCTGCACGTCCGTTCTCCAGCGTTTGTTGAGCCTGGGCAATCTCATTCTGCAGTGCAGTGAGCTGCTGCTGAGCAGTATCGTATTCAGCACGCACTTGATCCCACTCGCCCTCTTCACGGCGCACTGTTTCCTGAATTTCGTTCAAATCTTTAACGGCAGTTTCATGCGACATGCGAACGTTGGTCAATTGAGCCTCTAAATCCTTCTTTTGCTTGATCAGTTGTTCCAACACGCTCTCTGTAGACTGTTTCTTGTTGACAAGATCGTTCGTTTGTGTGGACAGGGATGAAATCTGGTTTTGCATCAAATTGACTTGATTTGTTTCGTTGGATACTTGATCGTTACCGAAATCGCCCAGCAAATCGTTGGTGTTGCTGTCGTCTATCAGGGAGCGAGAATGTTGAGGTGTTTGCTTTTGCGGTGCAGGCGAAGCAGCAAATACAGCAGGACTAGCAGATGCAAAAGCGGGTGAGTTGCCGAAAGGGGATTGCAATGGAGGTTGCTGTGTGTTGGAGGGAGGAATCAGTGTCTTTGGTAATGACGCAGGTAATTGTTCGCCTGCCAATCTCTTGTGAATCAAATGCATTGCTACAGCGAATTCGTCTCTGGACAAGGCACCTCGTTGCTGAATATCTGCCAGATCCCAAATATGGGCTAAATCCGTCTCTGGCAGTCTAGAGTTCTTGAAAAACTCGACAGCCTCTTTGCCCTGAATAGCACCGGCCCCGTTAGAATCGATTTTGTCGAAATAAGCATCAAACTGCTGCTTTTCCTGGGCCGACACATCCCACTGTTGCACAGGGTCGTGAATAGCAGACGAAGGACCAAAGGCCAAGTTGCCAAGAGAATCAATGGTTCTTGCACGCTGTGGTGGTGTCATGATACTCTGCTGACGAGCGTTGTGGAAGGAAGGCGAACTGATAGACATGTTGCGCATCATGGGTGATTGTGTCGTGGCTGTTGTCAGTAAGTCTGATTGAGCAGACTGATATACAGCAGGAGGAAGTTTATCGGGTAAACTAGAGAGTGTCCCATCCATTAACTTGGCAATGTAGTGCATGGCAATAATAAATTCAGTTTGATTCAATGAGCCTGATTGGCGCACATCGGCCAAGTACCTAATATCATGGCGGGGTCAGTGTGTGTGCGTGTATATAACCACAGTATCCACCTTGCTTTAATTTACCATATTTGACTTAGGGTCTCCATGGACAACTTGGACTTTATAAATACATTGCGTGCTGTGTTGGCATCCAGTACACCATTGACAGGCTGATGGACTTTGAAGATGTTGGCATACTTTTCGCGTTCTGCGCTAGTGATGGGTGTAGATGCTGCTGCTGCTGCTCCTGCTGTCGATGGAGTTGCCAAAGGTGTGGAGGTGTGGGATACAAGAGGACTGGGTGCTACAGCGCCATCAAACTGAGGCAAAGGAACGACTGATAGGACCATTAGTTTCAAGCCTATAATTCTTGCGCCTGCCACTCACCTGTAGATAATACGTTGGCATTGGCTTCTTTTCCATGTTGAGCACATGCAATCAACTTGAGGGCAATTGAAAAAGCCTCTGGTGTCAAGTAGCCTACCTTGTCACGATCAGCAGCCTCCCAGATCTAGTAGTAGCCCGAGTGAGCTCGTTGTATCCAACTCAATGCACAACCGTGCTTACCTCTGACAGTATTTGGTTGGGGACACCCGAAGTAGCAAAGAAACGAACGGCTTCAGCGCCTGTAACGATGCCTTCCTGCTGCTTACTTACAAACTGAAATAATTGAGTAAAGTATTTGTATTCTTGAGATGAAAGTTGCGATTCCCAAGCAGACATCTTGTAGTAGTCGTTTTATAGGAGAAGAAAGAAAGAAAGAGGGAAAAAAAAAGGGAGTAGCACAGAGCCCTTCGGTTAAATTACACACACAATGAGAGAAACAAAACTGTTGTTTTTATTGGTTTAATTTAAGCACCAACATGGAGCTGACGAGTAAAATCATCTGATAGTTGATCAGCATTGGAAGCAACATTAGCATTGTTCATGCGAGAGGCAAAGTTCTTGCCAGGTTCAGGACCTCGTGGTTGACGAATGGGATGGATAATGTTGCTGTTGGAAGAAAGGTCTGGAGCTGTTGTGCTAGTGCTCCTAGAGATAGTGTCAGCAAAAGAGCGTTCTCAAACAAGCTATTCACTTACATCATGGACTTTCTGTAATTATCTCTCTTATTGGGGTCATTATTGCCAGCCATGTTCAATCGCTCACGACTGGGGCTTGATTTCAAGGTGCCTCTGGAGTTCTTGTGCTGAAGTCTGACAATGGGAGCAGGAACGGATCCTCTCTTTTCGATCAAAACTTGTCGATCAGCACCAAATCCTTCAGAATAGTGAGCAAGGCCCAATCTATCAGCAATCAAATGAGCATCTCTGCGCTCTTTGGCAGAGAGTGTCTTTGGCAGAGCAATTTCAGTGCTGTTGGGATCTCCACGGAACAGTAACAGAAAGCTATATAACTCCAATACATTGGGATCGTTCAAATCCAGGGTATCTGGTGGGCTGTGTTAGCTCTTATAATGTTAGGCGTCATGCGCACTCACCATCATCTGGATTGTTGTTGTTTGGTAATCTGCGTTCAGTCTGTAAAGGTGATCCAGGTTGAGATACAGAGGCATCTCTCTCCTTCTTTCGAATGTCATTAGTGTTTGTGTCCATCATGTTGGGTAGCATTTTTTTGTATTCTACACGCAATTTGCGACCCCCTATTTCCAGTCCATTAATTGTATTGACTACAATTTCTGTCTCTTCAGGAGTCTTGTAATTAGCAAAAGCAAGGCCACGGAACACACCATTATCAAAGTGGTAGTTGAAGGCATAAGCAGCTGGCACATCCATAGAAGCCTGCAGCGCAATTGTATCAGTCGTTCATCCTCTCACAGAGTAATGTGATATGTGCTTACCAATTTGCTCAAGAGAGCATCCTTCTTTACAGAAAATGGGATGTTTTTAATGACAATGGCTGTAGGAATAATCTGGTCATCGTCGTCGTTGCGGTTGTAGCCCGTGGGAGATACAGGGCGAGACGATGGGCGGGATGAGGGACGAGAGGAAGGACGAGAATTAGGCAAGCTAATCGTGGCATCCTATGTGGAGACATGAGTATCTCTGTCTGTTGTAACGCCACTGTCATGCCATTGTTTACCTTGCTATTGCTCTTGCGGACCCTTCTCAAGGAAGAAGGTCGAGACAGAGGAGAGTTGCTATTTGTATCAGCCATATGAAGAAAGTGTTGTTGGTCGTTATGTAAATGTGTGTGTGGTATGTTGATAAGAAGGAGAGAGGGCGAAGATGGTGATGATGGAGGTGGGGAGAGGAGGAGGGAGGAGGAAGGTGAAGAGAACAGAGAGATTGGACAAGGGAAAAAGAAGCTTTTTTTTTTTAGTCAACAGCAAAAAAGAGGCTTTTAAACATTGCCCCACTTTTTCACGGAGATTGGTGTATCTAATTAAACAATCAAATTTTAACCTTGTTGCCTTTGGTCCACACACAGGGCGCTTTCTGAAACAAAATGGCATGATGATTTGCTGCTATTTCACTCAGAACTAGACATGACATCTCGATACAGGTATCTATCAACGAAGATGAAACGCTGATGCTGTTGAGATCAAGGGATCAGGCTGCTGAGAGAGTTTGAAACCAGCCTATCATCATAGTGAATAGCAAGAGCAACCAAATGCATGGTTACACACTTTATGGCAGGGCACAGCGTTTGTATACGCCATCAAAGGCTGTCTGCTTGTATGAACTGGGACAATATGACTGGAGCAGCATATAGCATGCTACCCTCTATACCATAATGGCCTGCTGCCATCATACATCTCATCGGTTAATTTCTCGTTCTGCCAAGGGTGAATGTGATTGGACTGCCGAAATGCCTCGAGATGTTCGTCTTGCGGTTTGCATATTCTAAACATTTTTCCTCTTTTTCCCTTTCTTCCTCTCAACAACGCAATGACAGAATTCCATGCTGTTACCGCTGGTGTCCCACAGAATGTAAGCTGAATCTCGCTGAAAAAGAGCAGCGTGTCCAACACACGATATAGGTATTTACACTGCCAACGCCAACGGACATCACCTTGACACCGTTCTGGACTACCATACTGCAAAAAGACAACTTTCTACTGCAACGATCCTCTTCACCAGGAAACCATCTATTTCGAAACCTAGTGAGCACCATTGCCAACGTGTAACGTACTGGTCTATGTGCTCGTCACCTAGTTTACTGACTACATCCTACAGCTTTGACACGAAACTACCGCCATTTCGCATCTTGTTTCAAAGAGAGGTGAACACCATGTGCCTTCAAATAGCAGTAGGCGAAACAGAAAAGGCAATTGATGCGGCGTGGTTTTGGATAGAGAAAAACATGATGCCCGAATTGGAGACCATTGGTCATCCATTGGACAAAGAGAGATGGGTGTCTGAAAAGATCAACATGATTGTCACTGAAATAGGTAAAAGATGAAAGCAATTACTGCCCACAAAAACTCACTTTTACGGTAAAAAGAATCTGGCACAGACGAGTTGTCATCTGACGAGAATGTACGAAATGCCTCCAGGACATTTAGACAAATATTCGACATTCCGCATTCTGAACGGTTTGTGAGCTGTAAGTGGCCAAGTTGGAAGAATGGCATATGTATCCATTGACAACGAGGCTTTAGATTATTCATGCGCTTACAAATCGAGACAAGGTTGGCTGTACATTAGCGAAAACTACATTGGATTTCATTCGTATATCCTGGGAGTAGAGACAAAGGAATTGATCGAGTTAAAGGAGATCCAGGAGATTAAAAAGGAAAAATCAAAGGGCATTTTCGATGATAGCTTACGACTGATCACCAAAGACAAGCAAGAGTACTATTTATCCAACATGTTTAAGAGAGACGAAGTGTATGATTTGTTGGTGCAACTGACGGGACAAGCAATGCAGCGATGGCTCAAGAATGCTGGCGGTGATGCACCAGGCCAGTCGACCGACGCAGCATTCACAGCTGCCGAAATAAGCAAAAAACACAGCACACAGCAAACCCATCGTCTGCTGGCTGACGGCGGTAGATCGTCTCATCATCAGCTAGTGAGCCCCTTAAAACAAGACCTCGCAGCACAAAAGAGAAACAACAATTACTGCTTTCGATTCAGACTTCCAGCAGATCAATACCTCATCAGTGGATTGAATGCTACTTATTCCAAAGACGCAGCTGCGGACCGAGACCCTCACTTTCTATCGCAAGTACCCCCTGGCGTGGTGCATTTGATAGGAAGAGTATACCTATCACAGACGTTTCTTACATTCGAATCAGAGGAGAGATTGCCAGCACCACAACACAGCTTGCCAATCTGCAAGGCAGTATTTCCGTTATATACTATCAAGCGTGTGGAGAGATTGAACAAAGGGGCCTATACATCAGGTGTAGCTATTACGACTTGTCACAAAATGGTGCACGATTTCTTTCTGCATGTAAGCTGGATGTGATTACTCTCAATGCACACTGCTAATGTATCCACATCACGTAGGCAGAGAAAAACGCATGCGAGCAGTTTTGTGAGACACTCAAAGACCTGCTTTTAAAGCAAATTCCCTTGTTCAAAAAGGTCAAGCCTTTCATGGCTTCATGCGAGTCTGAGCAGATATTCCAAACTGACAATTTGATTGACACACGAGTGCATATTGGGGGTCTTGGCTTGGAATTTGGCTATCCTGAAAACTCGAAAAAGTCCAAAGACAAGAGCAAAACCAAATTATGGAAGCTGTATTTTCAAGAGAACGGTCGAAACTTGGCCATGACCAAATTGCCCACATTTGGCAAGCTAGTGCGCGTAGGTTTGCCCAATTCTCTTAGAGGCGAGATCTGGGAAGCGTCGTCGGGTGCCATGTACTTGCGATTTGCTAACCAAGGGCTCTATCAAGAGATACTGGAGAAATACAAGGATCAAAGATCTACGTCCACAGAAGAAATTGAAAAGGACTTGAACAGATCGCTTCCCGAGTATCCAGGCTACCAGTCTCCTGAGGGTATCAATCGTCTGCGTAGAGTGCTGACAGCCTATGCTTGGAACAATCCCGAGTTGGGGTATTGTCAAGCCATGAACATTGTGGTGTCTGCATTGCTGATCTATACTACCGAAGAACAGGCATTCTGGATACTGCATATTTTGGTGGATCGATTCTTCCCAGGCTACTACAGCACCAATATGTACGGTGCCCTGCTTGATCAGATCACATTTGAGCAGCTGGTAGAGAAGACCATGCCCATATTGTGGAACCATTTCAAGCGCACCAATGTAGAATTGTCGGTTGCCTGCTTGCCTTGGTTTTTGAGTTTGTACATCAATTCAATGCCTCTGGAATTCGCAGTGAGAGTCTTGGATATCTTGTTCATGGAGGGCCCTCGTATTTTGTTTCAGATCGGGTAAGTGGAATCAGTATCGACGCATGGAAGTGTACAAAAGAAACTAATACCACGATAGGCTAGGTAAAGGATGCAAATGGTACCAATAGAATATACATGCCTAATCATTTATATGTACAGCCATTCTAAAGGTCAACGGTGAAGAGCTTTTAGAGACAAGAGACGATGGTGGATTTTTAGATATCTTTAAAGCGTTTTTTCAATCAATTGGCCACAAGGAGCAAGTTGACAATGGAGATCAACACATCAAGATAACTGTAAGTTACCTATAATTGTCATCAAAGACATATTGCTTACATGTTTTACGACAGAAATTTAACGAAGTGATGATCACTGCTGTAAGTGCCACTATCCAAGCAGCTTTGGGGACAGTCCATGTCTTAACCTGTTGTCTTTAGTATCGTGAATTTTCATTAGTGACCAACGAAATGATCATTGAACTTCGTAACCAGAACCAACTCAAGGTCGGCGCAGGCATCGAGTCATTCACCAAACGAACTGTGATCCGTAATCTAAAAGACACTGCCATGTTTAGTAAGGAAGACGTGGCTATTCTCTATGACAAGTATTTCGGTGCACTGTATTATGCAAGCCATGAAGCCAATAGCAACACCAAAACAGACTCAAAAATGAACAGAGAGGTGTTCCAAGGCATGCTCGCTTCCATGACCGTATGGGCAAAAGTCAAACAAAATACAGACAATGCAGATGTCAATGCCGCAAACAATGTCTGCAATAGCTTCATTGACCGCATGTATCGCTTATTTGCAGAGAATGCGCCGGATAACTTGCTAGATTTCCAAATGGTGATTTTGGGTATGAATGAGATTCTGCACGGGGTAAGTGGTTGCTATGCATTGGAGGATGGGCTTGGGCGATATTTAAACATTGGTGCACTATAGGATCTTATGTCGCATATGGATTGGTTCTTTCAACTCTACGATCAAGATAAAGACAACGTCCTCACGAGCCAGGACATTATCAACATGAGTAAAGAGCTGTACTGGTTGCTCAGTATACTGAAAGACACAGATATCGCTTGGGACGCTGTCACCAGTCTCGTCGTTCATAGCTGTGAACAGTCTGATCTTGCCAAGGGAGGACAGCCGGATGAAGCCACGCTGACGCATCGACTCGCAGATCTCACCATGACTGCAGATGGCGTCTCGTTTCATGGGCGCATCAGGCAATTGGAGAACTCTATCTTGGCCGACCTCATTGATATTACTATACCCTCCTTTCGCATGGTTGTCTTGACAAATGAGTCTCTAGAGATGCTGTTTGATCATGGATTTGCAGACAGTTTCAAGGTGGTGAAATCAGCCATGGATCGTCAAAAGAGCTTGGGCCGTGAAGTGTTTGAAAACTTGTTTGCGGATGGTCAAAAGCTTGCAAAGGGAGTGTCTCATGGTCCATCGCCTACGCTATCAAGCCCCACATCAGCTACAACAACAACGACATCGAGAAATAGATCGCCTTCGTCTGCGTCTACCATGTCCATGGATAAGAAGGCCAAGGAAGATGCTGAAGTGGATACGCTTATGGATGAGTGGGATCATTTTGATATTTAAAGCTTTGGTAATAAACTGCTACAAGCAAGGTGCCTTATACCGTCAATATACTACATCAAATAATATCGAAAAGATTCTCATCGTTTGGATTAATTGGGATACTACCACCACGACACTTCCCTCTACTTGATATCAATCAGATATAAGAAAGATTCAAAAAAAAAATAGAAAAGAAAAGTACTATGCTATAGTGCCTTTTGCATTCGTATTTCCCTTCCTATTAATAGCGATGAAAACATCGACTATCATCATGGGAAAAACATTTGGGCAGCCAAAATTATTTCAGACTCAGAAAATACTTTGTGCTCCAGATTGGCCAGATTTTGATTAGAATCGACCTAATTTATCTATCTTGAACAAATCGACTATGTGAATTGCCATGATCATGCCATACTCCCATATGCTTTTTAGGAGTACTTTTTAAGGCGCATCCAACGGTGCTAATTACAATAGATGTTTTGAACAAACTTATAGAGCAATTTTGCCAAATATGAAATGAGGTTTATGGTCAAAATGTCGAGAAATTACATATGAAAGCTTCTCAAAAAAAGGCTTCAGGGGCTGCTTTGGGTCGAGACAAACATTTTGATCTTATATATGCTATAGTAGAAATCTTCGTTTTTGATGTCAAAAACGTGATCGTTTGATTTTTGATGAAAACTATGAGGTATCCCTCATGGTTTAGAGTCGATTTTCGGCCATCCCAAAAAAAATTGCGCAAAGGTGCCAGAAAGTAACTACTAAACGAGAACAATTGTTTGGTGCAATTCCGGCGGTCCAAAACGGCTTCTAACGCGAGAAAACACGGTTCAAATACACCCAAGTTTTGCTGTATTTTGCATAGATTCGGGCAGTAAGAGGTAATATCACTATACTGTCTGTCCGTATGCGCATCGTTCTCATTGATACGGACTTGGAGCATTGTAAAACAGTTAGATCTACAGCAATATAGGCCCTTCAGGTGATGATGAAAGGTGAAAAAAGCCAAAACTGTAACAGGTCAGTGGCAAATGGACTCCTTTTTATTCGTCTAAGCAAAACGTCTGATCGTCTTGCTGGACATATCGTGTACGGCGTATCATATGGCATATAAATAGAGACCAAAGATGGGGAGAGTCATCCTGATTCTGGCAGAGGAGGTGTATTCAGCACGGAAGCAAAGGCCAAGGAATACAGGGAGGGCCACGTTTAAGAACTGTATTGGATACAAATGGATGTATAGTATAAATTTGAGAATAGGGACGACGGATACCCTATTCCACCGAGAAACGACGAATTCAACCGTTGCTGTGTTGAAGAAGACAAGATCATCAAATTTGGATCAGTCTTGCTCGAATTTTTACAATATGAAAAGATGCATATAGACAACGCTGTGCGTGCGCCAGAGGAGACAAGCAGCATGAAGTACAAGGCATAGGTCGATACTATACGCCTGAAATTATTATTTTTACGATCCATTTACAACGGGCAACACTATATACAGTATAGTTTTGAAATAAAATCAAGGGGTGTAGACATGTCGTTTACGAGACTGGAGCCATATGTAATGCTTTGGCCAAGAGATGAGGTATTTAATAAAGGCATCCTAGAGAGATGCTATACTTTGTTCTTTTAGTATTAAAGCAGTTTACATTCTTTTGGTGGGAAACTTTCTCTTTGCATCCAAGAAATGTAATTAGGAAAATGCTTGCCTCCTTGCTGAAAGTGCCTGAATCAATGGCAATGTCGATGAAACTGGATCCTTGGCCAAATTTAATGCGTGTAATGGCAGAGCAAAGCTGCTCTATCATCTGGTAGTGGGCAATGAACTCAGAGATGGAAAGAGACGAGTTTCGCGACAATTCACGAATTCGCGGTTTTATTTTTTTCCTCTTTTCTTTTACAAACAATTTTAATATGGCATCCTCCAAACTTGTATATAAGGACAAATTCGAAAAGAATGCTTACGCACTAGTTGAACTTGGCACGCCTGAGCTGTTGGAAGCATTTGAATCGGGTATAGAGTAAGCAATAAAAACTACAACACATCTGTTTGAATCTTGTTCTAATCCACTGGCTAGTATTGTTATTAAAGGCTTGGCAGACGATGAAGCCGTGCTATGTACAGAGTCCAAAACATACATTGTGCGACAAGTGAATACATCAAATTCGCTTCTATTGACCACCAAGGATCCCATGTCAAACCAGCATATCGTGCACGACGATATGTCGAGTACAATTGAACTGCTGCCCTGTATTGCTCGACTCAATCGTATCGACGAGCTCTTGAAGGAGTCAAGCTATTCTGGATCCGAGAACGAACGAGATGTCATTAACAATAAGGTATGTGATCTATAAGGCATGTGTATTTGCGGTTGTTCATTCTGATTCCAGACCCTGTACACATATTTCGACCTACTATCTGTTGTGCAAGCGAGTGAAAACGAATTGTTGGACGGTTTGAAAGCAAGAGCAGCATTCCAAATCGATGGATATTACAGATTATTCGACCAAAGCTACTTGTATCATTTGTTTGATCTGTTTGTCACCAATGCGAGTGTGCACAGCTACGACTTTAAGCAGATGACGCTTGCACAAGCCAAACTGTGTATCACTGAGGAGATGAACGCAGTCGATCAGGAAGACAGCATCCCAGATCAGGTTGTCATTGCCTGTATAAATGCATTTGTCACTGAGCATGTGGATATCAACGACCAAGATAAAATACTAGAGTTTGATAACGCAAAGATTTGTCGATTTTTGGGCCAGTGGCTGTTGAGTAATCCTCGAGTAAGTGGGTTTAGCACAGGATGGCAACTGCTGGATGAGCACAGACTGACAGCATTCTACAGAACAAGCGTTGGGAACTAAATGACTTTCTCGACATGTGGAACAAGCTTGGCTACGACATCTTTATACCCAAATTAGAACACATTGACGGATTGTACATCATGCACGAGACCAAAAAGTTCCAACACACAGAAAGATACATTCAGTACTTTCCCGTGGCCGAATTATCAACAGATCCACCACAACGATTTGCCTCGCTCTTTGCAGAAAAGCCATTGTGGACGTCGGAGGAGATTACACCGTTCTTGATGGATCTAGCACCCATAAAGAAGGACAGAGAACACTTGCTGCTCAAATTTGCTCGCACACACAAACAACAGAACAGCATTCTTTATGGAAGTAGAATAAAATAAATGGGGATTTATTTAATGAGGAGGATGATAGTAGCGTTCTGCCATGGTGGCGACTTCGCTATACTCTTTTCTGTATTCCCAAGTGATATCATATCTGGATAATCTGGAGCATATTTCTTGCAAATCGGCCAACCAGGAGGTCTTCATCAGCAAGCTCCAGTTTTGGTCGCTACCGCTATGCGTGTAGTTGAAATTCTTGAGGACGCTTGAAATTTCAAGAATGAGCGTTCTCCCGAATTTTGCGTGGTAGAATATATGTTGACGCACTTCAGAAGGAGCTGATAAACTCTCCTGAGCAATGATGATTAGGCCAAACAGCGTCAGAAACGACTGATCAGAATGGAGGTGCAATGACCTGACCATTTGCTGTAAAGCATTTGCAGTTTCATCTGCTCGACCAAACTGCTCGCTTGGTCTCTGGTTGTCTAATTCGTGAGCAATGGATCTTGCTTGTGCTTGGATCGATTTCAGCTTGTCAATTTCGATGTTTGGAGTGATCCGCTTCTTCTTTCTGTAGTTTTTTTCATAGTGTCGAGTGTAGATGTTATCGGCAACTTGAGGATAATCGGCTATTGTAGTAGATATGATTTGGCACAGAGCCATCTTGGATAGTCTGCTCAACCAATCTTGGATATCCAGCTGTTCATCTTGATCTTCTTGCACCACGAATGCAGAGGACGCTAGCAGTTGGCATTTCTCTTCCTTGTCGGATGGTGGTTGCTGTTGATTTGCTTGTTGTAGTTGGAGCTGTTGCTGTTGTTTGAGTTGTAATTGCAGTTGATGTTGGTTTATTGGGATGATGCCAATAAGTGATAATAGATAAGTGAGGACGCTATTGCTTGACATGTATATTTTTTTTTTTTTTGGCTTTTTAGTTAATTTATTCGTTTTTTTTTAACAGTTGGATATAATGATGTGGATGGTCGAAAAAAATTAGAATAAGAAATTGACATAATTGGGATTCTTGTAATTCAAATTTCTCTGTTGCTTTGCTAATTTCCTTTCTTTTTGTTTCAATGTACAAAAAGAAGAGAAAGGCCAAAATATATCAAGTGGTGGTTGTGAGTATGTGTTTATTGCTATGGTCTCTCTTTGTATGATATATATATATATATATGTGTGTGTGTGTGTGTGTGTGTGTGGGAGTGTGAGAAAAGAAAGAGAAAAAGGGGTTTTGTCTTTTGCTTACGAGTGGCGTGTATTTAAATGGGTCACTGGTTACAAAGTAGGAGGTCATGTGTAGCATACACTCTTGTTGATGATGGATACCCGATTTCATCCGCTCCAAAAGACCCCCTTGAATTACCAAAGGGATCAACTGACACATTTATGGATACAGCACCTGACTCGCGCGCACACACACTGATGATGATGACAACAATGCTGGCCTAGTTGTGTCGATCATCTCATTAGCAGCTGTCCTTGTAAATCGACCAAGATGTCCATGTCGCATTACAAATTTACCCGTTCAGTATAGACGCGTTGCTAGGCAAATTCCGAAAATGGTGCTCGAAGCGCGCCGCGTGGTTGTTGCTAATTGTAAAGGGCATCCCATTCCTGGATTTCCTCTCTCTTTCTTTCTTTCTTTTTCTCAACATATCTCTTGATCAAGCCCTAGACAATGAAAAAGGTTGATTTATTGCTGGATGAGCCATGTCCTGAACTACTGTGTGGTATATGTTCAGGTACATTTACAGATGAGTGCATGTAAATTATGCATTAAACACTGTTTTTTCGTAGATATACTAGAGGATCCTATGCAAGTTCACTGTCCAGAAGGTAACTACGCTACCAAACAAGCCAGCAGCCAAGCTGAATTATGATTAGATCACATGTTTTGTAGCAAATGTATAACATGCCATGTTGAACAGCAATCCAATTGTCCAATCTGCACAACTTCTCTAGACAAAAACACATTTCAAGTATCAAAATTCGTTACAAGGCAAGTCGGACGATTACGTATCAAGTGCGCCTATGCAGACACTGGTTGTTCATGGCAGGGCTTACTATCAGATCAGCACATATCTGAGGTAATCAATCAATCACAATGCATGTCATGATGCTGCCAAGGTTACTCATCCATTTGCTCAACAGTGCGAATACCAGCCCTGCACATGTCCAAACGCTGACAAGGGATGCAATGCCACCGATTTAAACAGATCAAACATGGAGCATCACTTGAAATCGTGTCTCTATCAAACCATGACTTGTCCTAACAACATGCCATTATGCCAGCCGTTTCTTCTCTTGGATTTATCAAAGCACGAGAATCAATGTCAATCGTATACGTGTCCTTATGCCAACGAAGGCTGCCCATTCATTGGCACGCTGACTCAGGTGAACATTCATTGTGAGGGCTACTGCGGACGATTGCACCAAAAAGTGAGTCAATTGGAGGAGGAAGTCAAGCGATTGAACAAGCTGATACAAGATGTCACCATGGGTCTCAATATCAAACTACCGTCTACGCCAGAAACAGCATTACAAGAAGACGAAAGCAAGAAACAACAACAACAGCAGCAACACCATGCAGACACATCCATGGACGAAATGGCACTGTTTCATCAAATGTTCAACAGTGATCCATTTGGAGCACTGGACCTGTCAGCCACCACACCAACTGCGATGGATCAACATACACCGAATCGTCATGAGGATGATAACACATCCATGATGGATCTGGGCTCAGTGTTGCCTGACATCAACTTTCTAGACCTCAATCCATCCGGCGCCCATGACACTTCTCCACCCTCTCATTCCTCATCATCTGCATCTAATTTTCATAACAGCAACAACATTACTCTTAATAATAATAACAACAATCAACAGGTTGACTTCAACTCGATATTTGAAACAGCCACATCGCCGCAACCGCTTCAATTTGTTCCACCTGTCAATGTGCCTAAAAGAACATCCAATGGCAAAAAGATTCGCTACAGTAAAAATGTCAGATTAGCACACAATGCACTGCGAATCGCCCGTCAACGCACGGCAAGCAACAACAATCCATCAAATGATGCCATTTTGAATAACTTGGACATTGCCAAACAACAAATGAACAATGGCAGCCAAATCACATTCAAGAACTTTCAAGATGTTGCGCATTTCCTCAACACGGATGCCATGCCATCTTCCTCAAACACTAGCACCACTACATCAACTAAGAAACCAACCAAGGCAGCAGTAGCAGCACCATTAACCACGTCCTCTTCTTCTACCACTACCACTACCACTACCAACACTACCGCTAATACAACAAACACAGCAGCAGCGAAACCGACTCTCAAGAAGGAAAAGAAAAAGAACACCATCGTCTCTTCGCCGCAATACACAGATCCCACAGCCTCCTCACCGCCGCCTTCCACAAACGCACCCAAACGAAGACCAATGTTCATCTTGGCATCATCCTATTTATCGAATTACAATAGCAATAATGAAAAAGTGTAGTTGCAGTAATATAATTTATCGTTGTCCCTCCAAGAGTTGTTGATTCTTTTCTACTTCCTGCTTGTATTTCGCCTCTAATTCTGCATAACTAGCTCTTAAAGCCTCCAATTCCTCTTGATGCGCAAAGCTGACGCTCAGGATAGCTGCTTCAATGATCTTGACTACTCTCCATAAACGAAGGATAATCAAAAGACTATATTATAGATAGTGGATGATGAGATAAGGTCTTTTTTTTTTTTTTTTTTTTTTTTGGCCAGTGTGCCATACATACCCTGCTATCTCTCTCTCTTTTCCTTTCAATCCCACTTCCAACACCAATGTCGTCGCAACAACTAATACATGTTATTCAGTTTACTGCTAGCATCATACTTGGATCCAACAAACCAGCAGCATCAAAAACATGTAGCTTCCAGTGTGGCCAACCAGGCAAGTAGTATTTAGGTCCAAAGGCAATCAGGGACAGCAAACATTCCACCAGAAATAGGAAACAAATTGTGATACTAATCACTTCAGCCATTTCAAAAGCAATAAGCAGGTAACTGGCTTTGTGTGATCCAGCATACAGCACCACAGGTACTTGACACTCATGGAAGAATGTATATATGATTTGAATGATAACACAAGTTGCGTCAATCAAAACGAGACCCAACACTGTGAGATGAAACTTTTCATTCTCCAATTTTTCACCCAAGCTTTCTCTCCACCCCCTTTCATTTTCAGAGTTTTCAGCTTCTATGCCTTGTCTTGTGTCTAAACTACCATAGGAAGCCATAATATAAGTACTATAGAGAGGTTAAAACGAAAAAGAAAGGGGAAAATCTTTTTCTGTATTACATTTGCATCACTCAATGAATTGCTTGTTACACACCGTATCCCAATGAAGAAGGATCTGTTTGTTTGCTGTCAGGACGATTGACTACAGTGCTTTCAGAGGCCTACTGGAGCTTGCACGCGTGGTTAAATTATATCAACGTTCAACACAAACACGCAAGGTCAAGTAGTAAAATCAACCTACAAAGACTGTATTTGTAACAAAGATGCAACTAGTAGAAGGCACTTTTTTGTGTTCCCAGAGCATCCTCTGGGTTTATATGAGAAGATGCTGTCTATACCACCCAAGTCTCTATTTCGTGCTTTGTGTAGAACCAAAATCGCAAAAACTTTAGCTGTCTATCGACGCGAAATGTACAGACTCCTGCAAAGCATAGATCTGGTAGAATCTCAACTCTTCTTCATGGTAATGTGCTCCCATACGTATTCCTGCTGGTCACTACGGATATGCTGGAGTGAAGGGAAACGTGTCTTGTCATAACTGATGCTAGTAACGTGTCATTCTTGCTCAATCGGCGTACTATAGCTCAAGAAATCGCTGAATTGGAGCTGTTTAAGTATGATATACCCACCTATCACTTTAGACTACCTATTGTATTATTTGTATATGAAGGCTCGTGCTGCTTCTAGCGACTCTATCTACGGTACCTTGACCAATATAGGTAACCCTGGGCCAGTTTTCGAGCGAAATGCATTAGATCAGCAGTATACAGAGATGGATCAATTCCAGCACGATATTCCTGTGTATACCTTGGCTGATCTTGCGTCTGCGGCTGCTGCCATTGGTAGTTCATGCACGTTTCTATCCATTGCTTAATTTTCTTGCTTCTGTTGGCTTGTTCAATAGTATTGATATGTGATTACATTCATAGTCTAGACGTTTCCAGCTTTATTAAAGACAAGATGAAAAATAAAGATCGATAATAATAGAACGCAACACTTCAGTGCGCCCATTGCGTGCTACTTTGATAATGAAATATAAGCCCCTTAACATACATACGGATAAGTCTAGTTTCTGGAAAAATACAAGTAAAAGAAACCCTCACAACAATACATATCAACCGCAATAATATACAACCAAATCCAACTGGCATATACAGTATGTTCAACAAGACTAAATGTGAATTTGCGTAATTGTTACATTAGCTGTTGTCCGTGTAAACAATGATCTTCAATATATTATAATAACAAATCATGCTTTTTAACATTAATCATGAACTTTTAGGAATTAAGATTCATTGTTCTTCTTTACAGCAGAATCAGTATAAAAGGCAGCTTTTCATTAGTCAGTTTAATGTATTGTATACTTACACTTTTACATCTTACATATTTCGCAAATTAGTACCTCTCTATCGCAATATGGTGCTGTTAAAATGGGGTTGGGTACAACAACGCATTACTTTCAAATTTAGACCTGCTGTCTGGAAAAGACGCTACCTTGTGCTCACAACCATGTCAATTCATGTTCATAAATCAGAGGTAAAATGCCCTGATTTTACACCGCTGGATCAAATACTCACGACAAGTACAGAAGGGCGTGATTTCTTCTCTTTTTCATGAAAATATGCCTGAAATACATGTCTGGTCAAACTTTAAATCTGTAGACTCGTACAAGAAACAAAAGAGACTTTCAAAATATGCATTCATGATCGAAACTCGGGACCATCATCTTTATGCTTCACTGCGGTTCAAATGTGCAACAGCGGAGGAGAGGGACAAATGGATCACAGCGATTGACGAACAGCTCAAGCTCACCAGTAAAATGTGGTCCTCTCGACCAGCCATCAAAGAAACAGACGACAACGGCTTTTGCAGACTAACAAAGCTAAAGCAGCAAAATCCCAAGTGCAATTTGCAAAATCCAATCGCCCCTGTATCTGTGTTGGATAAATGGCTGGAACAACTGAACTTTATGGATTCCCCTGAAAAACAATCTGCAGCAATACGGGACTACAGGCAAGGATCCAGTTGCTCAGAGACTCCACATTCGAGAAGGGGCTCTCATAAAAGAAGCTCAGTTCAAGCAGGCGCTGTTGAAAAGAACGAACAGAGGCCCAGTAGTGGCATGAACAAGAAAAGAATGCAGAAAATCATTGCAAACTATTAGAGTACATACATTTATAGACTTTATATATATATACGTTGACATGAATACATTTATTGTTGCTGGTATCTTGTTGCGTCTCTGTTTTCCTCTTCTTCTTCTTGAGCGATATCGTCTTGCTCTGCTTCGAGAATCGTTTCATATCCATTTCTCTTGCGCTTCCACTTTTTCACTGCAAGGAAGCCTCCCAACACCAACAATGAAATCGAGGCAATCCATATTAAGCTGATGATAACAATCGACCAAATCCATGGCAATCCAAATGCTCCTCTCTCCACAGGGAAAAGAACAGCATCAATTTCCATTACACCACCACTACGTTCCCCTGTGCTGACTCGCCCCATATCCAAGACCCGTGCATGTGTGCCATAGGGTTGCCCCTTAACTCTAACAATGGTGCTACCATACCCCAATTCACGAATAACCACCTTGTCACGGTTGGATAATAGTGTGTCATAGACTTGATCTCCCAACAAAGGATACAAGAACCAGCGCTTGCGACCCTCTGACTTGGGCACAACATGTAACTTGGCAAGGCGCACCAGTTTGTCAGTGTCATTCCAAAGTGACTCCATATCTTCGTTCTCGAATGCTTTATCGGTGGGTGACATGATAATGCAATCTGTCAGGTCGACCTGGTTCAGGAGGTTGGTTTTCTTCAAGATGTTTAGCATGGTGTTGGCGTTAATGCCTTTGAGCAAGTTGCGATGCGTAATGCTGACGTTTTCAGGGATTTGGAGATGGTCTACCTTGTGCACAACACCGTTGGAGACGAGAATATCTGTTGTCTCTAGTACACCATGCTCGTCTAGTTTGTTGTCCTTTTCAGTATTTTCTTTGGTACTAATCCAGACTTTATTGTCGTCATTTCTGCCGTTAATGATGAGTGACTCATTTGAAAGCGTAGTGACCTCGAGAACATCGCCGAGTAGGTCTTTGTAGTAGAGGGCGCTGGTTGCGACATGATAACGTAATACTGTCTGCAGATCAGCTCTACCAGAAGGATGAACCAGGTACCGAGACACCAAGCCTAAATTCTTGAATGCTGCATTCGTTGGCACAAATAACGTAACTGCTTTAGCATGCTTTAACTCGTCTACCACACCAGACACATATAATGTGGCAACATAAGTAGACACTTCCAGATCAACAACAAGGCTGCTAAATATATCCATAGGGAGATTCAATGGATCTGAAATACGATAGATGGCATTTCCACCGATGGACACTATTAAAAGATGAGCTGAGGGTGCATTGGTGGATCAAGTGCTAACGGATCTTACTGTCGTCGCCAACCACCTTGGAATGATCACCAAATCGAATCGCTTTTAGCAGTGAATGTCTATCATTCATATCTCGCTTGTCGTTTCCTACTGTCACCAGCAAGCGCTGAGACTGGTGGTTTAGCTGGGATGAGTTGTATTCAGTTTTCAGCAGCATGCGATTCTCCAAATCTTCAGGGCCATAAGCACCTTGAGCAATATGATAGCTCAACCACTGCACTTTTTTGTTGTTGGGAATATCGTCTTCGTCCAAAACTTCATTTGTAGGTGCCAAGATGGTGACATTATTGGTTCCCTCATCCAGAAATCTGCCTAATCCGTATTCATCGACCAAAGACACAAATTTTGTGGCATTCAAACCAAAGAGATACTTTCGAGTGTCAAATACAAGTGAATTTGCAAAGGGCAAATCATCCACAATATGCAATACACCTAGTATACATCATCATCAGTACTCAAGACGACACTCCAAAAGCGTCTATCCTACCATTAGCAGCCAAAACATCCTTTTCCACAACCTTGTGTCCATTCACGTATATTTTACCATTCTTTTCTACCTTGACCGTGATATCCTGACCTGACTCTGAAGTGTCTGATCACAGAGCAGAGCATGTTAGACAATGCACACAATTCCATCACACCACTTACACTTTGTTTCGCCTTCAGGGTGATTATTCAAGTAGATTGGTTCTGAAATGACAAGGTACTTGATCAATTCCTTTAGATCCTTTTGTCCATATTTTGATATCAAGTAGTTCTTTTCCACGTGATTGAAACGATCCAGCAAGTATGTGGCTGAAACAAAGGTAGTAAAAGGTCTCTCCTCTTGCAGCAATTTGTCAATGCCTGTCTTTTCCATCAAATCGTACAATTTGCCATCCTGATACTGCACCACTTGAGCTGCGAAATTTTTAAGGAGCGAGACCAATTTAGTAAAGTATCATTACTGTTGGCTAAAAACACACTTACATAGAATTTGAGGAGGCTCCAGCACTTGATCAATGACGTTTAATGTTGTATTTCTGTTGACAAAGATATCCTTATCCTTAATTCTGGCGCCATTGACATGAAAGAATGTGTCGAATTTCTCGGTAATTTTCAGCTTTTGGCCTATATCCTCTTTGCCTAAAAATCCAGGTCGAATGTAGCTCGACTCCAGGACTTGTCCATTCTCCAAATCCTCAGTGACATATTGCTGAGGCAGCAAGTGGTACAGCATAGTCTCTTTAGTGATCTTTTGGCCCTGATACTTTTTGAATGCAGCATTGTCAGGCGCAAAGAAAGTGCCTGCCTCCAAGTTGTTTATCATGGGAATCAAGCGTGTGTGTTGCAAGTGTTCAATAAGGGTAGAGAAACGTGCATCTTCGGATAGCACATCAATGATTGTCTTGTAGGATGCCACAGCATGTATACTGCATTGCAGTAGTAGTAGAATTAGTACAAATGATAATGCTCTTGTTTTCATCGTATCAAAACTTCATGTAAAAATGTAAAACAAGATATAAAAAGCGCATAATCTGGTCATGCCGAAATATGGCCATCTACTACTACTACGGCCAACACTCCGGGGATCAAAAGGTCCCGGATCTTGGCTTTCGGGCTCTTTGGGATAGAATGATCTTATGTGCAGCACAATGCTACGTTCAAGGCTGTAGATCATGTGCCTGGCAATCCAATAAACTTGTGCACAATTGAAATGAATGGTTAATTCTGCATTATTTGACTTTATTTTGTAGTATTTTAGGACATGCAATTTAAAGCTTATCATAGTAGTTCTCGAGACCGGGAATATCTTCCTTGAGACCCTTTCTCTTACGGACGGCACGAATGATATCGTAGACCTTGTTACCTTCTTCCATGGGGTTACCAGACATGAGTTGCCAGTGATCAAAGACAGCTTGAGGGAAAGCTTGACCACCAGTGGCAGCACGAAGATCAGCAGTGAAACCGAAAGACTCGTTGACAGGCAAGTAAGCCTTGACGGTCATCATGGGGGTACCAGCCTTTTGCTCTTCAGAGAAGACTTGACCACGACGTCTGTTAAGACAAGAGTAGATACCACCAATAGCGGAATCGGGACATTGGATTTCGACGAGGTAGATGGGTTCTTGAATACCAGGAGTGGCAGTGATGACAGAGGCGTAGACTACACGACGACAAGTGGGGATGATTTGTCCACCACCACGATGGATAGCATCAGCGTGAAGAGTGACATCAAGAATGTTGAAACGACAACCACGGAGGTTCTCTTCGGCAACGGGACCTTCCTTGGTGGCCCATTGGAAAGCAGCAACACAAGAATCCTTGATTTCACCGAGGTATTGGACTTGCTTGGTGATATCAACCATAACGTTGGGACCAGTACCGTCAGGACCGAAACACCAGATCTTACGGGCTTCAGTGACATCCCACTCGTACTTGTCGGCGAGGACACGAGCACGAAGCTTGAAATCATCCTTGGCAGTGATCTTACCAGCATCAATCTCGTTGGCGAGGTCTTCATCCAAAGGAGTGGCACGCATGTAGATACGGTTGTGCTTGTTGGGAGACTTGGAGAGACAGTCGATGCTGGATTCAGCAGTGACAGTTTCACAGTAAGGGACAACGGGGTCACCAGTCTTGAGGGGAACTTGAGCGTGATCTTCTTCGAGATCCTTCAAACAAATTTCAAGATGGAGTTCACCAGCACCGGCAACAATGTGTTCACCAGAGTCAGAAGTGAAGGTAAGGACACAAGGATCAGACTTGGCGAGACGCTTGAGACCTTCAACGAGCTTGGGGAGATCGTTGGCGTTCTTGACATCGACAGCAACTTGGACGACAGGAGAGACAGAGAACTTCATGACCTTCATGTTGTGAGCGACCTCAGAGGTGGTGATAGTACCAGACTTGACCAAGAATTGATCAACACCAACAAGACCGATAATGTTACCAGCGGGACAATCCTCAATGGCTTCGACGTTACGACCCATCATGAGAACAGTACGTTGGATAGACTTGATGGAAAGATCGGTCTTGGTGCCGGGAACGTAGTTGGGACCTTGAATACGGACCTTCATACCAGCACGGACGGTACCAGAGAAGACACGACCGAAAGCGTAGAAACGACCCTTATCAGAGGTGGGAACCATCTTGGAGACGTAAAGCATAAGGGGACCCTTGGGGTCACAAGCCTTGATACCAATGGCACACTCATCGTCAGCGGGACCTTCGTACAATTGACCGCAACGGTAAGCTTGAGAGGTGACGGGAGAGGGAAGATGGATACAGATCATTTCCAAAAGAGCATCACCAGCGGGCAAGAACTTACGCATAACGACCTTGAGGAGAGCCTTACCTTCCAAATCCTTCTCATCAGAAGCGAGGTTAACCTCCAACTTCTCCAAAAGAACCTTGGTTTGATCCTTCTTGAAGTTCATGATGGAATCGAAAAGACGGTAGATGGGATCCAAGATGAACATGTTGAAGGCACGTTCGAGTTGAGCACCAGAGGCATCAGTACCCTTGGTGGTCCACTTCTTGGTCTTGGGGTTGAAGTAGTTCTCACCCCAGAGCTTGTTCATCATCTTTTGCTTATCAACACCAAACTTCTTGGCATAACGAGTAGCGAATTGACGAAGAGTGAAACCCCAACCGTGGAGACCAGAGGCGAAGGAGACGGTACCCTTTTCGGGGTAGACTTGACAATCACCGAGAGCCTCATCAACGTAGGTGGAGATGATAACGTTGACGGATTCGATGGTACGAGAGAAAGAGTTGTAGAGTTCTTCCTTGTCCAATTGGAGTTCGAGAAGAGCACGATCAACCTTGTTAAGACAGATAACAGGCTTGATACGTTCGTTCAAAGCTTGACGCAAGACAGTCTCGGTTTGGACACAGACACCATCAATACAATCAACAACAACGAGGGCACCATCAGTAACACGAAGGGCAGCAGTAACTTCAGAAGAGAAATCAACGTGACCAGGAGAATCGATCAAGTTAATCAAGAAGTTGGAACCATCGGTCTTTTGGTTGATTTCCTTGAGACCATCCTCATCTTCCATCTTGAAGTACATGGAGATGGCAGTGGACTTGATGGTAATACCACGTTCTTGCTCATCCTTACGGGTATCCATGAAACGGGCTTCACCAGCACGGCCAGAAGAAATAATACCAGCCTTGGAAACCAAGGAATCGGTCAAGGTAGACTTACCGTGATCGACGTGAGCAATGACGGACATGTTACGGACGTTGGTAACCTTGTCCATCAATTCACGGATTTCTTCAATAGTGAAATTCTACAGAGAAAATGCGTTATTAGTTTGTCGAGTTCTCGAGACGTTGCAAGTTGGTGTATATGTCTACTTACAACTATAGGTTATCAAGCAAGAGTTGGATGAAGGAGGAGAGAAGATGAAAGTTGTTAATATCAGCGTATCCATAGAAACCACTGCTCATCCATCCATCCGTCTATTCAACAGATGCATGGGATGGTGCCATTTCATGTTTATCCCTATACATTACCCATTTTCGATTGTTAAAGTGAAGGGAAGGATTCATGTTGATGCAAATTGGATTGAATTACTTCTAGCTGATCGGGTTCCAAATTGTGTGTATCAGCAGAATTTTTTCAATTGGCGTATATCGCTTACCCGAAGCACAATGGGATTTATCAGCAATGTCATCAGATGTTGCTCTTGAGTGCATGCTGCGGCCTGCTAGACTTGTACACGCAATCATCTATTTTCGTGACATTAATCAGCATTTCGATCAGGTGTTTATGCTGGATTTTTGATGCTACGGTTGAGAGATGACACTATCCCTTGTGATCCACCATACGAAATGTGTAATGTCCTTGCTATTCGTCTGACATTTTCGGTGGACTGAGTGGGATTTCCACCAGCTCATGTTACAGCTATGTTCACCATGTTTGATTTGAAGCGAAAGGAACAAAAGTTACTCTCCATAAATTTGGCACCATGGAGCTGAATGCCATGGAGAAACGTCTGTTCCATTTTGATCTATGTTTCCATCGCCAATAATGAAATGAGATGGCAAGATCAAAATTTTACATCTTCAAATGGCTCACAACTAGTGAGGCTATCGCTTCATATCTTTCAAGTCTAACAACATGTTGGCATATAGCCAAAGAGCAATTGCTGCGGTGAAACGGTTTATAGATGGAAAGGTGTTGCCGTCAATGATAAAGGTGTAAGCAAACCATAACAATGGCCACGGCCAAAAGTTAATTCACACTCAGTTTTACATTGTGCTCCAGATTGGCCAAATTTCGGTGCTTTTCGACTTGATTGAGCTATCTCGCCCTATTCGACTATATGAATTGTAATAATTATTCCTCATATCCCTAAGCGTTCTATTTGGCATTCTATCTTCGCCATGTATGCCTATTTTGGTTTCAGTGGACTTCAACAAGTGAATTTCCTTCCGGTCCAGGCCATCCTGCAATTGCCTTTGCACAAGCTTCTCATAGGCCTCAGCGATGATCACTGGCTCCGGCGTCATCCCAAGTTTCCAGCAAACAAGTTCCTGATCTTTGATAGCCAACAACAACGGCTGCGTCTTCGTGTTGCTTCTGAATATTCGAGCTACTCGCTTCTTTGTGCCTCGCTCTATCAAGATATTCTCATGCTCAAAACCGTCAAACTGGTTCCTGGTGTGTGGCCTCACATTCTGCAGCCTCCTTCCACCTCCACCTTAGATTGGTTGAGCTTTGATTTCTTCGGCAAATTGGGCACTAAAGATCTATGGACTCAGTACCATCCCGTAACCTTTCGTCAGCAGTAACAACAGTTGGTTCCGTCGGACCATCGTTTCAACAATTCAAGGGTCAAGATATTATGGTCAGCACCTGCTCATCCAGCGGCAAGAACGGTCCTCTATTGGGCACTGTCGGAATGCATCCCTCATAAATCATACCTGTACACAATTGGCGCTGTGGAAAACTCTATCTGTCCCTTTTGTGCCCTAGGCATCGATTCGTTGCGACATTTCCTCGTTGACTGTCCCGCCAAGTGGCACCTATGGCAATCTGTGATCTCACAATACTACGCCAAATATCCTTTGACTTCCGAGATCATATATGGCACAGTGCGGTATCTACATCTTCCTCGCTTTATAAAAGATCGATCCAAGTATATCGCCTCCATATCTACTACCTTATGGCAAATGTGGAATCTGTATTGACTTCACGGTTCACAGAACCCTGTACCACTTTCCACCGCCTCCATAGAACACTTTTCCTCCAGGACAGTCTGTCTAATTGATAGACTGCTACCTACTACAACACAATTTAGATTAGATGCTCATTCCGTTGCTCGAGGTCCACCACGCTAATTACAATAGGTGTTATGAACAAAATTATAGAGAAAATTCGCTAAATATGAAATGAGGTTTAAGGCTAAAATGTTGAGAATTGCATATCGAGGCGTCACAAAAGATGTTCTAGGGGTTGCGTTGGACTGAGACAAGCATATTGATCTTATATATATGCTATAGTAGAAGTCTTCATTTTTGGTGTCAAAAACGCGACCGTTTGATTTTTGATGAAAACTATGAGGTATTTTTTTTTAAAAAATTGTTTTTATTGATTGCTCCGTGTAAGTAGGTCCCTAGGGTACTACCAAGAGGTGGGCGCAATTGATATGATATTCAATTATATTTAGGATAAAGCGATAGATGACAATTGTGATTAGAGAATTACAATTGTTTGTGAATTTTAGTTTGGGCATGTAGTTGAAGGAGCTCGGTTTTGATCTGCTGGACCACATCGATCCATGTAAATCGAGTCGAGCGAAAGATCATACGAACTTGAGCCCGCCAAATGTTGCCAAGTGTTACCAGTACGACCATGTGAGCAGTGGTGTACGATTTGGAGACATACTTGATGTTTTCAAAGTCAAGAGAGGAACAGGCTCGGATAATATCACCAATCGAAACGGTTGGCCACAAGAATTCAAATTTACTATGAGGTATCCCCCATGGTTTGGAGTCGATTTTCGGCCATCCCAAAAAAAAATGAGCAAAGGTGCCAGAAAGTAACTACTAAACGAGAGCAATTGTTTGGTGCAATTCCGGCAGTCTAAAGCGGCATCTAACGCGAGAAAACACGGCTCAAATGCACCCAAATTTTGCTGTATTTTGTGTATTTATGAGCAATGAGGTAATGCACAGATGTTGTCTTCCTGCACCATAGTAAAACATGTCATTTTGAGGTGAAGGCTTCTCGAACAATTCTCATAAACCACTTACAGGGTCTATTGAGGCACTGTGTATAGATCGACATCACGCAATTGCTTGAGATGGCATGTTTGATCTGATGCAAAGTGGACTGATTCACCAGTGTAGAACCAACAAACAATCGGAAAGCTTCTCCATCTGAAGAGCTTAGAGATAAACCCCCACCAAAAACGTTCTGCGAATTTGTTGAAATATTTACTTCATAAGTTGAACAATTCGAAGAGAACCTCTATCATTCTTTGGATAGTGGACAATTTTGATGACCATATTTTGAGGCGTATTCTATTAACAACCAACGAAGCACACCAGAAAGAAATCATCTACAGAACTCAAGACCGGATTGCAAGAGATATCTAGAGTATGACAGATGTTTATTGACCATTCAATTTTGAGAAAGTTACATTGCCTGAAAAGTATCCTTACTATAAAATCCCATTCTGAATGCATTAGCGATCCACTATCAAGCTTTATTTATCACTGGTCCATTCTATACAGTTACAACCTTGTTTGAATCAAAGCAACGTATTTCAACTTTTCTTTTCAAATGAATATTCTGCTTGTTATTACTACAGTATTCATATAAATTTAACCTGTCAAAGAGAAGCATCTTTTAAAAATTTAAAGAATGGAGCACCGTAAAAGGTAAATAAACCACCAGCGAAGCCGGCATTGGGGAGGGGGTTTGAGGAGGTGCTATGCCATATACCAAAAATATAACGCATTTGACTCAACATTTGGTACCATTGACCTATAAGGCGGTTTTACCGTAGCGAAGGTAAGGTACAAAACTATGGCAATGAAGCATACAACCGAGCATTTGGTAATATTAATCTTAATGAGGGTTTTACCGTAGCGAAGCGAATGTGCAAAACCATAGTGTATAAGCAGCAAATTCGGCTTTTCATTTTCATTATTAACAAGCCTACAAACAACATAACACATCAAAATTTGCATGAATTAGCTTTACCAAAATTAATATACCTCCTATTCGAATTAAAAATTGTACAGGCTACGGAATTACCCCTTCCAGAAGATTACAGCTAACAAAGATATGATTCATGCCGTATAAATAAACTCTATAAAGCAATACATAACCAAATTTGACAGCTTTCAACCCTTCATGTCTTGACATGTAGGCCTTTATGAGTCACCAGAATGATGCCAAACAATTGTACTTGAGTAGTAGTAACTTCCTGATACCTTTGCTCAACTTTTCGGGCCAAAAAAAAAAACTTGGCCAAAAATCGACCAAAAAGCATGAGGGGTACCTCGTGGTTTTCATCGAAAATCAAACGATCACATTTTTCACCTTGAAAATGAAGATTTTTACTATGGTATATATTAAATCAAAATGTTCCTCTCGATCCAAAGCAACCTCTGAAACCACTTTTATAAAGTGTTCCTATGCGAAATCTGGCTATTTTCGCTAAAAACCTCATTTCATATTTTACCAAATTGCTCAATATTTTCAGCCAAAACATTTATTACAGTTAGCACCATTGGAAGCGCCTTGAAAAGTACTTTAAGAATGTATTAGGAAGCGTAGGGTGATCATCACAGTTTATATAGTCGAATACCAAAGAATAGATTAAAGAAGTCGAAAAAAAGACAAAATCTGTCCAATCTTGAACAGAAAAAATAACGTGAGTTTGAAATAATTTTGGCGGCGGCTTGCTGCTGGCTGGCCCAAATGCCTTTCTGATGATGGCAATGATGATAACAATGATGGTTGCGATGCTGATCAAATGGGGACAATGGAGTGGAAAGGAAAATTGATTAGCTCAAATAATATTTTTGGGGGGGGGGGGTTTTGCCTCATAAAAATGTCTTTTACAATGACAATATCTCAAAGAAATCGCTGTGGAACTTACACGAGTCCTGTTTTTACGCATGGCCAGCTTTATATCACTATCTCAAGAGCAACATCAGCGAATACATACCTCCTCTTCTTGAATCTGATACAGCTTTTTTTTATTACTGCTAATTAATTGTTTAAAATCTACTTGATATGCTAGATTATTATTATCTCTGATTTGGAATGTGTTCAGCGAGAGTCCGCAGGGCGACGCCGTCATTGAACGTAGCGAAACTGATAGGCTGGTAGCATTATATACTTCACTATGCAGTTAATTGTTAGATGTTCTTTCTATTGTCATAACTACTGAATAACTATCACATACCCATCCTCATTGACATTTCAACAGTGAATGCCCATCCCAATACCAGAACACGATTGGAGACAATTAGCAAATGGCATCACCAATAGGAACATGTAGTATTTCTTATTGGGTGGAATCGCTTGATAGTTGCTTCATATTCGACTCGGCTCTATAATGTACTCTATTTGTCTCCTTTTACTATTCATTCTTGATTGTGCTTTGTTGACAAGCAAAAAGAACCCATCCACTTCTATTTATTGGTTCAATCTCAGGTCCTATTTTTGTGTAATTCATTCATCTTTTATCTGCAATTGCAACCACCAAATTCCTTGAAACCAGCTTCTTCACTTTCTTTTTCCCTGATAAAACACTACTCTGTTCTTTCTAACCAAAATCAATACGCCTGCAAACAAGGACCACACGGTATTATTGACATCAACATTGCAACACTTATATGATGACGAGTGGCCAACAACCAGCTGGTTATAATTATCAGGACTATGTACCAACAGAGGGTATATTATGCCCCATCTGCCAAGTAAATTGTAACACGATACAGAACTTGGATAGGGTAAGCAGCGGCTGTGCACATACTTCAGTCTATTTAACGCTTGAACAACATAGCATCTGGATATTGAACATAACGAAGAGGATTCAAAGGGTGCTTTATTATCATGGTTACGCAGCGCACAAAAGAAGGTTCAAACATCTTTGGCAACGCCTATGAAATCAGGAGTTTCACCGCCTGGCACCTCATCCTCCTCATCAAACCTCAAGCAATGGATGGAACCTTCGTTGATGAACAGCTTTCAGAACCTAAGCCTCAGCAATACCAATCCCACCTTTTTCGTATCTGATACGGACAGACAAGACGACTTTGTCACACGAAATCATTGGCAACGTGAAACGGGAAGCGACAAGTGCAATATACCAGGATGTAACAAAGTGGTTGGCAAATCAGGTGCTGGCAGACAACACTGTCGCAGGCAAGTTTAATGCCTTCTTTCATGTGTAAGGCATCCAGCGTAGCTAACATGCCTTTTTTATGCAGCTGTGGTAAACTCTACTGTGACTTACACACACAGTATGAAATCAAGCTGAATCGACAAGCACATCATGATCCTGAGCACGGCATATGGTGCAAAGTGTGCTCCAACTGCTACATTGGACGAAAGGGATACATGAATCATGATGGTGCCACTCGCAGCAAGACAGCCTTCTTTTTAAAGCAACGAGAAAAGACGATAGATAGAGTATATTTGGAGAGCAATCGACTGGAAAAGAGATTAGAGAAACTAGCGAGAATACATCAATCAACAGATTCAAAGAAATCAAACGGCAATGGGGGTGATTTGCAGCGATTGAACTCGGGATTGCTATCGCCATCAAGCGCTTCGTTGAGCAGTTTCACGCTGGATAGATCAGACTCTACGTCGTCGAGAGATAGTCTGGGAAGCATGCTATCACCCAAATCATCGTTTGTGTCCAACAGCAACAGTATTCTGAGCATGAAACTAAAGTACAGAGGTAATGATATGTTGGATCAGTGCTGTGCATTAGTAGTTTGACTGATACATCTAATAGACGGCGAACAATCTGTGACGAAATGGGAAGATGATCGTACCGTCAAGGCATGTCCTTACTGTGAAAACTCGTTTACATTAATCAATCGCAAACACCACTGTCGATTGTGCGGAAAAGTTGTTTGCGGAAATGCTCGATGCTCTAAAATGATTCCATTATTTACAGACATGTCATCCGGTAAGTAAGCTACACACAGTCTTTCGCAGGCAAAATGGCTAATCTGAAGTGAACGCTAGATACCTTTGACGATGAACCAGTGGGCGATACCCGGGCATGTCGTGATTGTCAGCGATCTGTCTTTAGAAGAAAGTTACGGAACGAAGAAGCATCTAAGCCATTGCCCATTATTCAGTTGTACAATCAGCTATCCATCACGAGAAAGAACATTGAAAAGCAACTGCCCAAGTTTCATGAAACCATCCTCATGCTAGAGTAAGTTTTAAACGAGGGGCTGGAAGAAATCATAGCACCAACTGATGCCATGTTTTTTTTTTAGAAAGGAAAATGTCAAGGCTCATACGCACGAGAGCTTTATCAAGGCAGCCAAAATTCGAAAATCACTGCTGGACAACTTTACACTCTACGACACACTTGCCAAGAGCATCAAAACACTGCCCGTGCGGTCCGCCTGTATGAAGCGACTCCAAGCCAACATTTGCAATGCAGCCAATATTTATCTACAACAAAACATGTTACCCCTTCAAATGTTACCAAGAATCTTGAAATCAGAAAACACCAAGAAGAAATCTTTAGCCAAGGGCAACACGCAAAATACCCCTGAGAGAATAGAATTGCAAGCACAACTTTCAACTTATTTAGAGCAGTATAGTTTAGTGGAGGGTTTTATCAAGGAAGCAAACGCTGATAGAAAATACGATGATGTCAAGACGCTGAAATACAGTCTGGACGAATTGCATGCTGAAATCCTGCGTTTGCGTAAATTGCTTGGTGAATAAATTATCTTTGTCTAGCTTGATATAATCCAGTATAATAGCCGGCGTAATACCATGACATGATGAGGTTTGAAAATGCCTCGTTGTCCTGAGCTGGCATAGATGGAGGCATTGGAGGTGCTGGTGCTGGAGGAGCAGCAGCGGCATAGTGTGGGTCCTGATAGTAATATTGCTCTTGATATCTTGCTTTTTTGCTGGTATTTTCATATGAATGTGCCTCTTGTTCTGTCTGCTCTTCTTCTTCATATTGTTCATCTCCATGTTGCTCCTCTTTATATTGCTCCTCTTCATTTTGCTCCTCCTCTTCTTCTTCTTCTTCTTCCTCGTCTTCTATCTGAACACCTCGTCTTCTTGGCGGCAAACTTGTGTATGGCAATTCAACAGTAGCTTTTCGTTTCTTTGGCGATTGGAGTTGAGAATCGACTGCATCACTATGATCTTCTCGTCTATTTGGCATTTGGATTCTATCGACCTTTTCTTCAATGCGAAATACTCGCTTCGGTGGTGCTTCCATTGCATCGCTGGTTTGATCTTTTTGCTTTTTGGGCTCTGGGGGCTGCGAAGATGATTCACCACTACGAGTCGTCAACAGTGAAGCCTTGTGCTGCACTCTATCAACATATCCAGTTAATACCACGACTGAAAGATACCACACGTTGCTTACTTTTTCTTGGGAAGGCTATCTATTAGATTGGAGGCTATTGTTTCTGAATCATTGTCATTTGGTTTCTCTGCATCGTGGCAAGTCTAAGTAAACATGTGTTAATTGACGCTCGTTGTTAAGTCTAAATGTTGCCCACTTTATAGCTTTGAAGACTGGCCTGCCAAAACTCTATCACGTCAGCATCCCACTGCACATCTAACTAGAATAATATCAGAATGTTACTTATCAAGTGCTTCGATTCCACGCTGTATTTTACCTCGTCTTGATTTGGCATATTGTAAAGGTAGAAAACTTTAGCATAAAGATGAAGGGTGTATTTTTGTAGTCCCGTGAAGCCATGTGCAGTCCTGCAATCTGAATTGCAACGATTGAATAAGCAAGCAGGATAGTAAAGCTTGAATTAGTATTGCCATTGATGCCACTGAGATGGTTTGATTCTGAGGAAAGCCATGCTAGCGTAGAGTGTGTATTGCTAGCAGCCAACGCTTGTCATGCAAACAGCGAGATAGTCGAGTAGCAATCATTGGTCATGCTTCCGCTGCTACTCCTACTGAGGGCATGCAATGTAACACTGTATATTAAATTCTCAGTATCATGGAGCTAGACATCGTTCCATTAAAGCGCTATTTATCCTGATCATCATCACTACGCAAGCCAGTGCTCAAACAACATGTTGATTGGACAGATGCACCTGTATCATATAAATCACACCTACTATGTATTGCAAAATCCCTGTATTTGGCTGAGACTTTTTTTTTTTTTTTTTCCAAATTTCCAATCATCTGGTGTGAAAAAGAGCAATTGAGATTTGTTCCTTTTTCTTCCTCTCTTCTACTTATATACATCTCCTTTAAAATACTCATTTACACAGCATACTTGTATACACACATTATGGAAAATACAAACAGCAGCAGTACTACTAAAGCACCCACACTCTGTACGGCAGGATGTGGGTTCTACGGCAGTGAAGCTTTTAACAACATGTGCTCTCAGTGTTTCAAAGCACAAAACAAGAACGACAACAATTCTACAACCACTGCTATTGCTACTGCCGCTACGACTGCTGATAAAAGCAAGACTTTACCTCAAATTGCCAGAACAAAGACTTCTTCACCACCCAAAACAACACCATCTACTCCTACTTTTAACGACAACAGCATTCCTATTGCTGCTGGAAAATCGAGAAAGCATCTTCGAAGCCCTTCACCAAATGGGCCGAGAATGCGTAGTGCACCTGCGTCCTCCATCGCTTCACCAGTGCCATCAACTACCAGCTCATCAACAACAGATACGAATGCCACAACAAACGCTGAGACATCGACAACAAATCCATCGGATAAACCAGTTCAATTAAATAAGGGAAGGTGCTTTAAATGTAGATCAAAGGTATGGTTATACACAGGGAGGATAGAACAAGACGAAAGTGTAACATGATATGATAGGTTCCTCTCGCCAAACAAGCTGCAAATAAGTGTAGATGCAGCTATGTGTTTTGTGATAGTCATCGTTACCCAGATAGACATGATTGTGATATCGATTATGCAAAGATGGATAGAGGTTTGTTTTGTTTGATATACTCAGCACACTGTCACTCATATTGTCATCTAGAAATCCTAGCAAAGAATAACCCCAAACTGCTCACACGACGCCGCTATCAAGAGATTTGAATGAATTGATCATCGTACTTGTATCTTATTAGTGTATATCTCCATTGCTCCATTCTCAATGAGTCATTTCTGCTCCTCCTCCTCCTCCTCCTCCTCCTCCCCCTCCTCCTCCCCTCCTCTGACTCTCCCTTTTCCTTCCCTCCTTTCCCTTTTTTTTTTCTTCCACACTACAATAAACAATATTCAAAATACAATCTGTTTCACTGTTCCATAATTTAAATCAGGAGCACGGTGCGATGGCATGAAATAGATTTATTGAATGTGTGCATATAAACATGAATTGTGTTTTTATAAATAAAGTGAATGGATATCATGGTTTAAGCCTTGTATAAAAGATCCAAGAATCCAGCAGCTACATCGTCCACGATGGTCTTGTCAGGAACACTTGCTGCAGTACCATAAATAGCGGCTGTAGAACCGTTTCCTGATGATGGGTCATCAACCAGGCCTTGTACACACTCCTTGAGATCCTTGACAAATGTTTCAGCACTGTTGACCCAAGGCAATGTGGTGGAAATATGAAGACCGGAAGGGTTTTGGAGTGCACTCAAGTTCCAACCTCTAGCAGCCAACTTGTCTCCCACATCGTAAATATTAAGAGGCTCATTTGCACCGAACGAAAGTACAGGACCAATAGGGTCGCCCTTGACGTGGAGTTGAGGAATGGATCGCACACCAGCTTCCATGATACGACGAGCACCCACAATATCCTTACAAGCTTTCAGGTAGCCGTCTTCACCCATGTACATGAGAGCAGACCAGCAACCGGCAATAAGCGCGCCAGGACGAGAGCCAGCAATACTAGGCGATGCGTAAATACCACCTGTCCATTGAGAGTACAAAAAGTATTGGTACTTTCTAATGGTAGCATTGCGATACATGATGATGGAGGAGCCCTTTGCTGCAAAACCATATTTATGAGTATCACAAGAGATAGAAGTTACACCATCTACACGGAAGTCAAAATCTGTGGTAGGGAAGCCAGCCTTTTCCAAGAAGGGCATGATAAAACTACCGAGACAACAATCGACGTGCAAGCCAATCTTGTACTTCTTGGCCAGCTTGCCCAACGCCACAATATCGTCGGCGATACCGTGAGGAAAGTTGACAGCGGAACCAGCAATCTAAACTGCATTGTGAGTATCATTCAGCGAATAGGCAGTGGTTTATGCATTACCATGACAGTGTTTTTCGTGATGGCCCTCTCCATCTTTTTGACATCGACCTTGAGCGTCACTGGATCAATAGGAACAGTGATGAGCTTAATCTTAAAGTAGCTAGCAGCCTTCATGAAAGCAGCATGAATAGTGTCAGGCACCACCCTATTGAATATGGTATTAGAACAAGTAAGCTAATCCACAGTGTCTGCATTTACATTTCAGGGTAATTGATGCCCTTTAGATCCTTGTACATATCACGGTATGTCTTACAGGCCATTAAGATGCTCTCTGTGCCTCCACTTGTCATGGTACCACAACCAGTCGATGGAGCGTTGTACATGGACAAAACCATGGCTACTGATTCGGCCTCCATACGTCTGATACCGGGGAAAATCTCGGGATGAAGAGGGTTTGCAATGGCGAAAATCTTGTAAGCTTCAGCGAGGATCTTGGTGAGATCTTCACCGCCATGATAGATAGAACCTGATACTTTTCCTCCTGCCCAGTCTGCTGCCTTGAGGCCCTCAAACCTGTTTTATCATTGCAAAATATACATCAGGCATTTGGGTCTTTCGCTTTTCAACACACACTCTTGGAATGCCAACTTACTTGTGCAAACTCTCCATCACTTGCTGCTCGGACATACCCTTGGCAGGCAATGTCAGATTACTTCCTAAACCTACTTCCTTGTCCATCATCGACTTTTCCATGCCAGCCAACGTAGTTCCCAATTCCTTGTTGATCTTTTCTTGTACAGCGGGGAGACGACGCAATTGTCTGAATGCAATCTATCGTGCCATGGCGGTTGGTACTGTAATTGCAGAAGGACAAACATCACACTTACTCTCATCAGATACGCCTTGAAATCATGAACAGCTCTCACAGGACCTCCAATCAGCACAGTGTTGTATAATTTGGACCAGTAATTCAGCAATACAAGGACAAAGACAATGTTCTTGATATGACGCAGATAGCGGCTGTCTAGCACGTCGTTTGATAATTGAGTAAAGCGGATAAGAGCAGAAGGTCTTGAAGCAGCGTTTGCCATTTTGAAATGATTTTTAAAAGAGAACAAAAAGCAACATGCTGGAATTCTCTACATTTTTATATAATACAACGGCATTGAACTACCGATTATCAAACTGAACTTTTTTTTCCTGTAAGCATTTTTATTTTATTCACCAAAAAAGGATTCTAGGCATCCCCATATTCGATTTTTGATATTTTAAAGTACATCAACGTTAGAAATTCGCAAGACTGTGTGTGTTTGTTTGTGCTCAATTGTACGCTTGTAGTTCTTTCTTCTCTTCTTCTTTACGATTTGGATCAATTTGCTTTTGGTATGTTCAATGACGGTGGCATTGATGTTGAAGACATTCTCGGGGACGTAAGGTGAGCCCTTTAGTGTGTAATCTTTGCTGCCTAATTCACGGACTTTGTCTAATTTCAACACATCGCCAACTTTCACATCCTTCAAACGGTTGACAATGACCTTGTCGTTTTTGGTGATCAAGAAGGGTCTGCCAGCAATCTCGGCAACTGCATAGTAGCGTAATTGATCACGAAGCTTCTGGACTGTAGCGGTTGTATCGTAAGCTGATGTTTGAACTTGACGTTGTAAAATATCTAGTAGGGGGAAAAAAAATCCATCAAGCGTTAATCCATCTGGTCAGGGCTGGAGCTGTCAAAAGGTTCATGTACATACTTTGTAAAGGTTGTTGTTTGATGAGTTGAGTGGAACCTACAGAAATGGACATTGGCCATGTTGAATGACATGATGCAAGATCCAAATTTCGACATGATTTTTTTTTACCTCTGGTAACACTAGATCCTATCCCTTTGAACAATGCTGAGAACATGTCGTATATGTCAAGACAGAGATGGAGATGATATGGTCTGGAAGAAGAAAAAAAAAAAAGACAGGGCTGATGGCTTCTGGGATGGGTGGTGGAAGTGCGGGGCAGTAAAAGCAAGGCCAATGTGACGATTCAATGTAGGGTCCCTCTCTGTCAAATCGTGAGGGATTGATCCAATCGAAACAGATGCTGAAAGAAAGCAGATCATCGTTCAACAGATGCTTATTTGAAATGGCATTCTCTATAGCTTGATTTAGTAATAATCGACAAAAGAAAAAGCACCAGACTACATTCTTGAGCCATGATGTGATATCTTGTAATCAAACGTTGCGTATCACTGACTAAAAACTATTTTTGAGGCAAGGCAATCTCTGTGTAGATGCCTTCAAGAGATAGTCTAATCATATGTACTGAAAGCTACAAGTGCAACATAAAAGCCCTGGGTTTATTGGTCGTTTGATGTCTTTTCCTCATGTCTGTACAGATATATACGATTTTTTTCGCTATTGACAGCGATTACATTCGTAAATGGATGACTGGATATCCCAATCACTTCCTCTTCACACACTTTGAGTTGGCCCAACAGCTCGCCACTTGATATTTTGAAGCAATGCATAAATGAATCTTCAGACAGTGTATATAAGAGCTTGCCCTGATGTGATACTGTGCCAGTGAGGAATTGAGAGTCTGATTTGTTGGTAATCTTCCGTATCACCTTTCCCTTATCATTCAAGATGGTAGCTGTACTATTTGCTAGGATAGCCACCATTTGCTGTTGAGTGCTAGTCGTGCTAGGTATGAGTGAAAGTGTTTGTATTTTCACGCCCATTTGAGGTTGAATGCTGTGAAGACATGCACCTGTTGTAATGTCCCAAATCTAGAGCAGTGTGGATAAGTACACGATTGGCAATCACGTTAACTACAAATACCTTGATAGTTTCATCACTACTGGCTGTAATCACCTGTGTATTGTCTGCATTATACAAGACTGAATTCACAAATGAAGTATGTCCCTCAAAAGATGTCACTAGCTTGCCGGATTTGATATTGTGTATCTTGATAGAGTGATCATAACTACAACTCAATATCTGACTAGCGTCCTTATTGAAGCAAAGCGATGTGACACCCTGACTGTGAGCAGGTGAGAATCGTCTTGTGCAAAATCCAGTTTGCACTTTCCAGATCTATATAACAACAATGATTTAACACTTTTCCCTTTTCCCTTTGGCTACACTCCTTACTGCAATTTTTCCGTCTGTAGATCCTGATGCAAGCATCTCGCTATCTGCACTGAAACTCAATGAAATGACAGCTTGGTCCATGGCCATCAAGTTTTCTTCTGCTTGATATTTTAAATCTTTCTTCAATTTGCCACTCAAATAATTCCACACTTCGATGAATCCATCTACTGATCCGGATACTAAATATAATCCATTTGGTGAAAAGGCGGTGCATTCTGTATATGTCTTTTTCCCGGGTAACTATCCCACAGTTGCTTAGTGAGCATGCATATAAAAATACACTGTTCTTACCTTGATATTTGTATAGTTGTTATTTGCAAAAGCATCATTTTCAGCCTCTTGCACTTGATCGGATCCACGAAACAGATCAAATTCTGAGTCTAATGGCAGTAAGCCTTGATGCTGTTGCCACTTTACACAATCCTCTAACAGTGTAATCAATCGAGCGGGTTCTACCACAGCAACTTCATTCGCTAAAGCTACACGGCAAAACAGTCAGTAGCCGCCTTCTTTCTCTTCCACGCTGACATTTCCTACCTTGCGCAATTGCGCTTCTTTTCTTTTCTTTCGTCATGCCTGGAGGGTAGTTGTCTTTGGCATTAAACGTGGAACGGGACAATGTATGCTCTAGTCGCAAATATCTTTCCGGGTGTCTTTGTTTAAGTATAAACATGGGCTCTGTTTGTCGAAGCAGTGTTCTGGCTGCACTCAATTCACGTAGTTCAGCAAGCTCCAAGATAACTTGCTCGTACAAATCCATGAGCTTTCGTGGAGGGATTTTGAGATCTGCGGTACGCTTCAATACTGTGTCCCATTGTCCCTGTTTGATCTCTTTGATGAATGCTTCCTTGTTCTCCAGCGTGTTGATTCTGACAGTTGTTTCATTTTCAAGTGTTTGAGCTGCTTCAGGGTAATTGTTTTCTTTTAAAAATTGAAGCAAGAGACGAATCACGCTGTTAAATCAGTTAGAGATGCGTCAAATGAATTGTTATACAAGACAGAAGCTGGTATACCTACTCTTCAGATTCAATTTCAATAGACATCTTTTTTCAATGAGGAAGAAAGAGGTTGGAACTACAAATCCAACTCATCCTATTATCCACTTGTCATTGTGACCTGTTTAGATTCAGCAATGCACTGTGGGTGCCAATGGTCTACTCTCATAGTATTCAAGACAGTCTTTAATATGAGATCAAACAAATCAAGTATACTTAAGAATCAAGTTTTATTTAATTTAACCAATATATATTGGAAGACGCTGTACAAATGTATATAAGGTAGATGGAAGGGCTCTAAGTTTAAAGCTCGTCGTGCTCATGCTCTTCAAAAGTAGCAGCAGGAGTCTCACTCTGTGTGCTTTCCTCTTGCTGCTTCTTTTCAGAGTCCTCGTTGGGAGCATCTTGCTCCTTCTCGGTATCGTTCTTGGGTACTTCGGGTGTCTTCTTTGGTACCTTGGGCTTCTTCTTGGACATCAACTTCATCAAATGCTCCTTGACAGTCTGCGCTCTCTCCACAACATGGGAGGTGACAAGTACAGGATCATCTGTGTTGGCAAGCTTCTTTTGAGCAGCTACTTTTTCTGCCATCCAATGCTCCAACTTTTCAGCAGCAGTTAATAAGCCATCGAGCTCTTCCTCTGTGTGATAACGAAGGTCTTCAGCAACTTGGCTGATATTGGCAACGAATTCACGAGCAAGTTTGATGGTGGAATCCACGAGGTTGACGTTGTTGTCGCGTTCCTTGTATTCTCTGACACGATGTTGGATGGGTTGTTCAATGAGTCTACCAACATTTGTATGAGATACTTTGTCATAGCCTTCCTACTGTATAACTTACTGTAGCTCCTTGAGTTTGCTAGTAAATACAGGAGTATCAGCATGTTCGCCTTCATCATAAATCCAGTCAGAGACTTCCGATAATCTCTCCCTGAACTTCTCAATGTCGCTTTCAGTGGCAACAAGTTCAACAATGTCATTGTACAAAAAGTCTTGCACCTTGTAGACAAATGTTTCGAGAGCGTTGCGGGATTCTTCACGGAGCTTCTTGCGAGTATCCAAAGCATCCAATTCAGCAATTCTAATACAATCATGAGGCCCCTATACTATGCAGACTCTATAGCACACATTACCTCTTCTTGGCAATAGCCTTGTCCTTCTCAGAAAGAGGAGCAAGACCAGTAGGAATGAATTCAATAGTCAAAGGAATTTTGGTGATGGAGATACTTTCCTTGGCCTCTTCAGCAGCAGTATTGTTCTTGGCATCAGTAGTGCCATCGGTTTTAGCTGTTTCATTCTTTTGCTTGGCTTCTTCGTCCTTCTTCTACATGAGTCAATGAGCAACATGTCATCGCTGATCATTATTGGATCTTACCTCTGCTTCAGCTTCTTTGGAATCCTTACCACCAAAGAATGACTTGACTTTTTCTAGTGTATCGTATGAGTGAATGGAACCACAACCACTTCTTTGTTGCCAAAATACCTTTGAATGTTAACTTTCCAATTTGAAGAGTGGCTTCAGGAACAGATACGAGACCAGAGTTTGACAATTCAATAGAGATTCTAACCTTGGGAGGGATCTCTGATGCCTTGATATCATCCTTGTGCTTCTTCATTGCTTCAGTAAGACCAGTGACCTTGACTTTAGCAATGCCATCTACACCTGCAGCAGAGTTCTTTCCGTATGACAAATCGAACTCAAAATCGTTTACTCTGTTGAAGGTCATAATCTTGCGTGTACCAATCGTGTCGAACTTGTTGAAGAGAGTGGTATCAACAGCAGTTTTGGCTTTGGGCAAAATGTTAGCCTCTATGATGTGATGGGTCAAGATCTATGAGCTTATACCTTCTTTGCCCTTGTTTTCAGGCTTATAAGTCACCTCAATAGGGAACAGGGTAACATCCTTAATGCTGATCTGCTTGCTCAATCTGAACTGGTTACTAAGAGAGGCACCACGGAAAGCAGCGCCCAAAACAGCGGCCTCGTCAGCGTTTACATTCTTTGCAATCTTTTGACTAAAGGTACACAGCTAAATTAGCTTGGGCCTCGCTTTGTTTTTTTAAAAGATACTTACGCTCCAACAAGATCCATAAGTTGCTTTTGCACAGATGGTACGCGAACACCACCGCCAACCAATACAACAGATTGGATGTCATCCTAACGTCATAAAATTTAGCAACTGTCTCTTGAAAAGCAAAGGCTATACCATACCACAGTCATGTTGGCAGCATCCAATGCTGTTTGAAGGGGGTTTCTGACTCGTGCAATCAAATCCTTGCAAATATCCTCCAGCTCTGCTCTTGTCACCTTCAATTTGAAGTCGATACCTTCGTGAAGACTTTCAATCTAGTAGTCCATATGTTTAGGCTCGTTGCATCCCTCTTGTAATTTTGCCCTGTTACTTACAGATGCCATAGTTTCAGTGTTTGCACTCAAAATTTGCTTTACTCTGTTGGCCTCCTTCATCAATCTGGTCATGGCACCAGAAGATGTCTTGATATCGGTGCTGACACGACCGGCGTTAGCCTTCATGAATCCAGCAACCAAAAGTTGTTGAAGACGAACATCCAATTCATGACCACCCAATGTGCGGTCAAAGCCAACACCTCTCACTTCCAATTGAGGAGCACTTCTACTGATTTTACCATCCTTTGTCTCAACATTAGAGAAAGTAACAATTGAAGCGACGGTGGATCCAGCACCCATATCGTAAAAGATGTGATTTTCTGCTGATTTTCCAATTTCACGGTTGACAGCATAGTTGAGGGCAACTAGGGTACACAGGATTAGTATGACCCAAATCAGAATGTAGATCCCTACATACTTACCAGCTGTTTCGTCGTGCATTAGGGTCAACACATTCAAACCAGCAAGTTCAGCAGCGTCAAGGATAGCTTGACGTTCAAATTGATTCGCAAATGGTGTAACCTGAAATGTACATGAAGCTGATTAGCAAGTTGCAAGTGATCACTCTGCTTTTGGTTTACATACAGTGATCACACAATCCTTGACCTTCTCGCCTGCAGTGACAGAAGCTTGGTGCTTTGCATTTTGGAATTGGTAGGCAATCAGTTCTTCAATTGACAGTTGAGTTGTTTCGTTGTGGATGAACACAGGCATATCTCTTTCGCTGTCGACAATCATGTGGTTGATGTAGCGACGACGAAATTCTTGGGCAAGTGGGTCCTCGTACTTTTTAGCAATGATGCTCTTCAAGTTGGAGTATGTCAAGTGGGGGAATCTTCCAGCCTACATGAAAATGTGTCAAAAATGTCATCAAGCATTGATCTGATTTCATTTATTACCAAACTGATGGCATCGCCGCCATAGATACGTTCATCGTGGCGAATAGTAACAACAGATTGTGTCTTTCTCTTGGAATCTTTGTTCAAGGCAACATCTAAAGGCATACCTGGCTTGATAAGCCCAACCTTAAACCATTCAGTGCCATAATCAATGGACATGACAGCTGCGTGAGCAAAAGGTACAATTGTACATAATAACGCAACTGTGCAAGCAAGTATACACAGCCAACGTGATCCCATATTGAACGTGTTTTTTTGGTCAAAAATATGAAATTCAAAAAAAGGGGAAGAAGGGTTTGATGGAAAAAAGACAAATCAAAACTATACTTTTATAGTTCATTTTGTTCAATGAACTTGTCCAGCTTCAATTGGACAAATTTAACATGATAGCCCAAATGTCTACACGTCACTGGCTCAATGTTTGTGAGATTACAACTCGCGCTAGCTCCTTGGACAATGCAAGCAATGGCGAAAAATGACAAATGTCTGAAAGTGCATGCCGTTTATCAAGCAGGCTGTACAATTATTATTATTATCATTTTCGCTAGTACATTGCATACAGAAACATTGTGAATCTGTCTTTCTTGCGATACTCCACGTCTGTATCAAGAAGAATAATACATATGTGAGCAGACAGTATACTAGCAATACCTCTTAGCACTCAAAAGTACACAAAGCATAGACGTTTGGATATATTCAAGCAGTATTTTCTCGTGTTAGAAGCCATTTTAGACCGCAAGAATACTGCCAAACAATTGCTTTCATCTGGCATTTACTTGCCAATACCTTTGCTCAACTTTTTTGGGACCAAAAAAAAACATCTCTAAAAATCGACTCTAAACCATGAGGTACCCCTCATGGTTTTCGTCAAAAACCAAACGATCGCGTTTTTGACCTTGATAATGAAGACTTTTACTATGGTATATCTTACATCAAAATGTTCCTATCGATCTAACGTGGTCCCTGAAATCGTCTTTGTGGGACCTTGATATGGAAAATCTCAACGTTTTGGCCATAAACCTCATTTCATATTTTTAGAAATTACTCGATAATCTCAATCAAAATGTCTCTTGTATTTAGTACTATTGGATGCGCCTTGAAAAGTACTCCCAAGATGCATTAAGGACTATGGGGTGATCATCACAAGTTACATAGTCGATTTCAACGAAATAGTTCAATCAAGTCGATTTTAACCAGAATCTACCCAATCTAGAGCAAAACAAAATTTGCTGAGTTTCAACTTTGGGCTGCTTGCTGGTTGGCTGGCCTGATCATTGCCGTTTTTATGAAAGCAATCGACGTTTTGAAAGCTAATAAAGATAAAGTTGCCAGATTTAAGGTACCATAGTATAGAATGGATATCTTGTTTGGTACATGTCAGAGTCGTTTATAAATATCACACTTAATTGTTAAAATTTGCGCGTCAAGAGGCGAAGCCTAATGTGAAGTGCCCTATTCATAATCACATGTATACAAATAAGGAGTGTAGGGTTGTTTTATTACTTTATCTGCATCCCATTGCATTCCATTTATTACTTTCGACATTGCGTATCCCATGCTTTGAACAGAAGGGGATTTTGGGCATCTTCCAGCACTCAAATGTGCCTCTTTTCTTTCTGAAATGTCCAAATTTGACATTGCAAATGAGAACCACAATGCAACAATGACATATAGCCAGCGGATACCTACTCGAGGGGTAATCGATTACCATTTGTTTTGGTTCCACGGATATGGTCAATTCGTAAATGCATAAATCCTGAAATGCCTCTCAGTTCCTCCGCAGATTGACATTTCCGAATGTCTTTAACAATTTTCGCCTAATCGTTATGCCATTCAGATGTTTGCTGTGGATCAAAACTAAATGGTTGTGTCGTGTGAAATTCTCAATCAAAAAATATATTCTTACCAATCCCCTTTTCTTTCGCTTTCAACGCATTTCCATATAAAAAGGCTCGCCTTCTAAGATGGTTTCACTTTCATTAAACATCTCTAAATACTGAAGCTCCTGTGACCGGTGACAAAAGAGCAAAAGGAAAATCAAGAGAAAAAAAAAAAAAAAAAAACTTGTTCAAATAGTCCGGGGTGTTCTGTTTTATACCGTCGTTTCCCTTTCTTTCTCATTCTCAAATCTTTATTAAAACAATGTGGAATACCTGTCAAAAATATCAACAACCACTCAGGCGTTTTTTCTTGTCAAACCAAGTGAGAAACATTGCAAGCAAGCAAGCCAAAACTGTCCTCGTCAGCAAATGTGTCTCAATTCACTCTTCTACCAAGATCAGCAACACCAAAGACAGTAAGCTATCAGCATCATGGCATGTTGAACTAATTTAGCCAATTGACCCCGCATTGATAGATGCTAATTCCGTTTATACCGTCAGACCCACTGGATTTTGGATGGACAAGATCCTTCATCATGAATCAAAGAAGTCTGTTACCAACTGCACATCTAAGCCTCGTAAATTAATTGACAGAACTGTAAGTTTTGTTAAATGAATAGATGAAGATTTTTTGGTCTAGTGTGATTAATTCATCTCCCGTTTATCTATATTGCTGCCTTATATAGATGAGAGATAGTTACATGGAAGAGCATCTCCCCTTCAAGTCGTCTCCCGAGCTTTTGGATGAGTACATCTTCTCTGATGGTAAAATTCGTACAGGCAAGCTTTTGGAAGGTAGGCTTTTACATATCAGTAATATAAACTCCACACGGTTTCATTAATGCGGTTTCAAACGTTGCTAGATTTGGATGCTCTTGCTGGTGCCATTGCCTACAAGCACATTGATAACGGAGACCCAGAGGCTCCCCCTGTCACTGTAGTCACTGCTAGTGTGGATCGCCTCGACCTCTTTTTGCCCGAAGCCGGCATTGAGAATTACAAATTGAGTGGCCATGTCACTTATGTTGGTAGTAGTTCCATGGAAAGTAAGTGTTCTATCGCAATCATTGGTTAGACGGATTGTCTAATATTGAACCTTTTTCAGTTTTCATCAAGGCTGAGACAGTTCCTGAAGGTGAGGATGGATCCAGCACTGATCCCATTGAAAATCCCGAGAATCTGGGTATACTTCGCATAAACACAGTATTGGCCACAAGATTTACCATGGTAGCTATTGACAGCGGCACTCAGAAACCTGTCAAAATCAATCCCTTAAAGTTAACTTCTCCTGCTGAAGAAAGACTCTTTGAGATGGCCGAAGCAAACAAGAAGAGAAAGAGACGTGCAGCCGAGACATCCTTGCTTCGTCAACCTCCTACCCCTGAAGAGCGTCTTGATATCCACGATATTTTCTTGCAATACTCTCAATACACCAACGGTTTGAGCGATGATGCATTTGTCAACTCTCAATCTTCCGACGAGATGCAACCTTTGCCTGATAACATGGTCTGGATGCGCGATACAAAGATTGAAAGCAACTTTTTAATGCAACCTCAAGACAGAAACATTCACAACAACATCTTTGGTGGTTATTTGATGCGTCGTGCTTATGAATTAGCTTATGCCAACACCACGCTCTTTATGAAGTCAGCATCTCCCACCTTGCTGTCGATGGATGAAGTTACATTCAGAAAGCCTGTTCATGTGGGTACGCTTTTGAACTTGAGATCTGGTATTGTCTTGTCTGAAGGTTATCCTCATCGCTCTGTGCAAGTGCGCGTCATTGCTGAAGTTATCAACATTGAAAAGGGCACTCGCGAAACTACAAATATTTTCCATTTCACATTGGCTTCTGGCGCAAACGACAAGGTGAAGCTTCGCCGTATCTTACCAAAGACTTATGCTGAAACTATGCTCTGGATCGATGCCAAGCGTAGACGTTTCCAAGGTATTCATGCCAGACATGCCATGTTGGAAGCTGGTATTCAACAAAATTAAGACTTTCTGCATTCATTACTATTATAACACACATTCGCACAACAAGTAGACCCTATTTATTCAATAAAATCATGATATTTTAATCGAAAAGAGGCAAGCCAAAACCGAAAAGCATAGGATCATTGAATCTTTGGTTGGTCTTAAGGTTGCTCAAAACCTTGTTGTCTTCTTGATCCAATTGAATGTTCATAATATCCAAGTTGCTCTTCATTCTGTCTTCATGGACACTCTTGGGAATGACAGCAATGTTTCTGTCAAGAGCATAACGCAACAATACTTGACCTGTAGTGATGTTATGCTTATCAGCAATAGATTTGACATTGTCGTTAGCAAGCAAGGATTGATATGTCTTGCCAGATTCAGATAAATCCACATAGGAAGTAGGACCAAATGAAGAGTAGGCAGTAACTTGAATACCTTGCTCTTGAACCCATTTGACTAAGCGCTCTTGAGGCAACAAAGGATGAATTTCGATTTGCAAGACTGCAGGCTTGATCTTTGCATAAGTGAGCATGTCGAGAATAGCTTGGCAGTTAAAGTTGGCGACACCAATGTTGCGAGTTAATTTGGCTTCGACCAACTTTTCCATCTCGGCCCAGCATTCGTGAATGGGAGAACGTTCATAAGTGAGCTTGTCGGCACCAGGGACATACCATTCGGGAGGGTAGTTGACAGAAGGGTCCACATATTGCAAGGGAATGGGGACTATTGACAATGTCAATACTCGTTGCATAAGAATTCTCGTATTATGTATTTTACTTACAGTGAATGAGATAGAGATCAAAGTACTCGAGTCCCCAATCTTTCAGTTGTTTGTCGAATGCAGCACGAACGTGTTGCTTGCTATGGAAAGTGTTCCACAACTTGGTGACAACTACCGTTATCATTAGCAAACCAGACTTTTGAGACCGCAGGGTGTATCTACTTACTGAAAAGCTCTTCTCTCTTGACCAATCCTTCCTTGATAGCCTTGTTTACACCACGGCCAACTTCTACTTCATTTCCATAATCACAAGCGCCATCAAAGAGTCTGTAGCCAATCTTGATTGCTTGATAGATAGTGTTTTCAGCATCCTTCTTATCAATCTTCCAACAACCGAAACCGCGAAGAGGCATCTTATCGCCAGTTCTATTCAAAGTAACGTAGTCTGCAGTCATTTTTGCTTATAAGAGTTGTTTAAACGTGAATGGAAAATAGTTGAGAAAAAGAAAGTGATGTCAACTTGTATTTATACCTTTTTGCTTGTGTTCCCGCGTAGATTTTTAGCAAACATTTGGACCGAGGATTGTCATAGAGGCCGATCTCTTTTTGCTGGGACGTCGTGGGAAAGCATCAAGTTTGCTTTGGTTACCGACTTGCTTTTTGCAGAAAGCCACGGGTAACTGATGAGCAACCAGCCTAATTGTCTGCCGCAGTAGTTGTCACTGTTTGACAAGCAACATTGACACGCAAAAATCTAGGGTTTGATTAATAATCGAAGATGCTGAGTGCTGATCTGCCTACGATGATAGGTTCATAAAAACAGGGAAGTAGAACCCTTCAAATTATGTTGGCATTCCGTCATTTACATTAGAAATTCTACTTGGTCCCATTTTGAGTATACAAATCAATAGTATCAGCTAGTTTTTTCATAAATTTCTTGTTAGCTGACAAAACTAGTCGACTATTCACTCGTACAAACAGCATAAAAATAGCATTTCTTCTGTATATTATCCTCACTAGCAGATCTATCTCGCTACGCTCGATGCCGGTGTTGCCCTGTGGGCTCTCGCCAAAGTCATTTTAAATCAGATATAATTAAATTTTGGTATATCAGGTAGATTTTAAAGGTTATATTAGAGCCACTAGGAGGAGGAGAGGAGGTATCTTCCTCAGCATCCTTTTTGCTTACACTAATATCAAACGAAACCTATTTTTGAGACGATATGAAAGAAAATTCAAGTTTTATGTAGCATTTGTACGCCACAATCTCCATTTTCTGATAGTAGAATTGCCATACCATTTGCTGCTACCGATGCTTTTAATAAGATGGCGACATAAAGTTGGTCATAAGTAAATACAAGACTTGCGTAAGATCTATAGCCACTTTTTTGAGATATTGTCATTGCAAAAGACACCTTCGTGAGGCAAAGCTCCCCCAAAAAGTATTTGTGCTAAGCAATTGTTCTTTCAATGACATGATCCTCATTTGATCAGCATCGCAATCATCATTGTCATCAACAAAAAGACATTTAGGTCAGCCAGCAGCAACGCCACTGCCAAAATTGATTCAAGCTCAGTTTGTTTTTCTGTTCAAGATTGGACAGATTTTGTCTTTTTCCGACTTCTTTAATCTATCTTATGATATTCGACTATACAAACTGTAATAATCACCTTACGCTTCCTAATACACTCTTGAAGTACTTTTCAAGGCGCTTCCAATGGTACCAAGTTATATAGATGTTTTGAATTCACTTATTGAATGATTTGTAAATATATGAAAAGAGGTTTCTGGCCAAAATGTCGAAATTTTACATATCAAAGTCCCACAAAGATGATTTCAGTGGTTGCTTTGGATTGATAGAAACATTTTGATTCAAGATATACCATAGTAAAAGTCTCCATTTTCAAGGTGAAAAACGCGATCGTTTGATTTTCGATGAAAATCATGAGGGGTACCTCATGCTTTTTGGTCGAATTTTGTTCATGTTTTTTTGATCCGCAAAAAGTTGAGCAAAGGTGTCAGAAAGTAACTGCCAGATGAGAGCAAGTGTTTGGTCCTATTATGACAATCTAAAACGGCCTTGGAAGCGAGAAAACGCAGCTCAAATGCATTCAAATTTTGCTGTATTATGGATACTAAGGATTAAAAAGTGGAAATACCAGCATGCTACTTGCCCGTATATGAAGTAGCTACGAGTATATGGATGTAGAGCATCATATAAGAAGCAGATCCACAGATAATATGAAGGTTTTTCATATGCAAGTAGAGGGTCAGCTTGAACGTAGTAGTATTATGTTAAGATACGCAAGGGCAACCGGTAGCTCGAGTTGTTGCTGTGCAGGTTGATTCTCACCGAAACGAAGCGAAGGTAGAGAACAATCTGAAGCATAAACACTCATATGATTAGTGATTATATATCAGTCAACAATCAGGGTTCTTCTTCTAACATTTTAGCTATATTAATTTTGGGATATTAGCCAAAGGCCCGCGGCAGCGCGAGCCGTTTGAACGTAGGTTGGTTTCCACCGAAGCGAAGCGTAGGTCAGGAAACCACCCGAAGTGCTGAAAGGCTCGTATACCATAGTAAAAGTCTTCATTTTCAAGGTGAAAAATGTGATCGTTTGATTTTCGATGAAAACCATGAGGTACCCCTCATGCTTTTTCGTCAATTTTTGGCCAAGTTTTTTTTTGGCCCGAAAAGTTGAGCAAAGGTATCAGGAAGTTACTAATACTCAAGTACAATTGTTTGGTGTCATTCCGGTGGCTCAGAAATGTCTACATGTCAAGGTATGAAGGCTTGAAAGCTGTAAAATTTGGTTATGTATTGCTTTATAGAGTTTATTTACACGGCATGAATCACATCTTTGGTAGCTGAAGCCTTCTGGAAGGGCGATTCTGCAGCCTGCGTAATTTCTACTTTGAATAGAAAGCATACTGATTTTGGTAAAGCTGATTCATGCAAATTTTGATGCGTTATTTTGTTGGTAAGCTTATTAACAATAACAATGAAAAGCCGAATTTGCTGCTTATACACTATGGTTTTGCATATTCGCTTCGCTACAGTCAAGCCCTTGTATAGATCAATGCTGCTATCAAATGCTGGATTGGATGCTTAGTTGTCGTAGGTTTGCACTTTTGCTTCGCTGCTATAAAGTCCTCATATAGATTCGTCTTGTACGGCACACAATTCTTTAAAATTTTGAAAGGATATGGTTTGTTTATCTACTTTTTTTGAATGTTTTACAGTATATAGAGTGAAGACAGTTTCAAGAAACTCAAGATGCCAGCCCTGTAAATATAAACTTGTGCAAAAATTAGTCGCTCATAATCGCTATTGAATGCTCAACTCGTTTAGGATGGCTTCAATTAATCTCAGTTTTTTGTAATTTGAAGGAGATTTCATTAACAATTACTAGTAAAGTTAGCGTTACTTCAACAGTATCATATTTATCAATGACATACGCACAATTGCAACGTGCGATGGCCGGGAAGATGTCCGAGGGCACTGAGGCCTATGCTTGCAGAGATTTCGATAGATGGACAATCCCAAGAACCTAGGACAGTAAAGAAACCCAACTCTTTGATTACAAGCATTCTAACAGTTTCGATGTCACTAAAAAAGCGAGACCATCTTGCTACCGATTTTCTGTAGAGAAAAGACTGAATTTGCGAAAGTAGGCATTTTGCATGGAATACAGTACGGTATGCTCATTTGAATTCTATTTCGCTGCTGCTCAGCAAGAGCAAAATATGCTAGGTGATTATATGCAACACATCCTGTCAATTTATTTTTCTAGTCCTGAGTTTTAGCATGTAGAACATATGGCATTGCCCATGTCGCAATTGTACATTCTTTAGAGAATCTTCCTTATTCATTTAAGGGTATCCTTGATAGGAAAATTCGTTTCAGTGACGCTAATAGCAATATATTCTCATTTCAAATCTGGCCTACTTGACTCTATGCATGAAAAAATAATGCCTTGTGGTGCAGCAGATGGTGATACCATGTCTTGTTCCTCGTTGAGCGACCATTCTAGCCCTTGGTCCACCAAACTAGGATATTATGCATCATTTCGTACCTGGATTTGTTTGGCCGCTTAGCTTATAATTTATGGCGGATACAAGCATGAATGCATAGTTTTGCAAATAAGCCATAGTAGTATTCTATTACGTACCATCTTATATAAGGTTCATTCAATTACCCAATAATTTGAAGGAAGCAAATCGTCCAATAAAGTCGTTGCATCGAGAGATGGCTTACATAGTACAAAACGAAATACATAGAAGATACATAGCTTTATTCCTTATATACTGTTCGTATGTAATCAACTTGAGAGATGGTTGAGGTTGCTGCATTGACGGATCTGCATGAATTTGCAAGCCTTCTCTGGGATCAAAATGGCATGTAATGTTCTGTTGTGTTCTATATTTGTTGCACGTTTACGGTAGGCCAAAGTTTCGTTCTTGAATACTGGCTGCTCGTTTAAAATATGACCCATTTAGTATTTAACAGGTTGCAAACACTGGGATTGAACCTCTTTAGGGCGATAAGGTCAATATCAAGCATAAATCAAGGTCAATTGTGCATACAATGCTGCTTTTTATTTCAAAAATTGGTGTCGGCCATGGCACGAAATGATGCCATGCTCAATTTTACAGCATTTTCTCAACTATTAATACACATGTTGGACAAAAGGTCACTGCAGCATTTACAATAACTTTGTGACTCAACTATATAACTCTTACAACATATGACTCACAGTTATACTATGAATCTGGGGTAAAAAAAAGAGCCCAAACCAAGTAATTTGTGATAACAGCCGATCGGATGCTTGAGATATACTCCGCGTTAAAACAGAATATATAAGGATGATTTGCTTTAGGTTTTCGTATCATTCATTAGATCATTCCATCTTTCTTCCTGCTTATATTACAATAAATATGTCTGCAATCACAATTAATTCCCAAAAGCCCAATCATTTTATCACCACCGCAGACTACACTGCTGAACAGCTACTTGATTTAGTCAATCGTGCTATTCAATTCAAGGTCGAGTCAAAGTACAGCCATCCCAAAGCCCGCACTGATCGCCCTTTGGCTGGAAAGACTATGGCTCTCTTATTCTCAAAGCGATCCACTCGTACTCGTGTGGCTACTGAAACTGCTGTTAGTTATTTAGGTAAGTTGTTGATGTTGATGATTGAGCATTGCATGTTGACATTAGTCTTGTAAATTAGGCGGCAATGCCATGTTCCTGGGAGGTCAAGATATTCAACTCGGCGTCAATGAATCATTGTTGGACACCACTCGTGTAGTAAGCTCAATGGTTGATGGTATTATGGCTCGTGTTGGTAGCCATGATGAGATTGAGGTAAGTTTTATTGAATTACGGATATGGGAATTTCAGAAGAGATGATCTAAATCTAAATCTATGCTAGACTCTCGCTAAAGAGTCTGCTGTACCTGTGATTAATGCCTTGTCTGACAAATATCACCCTACCCAAATCTTGGCTGATTTGATGACAATTCATGAATACTATCACCACAAGAAGAACAATGTCCCAAAGGGTGCCTACTCTGCTCATACTCAACATCCCCGTGAAACCCTAAACGGCTTGAAGGTCGCATGGGTTGGTGATGCCAACAACATTCTTCAAGAAATCTTGGTTGCTTTCCCCAAGTGTGGTATTAGCGTATCTGCTGCCTGTCCTTCTGGCTACGTCTGTGATCAAGAAGTTATTGATATCGCTCAAGCTGATGCAAAGAAGACTGGCGCCTCTGTTGTATTCACTACCAATCCCGAAGAAGCCGTTAAGGATTGTGATATCATTGTTACTGACACCTGGGTCAGTATGGGCCAAGAGGAAGAGAAGAAAAAGCGTCTTGTAGAATTTGAAGGCTACCAAGTTACAAATGATTTAGCCAAGCGTGGTGGAGCCAAGGCTGACTGGGTGTTTATGCACTGTCTTCCCCGTAAACCCGAAGAAGTCGATGATGAAGTCTTTTACTCTGACCGTTCTATAGTCTTCCCTGAAGCTGAGAACAGAAAATGGACCATCCTTTCTGTTGTTGATGCCTTGATGGTTCGTGGTGGCATCTAAGTCGTAGAAAAGACAACAGAAATTGTATCATATCTTAAAATAATAGCCCTTTGTCATCTTTCAGATGATTGTCAATATTTTCTTTCATTTAAAATACTTTTTTAAAGCAAAAATAAATCATATACATCTATATTTTTTATCTTAATCACTGTTTAACCTCTTTTTGTGTTTGAGCAAGGGCCTGGCGGAAATCACAGATAAAAATTTGTTTGAACAAAGTCTGCTCGTGCAGGGCAGACGTAGTTGGTTGAATCAAATGTTTGATGGAGGAGTTAGAGGCAATAAAATTTGGTTTTGTCTTTAGGCACATTATCATAACTTAGTTTCAAGGCCTAATCTACGACTATCTCTTAACATTGACCAGTTCAACTACATAACCAAAACTCCATAGTCTATAAAGGCATTTCATTTGGCTGCTAAGCATTTAGATAGTTGTATAGGATTTACAGAACGATAAATGAAAGTTCCATAAGGTATCAAGGGCACATTTACAAAGCTTGCTTGTATATTATGGCATGTACCCCTCTCCCCTGTGTTCACATACGCCTTTGTACGCTCCTTAGCATTGACGTTTAAGAGTTCTGGCAAGGCTTCCAACTGTTGTAATTTGATTTCGATTGAATTACCGATATGTAATCCAAGAAGGTAATGCGATATGTATCAGTGTAACCGGGGGGGGGGGAGTAAAGTAAATGATTACCATAGACAACAAAGTTCTGAATAAGAGAAAGTGATTCTTTTGGTTTGAATTGTATTCACTCAGATATATCCATGAGATCACATTTTTTAGTACAGGCAATGTAAAGAGGCTCATGTACATGGTCGACATCAAACTTCGAGTATAGGCATAGTGATATCGGATTTATACACTCTTGATTTGTACCTGAATTTTCAACATTTGTAGCTATATTGTGAGATTGCTCATCTAGCGTACAGTGACATACCTTGATATTGCTCTTAATACAATACATATGCTCTGTTTACATTGTAACATTCTCAATAAGAATTAGAGGGCAATCTTAACTTTAACTCATTTGGAATCTGTGGAGGGTACCTTTTTTTCTAATTATTCTGTAAACTTCTTTTCCCCTGATAAGAACGTAATAGTGAATCGGTTATTTACGATCAACTAGCGCAATTTTGTACAAACATGTGTGCTTTTATTGATTTTTTTCAGGGGCATTACACATTATATATAAAATTCGTTGACATTACTTTAAAAATGCCAATGTTGTAAACAGAAAAACCAGGGACCGCTTCTAGCTTGCTTATAATTCATGCCGATTTGTATGTAACGCATATTCCATTGTTCTATTTATCGGCCTTCTTATCTTTACAAATTAGTTACAATCGCAAAACAAATGGCTCATGTTTAATGTACCCGTGAGATGTTGATGTAGGAAAAAAAATTAGATAGCACTAGTGCAAAAATATACACAAACATCAATATCTGCCGAGTCGGATCCACGAGAAACTGGAACTAAAAATTATGCTCCTGATATCTTTTGTAATACATGGAGCAAGTATGGGGTCGAGCATACCATGCTGATGTATCTTAACTGAGATCGAAAGCAAGGCATCTCAATTCACACACCCTTCAGATCATACGCATCTCACATCATTCTTCATATGGCATTTCGAACCGCATTCAAAAGCAATCAATCTGAAGCATGAGTTGTGGGTGGAAGGGCGAGTTCATGCCTGATTTAAGTGGTAGTTAGCTCCATACAGTTACTGTAAGAGAAGAATCAGGTACAATGATGCAACTTGGCTTTGTTTGAAGCATATATTTGCACCTAGTCTCTCTAATTCAGATAGATGAACTAGACTAAAAAAGAACAATCAAGCTCAATACACAGTTATATTTGATGATATGATTAGGTTACGGGTCACCTTTGCTACAACATAGATATCCATCAATGACGGCATTTGCCTGGATGTTGTTTACAATAATCAAACTTAAATCTGCTTGCAAGGATTGATTTCATGATAGATATGTCCTTAAACACCACTCGGGCGGGAATCGTTAGTTTAAACTTGATTCTTTAAGAACTATATATAAAGGCAATTGATTGTGTTGCCGTTTCCTACAAGTAACCACCATCTCTCAATTCAATTCAAAGTACAAAATGACTGTAGAATATATTACTCTTCAAAACTCTGGTGACAAGATGCCTCTCATTGGTTTTGGCTGCTGGAAAGTTGACCCCAAGGATGCTCCTGAGACAATCTTCAATGCCATCAAGGTTGGATACAGATTGATTGATAGCGCTAGTAATTACAAGAACGAAGTTGCTATCGGAAAAGGTATCAACATGGCTATAAACGATGGCTTACTGAAGCGCGAAGATATTTTTGTAACCACAAAGCTCTGGAGTACCTACCATAAGAAGGAGCATGTTTGTCTTGCCCTTGAACAACAACTGAAGCAACTTGGGCTGGATTATGTTGACATGTTTCTTGTACATTGTAAGTTGAAAGCGCATTCAATGATGTATAGCTGTTATCATTAACCGCTTGGCACAGTTCCCCTTCCTCTCAAGTATGTACCTATCGAACAGAAATACCCTCCTGGATGGTATCAACCTGGAGATGACAAGGATTGAAAGATCACATTGGACCGTGCTCCAATGCATGAATGCTGGGCTGAGATGGAAAGACTTGTTGATAATGGCCTTACTCGCAACATTGGGGTGTCTAATTTCAATTGCCAACTCTTGATGGACATGCTTACCTATGCAAGAATCCCTCCAAGCTTATTGCAGATTGAACTTCACCCATATTTGTCTCAAGAGCATCTCGTCAAGTGGGCTCAATCTCAAAGTATTGCAGTCACTGCATACTCGTCATTTGGCCCTACTTCTCTCATTTCAACTGGCTCCAAGAGAGCAAAAGCAGTTGAACCTTTGTTCGAGAACCCAGTTATCAAGGATATCGTTGCAAAGTACAATAGAAATCCTTCTGAAGTTGCCTTGAGATGGTCTCTTGAGCGCTCTGTTGCCGTTGTGCAAAAGAGTTTAAACATTGATCGCGTGAGAATGAACTTGGAAGCTTTGAACTGGGAAATGGAGGAGGAAGATGTCGAGTCTATCAACAAATTAGACACGGGTCTTCGTTTTAATGATCCTATGGTAAATGCTCAAAATATTCCTCTGTTCTACTAGTTTTTTCTTCTTTTTTTTATCAAGGAGCTGTCTTCTTCATATATTCTCTTGCATGCCGTTCGAGTGAGTTCTCGCTATCATTTTCTCTAAATAAAATCTACTCGTTACCTATACACAAATCGTTGGATTTATTTTAGCATATTATCGATTAAAGTTTAGTTTATGTTTTATTCTGAGAAAAGATCCAAATACCACATAACATGTATATTCCAAAGCATTAAAATGTTTGTGAAGAGCTGTATACAACATACTTGTATGTAAGCGAGGCTCCATATCTGCTTTAGGTAATTATTCCTAAACAGTTGATTTATTACCCACCACCTTTCTAAGTGTGTACAATCAAATGGCATTTGTGTCTATGAGGAAAAAACGCAAATGCTTCTGTGTAATCAGAAAGGATATGAAAGAAAAGGCATCCAATAGCCATTTTTTTATATTTATTCGGAATAGTCCTCTAAAATGACAATTGTATATTGAGTTCAATGTGTTCAATTAGTTTTGAAATTAATGCAGACCTAACTCATGAATCCTGTTAAGCCTGATGGTTACGGTATCACATCACAGTGTAAATTTAAGGAAAATGTAGTGACGAAACAGTAACTTGGCATAAAATTTGTATTTGAAAAGATATTGTAGGACTAATGACTAGCTCTTTCTGCAAGATATGCACCTCGGGTGTAATTGGTGGTTAGTTTGTAATTTCATTAAACATTTTTATTTGAAATGGACAAAAAGTATATTAGATGTCAATTATAATAGTCAGAAAATGTATTAATAGAGATGCAGAGTACATTACTAACGCAAAAATGAACCAAAAACCTGGATATCATCACAACAGTTGGTGTCAATGCATCTCGTAACAGTGAAGGTTATCTTGTCAGGTACACTCAGACTTTGCATGTAACCTTTTAATTTAATATAAACATTAAATCAGTTTGCAAAACAATAAAGATCATCTTTTATCTCAATTTTATTCTTTTATATACATCTATCTAAGTCTACTCTAAAACTATATCTCTACACACGACAATCTTTCAAACAGGGCTACATACACTAAAGTACAAAAATATACAAAAAAAATGCTCATTAACAGGGTCGAACTGTTGACCTTGGCGTTATTAGCACCACGCTCTAACCAACTGAGCTAAACGAGCTACTTGATATTTTGTCAGATTTTAATACATAGAAATAGTATATACAAGCTGAGATCTGATCGAGATATAAATGGAAGTAGTTATAGTGTGCAGGAAGATGTTATAGCCTTTTAGTTGAATGGATAAAAAGGTGCTTTATTAATATTAGATTTGAACGTTGATTTTATCCAATATAGTTTGTGTAATGTTGTGCGCTATCCAGGTTAATCGCTGTTTAATGTTCCTGGTAGCTGGCGCTCTAGGTTAAAACTTGCGCTTCTTATTCTTGTTTGTGTTTAGTCTGTCAATGATATCCTGCAGATCTAAATCACTGTCAGAATACCCTTCAGCACTGACAATTTCGTCTAATTTTAATTTTTATTTATTCCATAACCAAAATCAACTATGCACACTACAGTCCTGATTTTTTCCTCATGTTTCTTTATATGCAGAGTACGAATGTCCTATTTGCAGAAAGGTGGTGATCTTTTAAAGGGCTCTGTAGGTCGAGAAACAGGTGTTTCTAGAGATTTGAAAGCTGAACTATGTTTTGAATGGTATATAGGTACATTTGAATCCAGTTGCACTCAAATCAAAGTAGCATATTGCCAAATAACTCCCTTATATATATTCTACCCAACAGTGTAATATGTACACTCTGTCCTTTGAGCAATACTAAGGGTAGAACTTTTACTTTGCTCCTATTTTCACATTACTATTACCCTAAAAACAGTGGCAGTGCTGCTGATCGAAATATAAGTAGATGTAGGTAGTATCGATATAGAGAGTGTGTAGAAAGATGTTCTTGCCGTTTAGTTGAGAATGGATAAAACTGTGTCGTTATTAACATTGAATCTGATTATTGCTTTTATCCAATATATAGTAGTAGTTGTAATGAGCAGTACAATGATCTTGTAGGGTGGAAGACAGATGTACTATTGATGGACAGTGTGGAATTTGAGGCTTGATAGACTAAAATTCACGGAAAAAAAAGAATAAAAAAAAACAGTAATGTCAACTTGATAAAGGTATGTTTTATTATCAAACTGACAGGTGTAAAGTAAACTGAAGTCTCTCTACTGGCCAGGTAGATGATCCTTCTTATATACTATAACAATGGATAAAAGTTCTATTAATTAGATTAACAAATAAGTCAACTCAGATCAACTAATGTCTAATCATGCTAAAAGACAACTCCAGCAAACTAATCATGATTTAGCTTTGCCTGGATGAATAATTAGACACTCATCCAAAGTATTCTAATCTATCCTTTCTATAAGGATAATTAATATCGATCTAGTAGCATGTATCCGATAGGTACAGTCTTCTTAGTCTATATTAATAGTACATATTATCTGAGTGTATATCGCTAAGCATACATCTTTAGCATGTATCTGGATATATGGCATGTCTATAGCATATCGTATGCATGTCTATAGCATGTCTCATATATAGTACAAGTCTGTAGTACATAAAGTATCTGTAGCTAGTATCACGGATATAAGCATGTGTCTTATAGCGTGGATCATGAAGTGCACATCTGAAGCAACAAGCTCATATTGCATTAATCTTGGTGCCTATCCAGATATGGTAAACATCCGTAGTCAATGTCGGAATACAAGTATAAATCTATAGTGCCATCCATGTCCGTGGTGCCATCTATAGCCTATATCTTATATAGTATGAATCTTATAGTACTAGCGTATCTGAAGTCCATATCTTCTTATAGTATAAATCGATATCGTACATCTAATCCAGCGTACATACAGTTTATATCTAAATCTAGTAACTGGATGAACTGTCGGAATGCAGATCATAGTGGATGTATTCCACTAGTATTAGATTAAGTGGGGATTTATTATAATAAAAGTATAGTAAGAGTAATGACAGATATTTTCATTAATGTGCAATACCTATCAAAGGGGAGCTGAGGCTATTTATATACTATGTTAATGTTTCAATCATGCAGAGTGAAACATATGTAATGTGGATCATTACAGTAGTTTGTATTATGATATTATGAGCTACCCATGTTGCTCACTGTTTGGCATTTCTAGTAGTAGCTGGCGCTCTAGGTTTTAAACTACGGTGGTACGCTTCTTATTCTTGTTTGTAGTTAGCTTATTGATGATACCCTGCAGATGTAAACCATAGTCAGAATACCCTTTAACCCTAAAAAGTTTGTCCCAAGCCTATAGGTAAATAGGGTATATAAGACTGAGATTTGTTTCATGTTAATTGTTTATATTTCCTAGCAGCACGTTCTTACTGGTAAAAAGTTCAGAATGGATAGCATTTAGAGCTTTGAAGATCAGCCAAATATCAGTGAACTCTACTGAACGTGCTTGATTCAAATTCATACTTGTGTGCTGTACACGTGCAGAAGGTCAACGGAGCTTCAATTTCTATTGTTCTGAATGATGATCCATAGGATTCCGAAATCTATCGACCTTCAAATTACGCGTTTCTTGATAGTAAACACCCCTTTAAGCTTGTATAAAACTTGTAGAGAATTTAAAGGAAAATACAATGGCATTTGTTTCAAGTCTCTGGTATACATTGTTCACCTGATATTTGGTACGATTGTTTTTGCAATTTTTTGACTGTTTTCAAAAGATTAATCAGTATCTGTCATCAAAACATTTTGTTAAGCATTACTAAACATTATAGACCAAAACATTTCCTATCGAAAGAGCTATTGCTTAAAGCTCTGGCATAACTCTATCATAAAATATTAACAATTTTGTCCTGACCAAAAAATCGTCACCAGATTTTTCGCTTGCTATCACACGTAGATTCTGAAGAAAAATCAATGATTTTGCATGATATCCTTTTTTGACCATATCTCGACAAATACTCACTGGATTTGCGCAAATCAAAAACCATTCAATAGCTCTACATTGGATTGACCGTTTTCTGCAAAGCGTAATACCAAATGTACGTTTCTCCTATGGGTTTGCTCAGGTTCCTGTATTTTGCAACTTTTAGTAGGCAGAAAAGTTGTCAAACGACTCCAAATGGAGTTCTATTTGCCACATAGCTTGGCACATAATGGAAATACAAACCAAATAATACCTCACATGTAAGTGATGCTGCATGGCTTGTACACAAGTAAGCTAATTTTTTATATAATTTGGAGGCTCTTTATTAAGAAGAATATGTACTGAATCTGCGCCACTTCATCTTTTATATTACTATTGATTGCGCGAAACAAAGAGTTACCTCCCGTTTGAGGTCTTACTTGAAGCTGTAGCGCCAGTTCTCGTGGATCAATAATGCCCAATAGGTAAGCTTCCTCTGCCAAAAAATTGGCGAAATACGATCGCTCAAGGTTAACTTTTGCCACTGTGAGACATACATAAAATAATTTTTACGTATTGCTATGTGCCATAACACGCCCTGAATTTATTCTATAGACTTGAGCATCACATATGTATGTTTCCGTAAAGCTATTAAAAAAACTTGTTTTTGCCACTACTGTAAACTACAATTTTGGTGTCAAAAACCGGATTCTTGAAAGGAAATATTGTAGAAGGCCAAGCGAGGTCTCATTTTTTGGAGAAAACAAAGGGAAACACAACTTAATTAATGGAGAAGATAGGTTGAGTTGACAGTTGTGTAGGTAGTAGCGCTCAAACACTGTTCTTTTATTTTATAATAATATGAGTTGTTGCGTAACACTTTTTCACTTAATTATTTGACAAACGATGTAACAATTGATAATCCCTTTATGTGTTTAGTAACCCCTCAAAGTGGACATATAATCGTCCTAATATCAAGTCTGTAGCATTAACATAGGGCGTGGAAAGGCTATTTCACCCTTTAGTAAAATGCGCAGCAAACTTTGACCATTTGTCAAACCGCAATGTAGCAAGATATAAGCGGCCGGTTTTAGATACAACCGTTCCCAACATCTCGCCCACCAATTCATTAGCCGTATTCACTTGTAATTAACGTTTTATAAGCCTGCCACACCCCAACACCTAGAATTCCAAACAAACTTCGGATACACACATGGAGTGTAACATTTTCCTTGCATTTGCAAATGTATGTGTAGATCTCATAAAGTGGACCCAACAGTGGGGATCAAGAGCAAACATCACCAACAATGAGTGGTAATGAATGTACCTTGTTAACATCTAGAAATGGCTAACTGTCTTTTTAATCGACTTACCCTCCAACTTATTCTCGATCTACCATTGACATTCACATAGGTGAGGCAATTATGTACAATGATTACAAACGTTGCTCACTTGCTCTGCTGAAATCAATGATCGAATTTCATATCTGAAGCACAACGTTACACTCACACTTATATATAATAAAATGCGTTTTGCATGATTACTCAAGGGAACAGCATCAAATACTTTTATATGGTGAGGATAGTCCGAGCGCTTAAGAATGGCTATCATTATCATGACAAGCTTTTTGTTTAATATATATATTTACTGCTAATTTACTTGTGTGATACCCAAGAAAAACAAAAAAAAATGGCTATGATCGCCGTTACTTGTCGTTTAAGCTTCGATAATGTTGCCAGGTGCTTTCTCATCTCTCTTAAGATCCAACATCAATTCCTTCATTCTAGTGACATCCTGTGTATGATAGCCGGTCTTTGCATTGCTGATATCCACTTCACGAGCTACACGATCCCAAATGTTGCCTGAAGATGCAACTTCTTCACGATTCTTTTGAGTATTTTCCTCGCGCTCCCTATATCGAGGGACGATCAGCATTGGCTATCGATACAGTGAAACTCCACAGCCAGAATAATTTACCTGTTCTCTTCAATTGCTTTTTGCTTTTTGTCATTGTATTCTTCGTAAAATTTATCAATGTCCTCACGAGCTTGCTTGATAGTTTCTTCCTTCTTCTTTTCAGATTCGGCATCACGTTCAGCGATCACTTCCTTTTGCTTTTCACGCCATTGACTAGTACGTAATTAAAATGAATAATGCAACATTTGGTTTTGAATTGAAAAAGCCAATCTTACCGAACAGTTTCTGGCTCTTCTTCAGGCAACATTGCCTTATGGAAAGCCTAACAAATGATAATTTAGACACGTATACACATATATAAAAATGTTAAATGTCTTACTTGAGACGTCTCCAACTCTTCGGCCTTGGGATAATCCTGCTCAAAAGTGTTGGCACCCGTAAGATCTTGATCAGGTTTGTTACTAGTTTGAGATTGGAAAGATAAAGCACTAGCACGACCATTATCCACAGCAGGGAAATCGTCAAGAAGAGCCGGTGACATTGGGTTAGAAGTAGCAGCAGGAATGGGAGATGTCAAGTCATGAGTAGGTGAGACAAGGTCATTGTCGTTTGTACTAAACAGGTCAGCATCTTCGCCGAGGGCAGCTCTCTCGCGTGCGAGAAAATCAGCAGTAGGATCTTCGGAAGGTGTGTTGAAATCACCAAAATCTGACATATTGATATGTAGGTTTTTACAGTTTGAAAAAAAGAAGTGGAAAAAGAACGGGTTATTTTTTCTTTGTTGAGTGCAAAGATGTGGTAATGAAATATGCAGTGACGTATAGCAACAAGACGTATTGAAAAGGAAAGAGATCTATGATATCGACCCGGAACAGCATTGAAAAACCGCTTTGGGATGGTAGCTACTCATTTGAATGGATTTCGTTAAAGTGCATTTGACTTAATTTAATTGCCTTGCTTTCTCGCTCTATATTTAAAAAAGCACCCTCCTTATTTTTAAATCAATGTGGTACCTATGAAAATAAGCCAATTTATTTAGAATGGTGGTAAGCTTTGAAAAAGGTAATAATCATGGTACAACATGATACCAAATTACCTCAGTGAGTTTCAATTTTAGTCAGTGAATTGGCAATATGCGTTGTGTAGCAGTTTCTCTCAAATGTATATAAAAAGCCTAAAAAAAAGCTAAACAGAGTAAACTCAAGATTTCCTCTTCTTTTCTTTCTTTTCCATCACTCACCCTCTCTTTCTTTTAATTAACTTGTTAATCAACAAACGATAGCACAGAAAACATGAGATTTGCTTTTACTATCCTTTTGGCCCTGGCCTTTATCCAATTTACCTTTGCAGATGTCTTTTCTCAATTACAGTTCATGAAGATTACATCTCCTACAAGTGGTCAAAGTATCAGAGCCGGTGAAAAAGTGCTTATTAAATACGTGATGCAGCCTTTAGTGTATAGTAAGGGAAATAGAACAATGCAACATTGATGCCTTGTAACTTACAAATGTTGGCGTCATTAGAGGGGACTTCAAATGGTTATGCAAAGTCGTTGAAGATCAACTTCCACAAGAGAACAGGAAATCAAAAGGAAGGATTACTTGAGAACATCTATCCTAAATGGTAAAGAAACGAGAAAATTAATGCTCATCATGTTGTCATGGTATTGACCCATTTCTCCATAGTCCAGTAACTGCTCAAAATGACAAATACAAGACTCACAGCTACTACTGGACTGTTCCCGAAGGCACTGCCCCTGGCTCTTACGCCTTTGATTTCGTTGAGCTTGTTCAACTTCGCCGTAGTCAAATGACAGTATCAGAAACTGTAAAGGTCAACATTGTCGACTAGATCAAATAAAACATCATACACTTTTGCCCCTTTCTCTCTCAAGAGCAATATCGTTTTGTGCAACGCTCCTATTATTTTTTGCTGAATTCTAAAGAAACTCTAAAATAAAACTCTTTCTTTGCCATTCCTTTCTTTCTCTCTTTACCATTTTTTCTCGCTTGCCATCTCTTTGCTCAACAAGTCTATTGTATCCAATTTTGACATTTTACAGAAAATCTCAAATTCCACAAATTCAAACAACGACAACCATAGATGTCAAATCAATCATTCTGTGGATGGAACCAACAAGGGGAAGGAGGAGGACCACAGGTATTTTTCAAGCCAGTCTATATGCCAGACGACAAGTTAATTCATTGACTCTGTCTAGCTGGACCCAATCCATTCACTATCCATCAATTCTTGTTATAGAGAAACGTAAACAACATACTCGAAAACCAGGGGAGAATGTTTCATCATGATCTAATTGTTTGGTTTCTATAGTATCTTGGACGGCTTACTTCCAATTTTAACATTCATCATTTCATGCATCCTCTTGTCAATACGTCAAGAAACCTTTGCAACCAACGATTTTCTTCGATTACCTACAACGAAAACGGTCTCCATATTCCGCAGAAGCATCATCCTGCTCATTGTGACATTACTAGAGATCAGCAGCTGGGCTTTCGTGTTTGCATGGCGATTAGAGAGCGCTATTCTCGAGAAATCAAAAGATACCCGTCCACCACTGTATCAGATTGTGGATCCAAGTTTGGCATTCATTCCCCGAGTAAGTTATGTCAATGCATTCAGTGTGGCATTGCTATCGAATGCTGAATCATGTGTAGATCTACGTGCTCGCACTCGTCATCAAGTCATTCACCACACCAGCGAATCCAATGGATCCATCAAAATTCACCAGATACAGCCATCACTTCCTATTGTTCTACGCACTATTCTTTGTGTCGGCTTTGGTCCGAGTATTTGATTACTTCTTTACTGATAACAATTGGTTCATCTCTTCTGGTATTGAAAAATCATTCTCGTTGATTGATCTGTGCTTGTGCTTTACGCTGTGGTTTGTAGTCATTACCTCGCCCACTGAATTGGATCAAGGAGAATTGGTCGACTTCGAAGATGATGATGACGGTGTATTAGTTCTCCATGATGGAAGAGTGGTCAGAAATGGCCGCATACTTAGTTTGGAATCCAGTGCCTCTCCACTCTCATCATTGACATTCAGCTGGATGAATTCCTTGCTGAAATCAGCCTTCAAGACAAAACTAACAGCCGCCGCATTATGGGCACTGCCAACAAGACAAAGAGCCAGGGAAAACTATCGCTTATTCACCGAGACAAAATTGCACCAACACCTGTCAAACGCAGCGTTGATGCATCGTATCTACAATGCCAACAAGAAGATTATCTGGTGTCAATTCATCACTGCAATTGGCGCTGTGGTGTTCCACTATGCCAACCCCTTCTTTTTGAGGAAATTACTGACATGGATACAGGAGCATCATCAGGACGAGGAGAGCAGTTCGAAACAAGAGATTGGGTATATGTACTGCATTGCCTTGTTTGGCTGTAACGTCATTAGCACACTTGTTGCGTCTCAAACACTACTATGGGGAAGAAAATGGCATGTGACAATCGTTCATATGCTCAACTCTGAAATATATGCGCATGCATTGCGATTGAAATCAGCTCATCAACCACCCAAGGGGCAGACGATATCAGAGGAGCAGGGAGGCATGGATGAGGAAGACGAGCAGGAGCAAGAAGAAGAAGAGGAGGAGGAGGAGGATCATGAAGAATCTGTGCATCGACGAGCGAGTTTGATGAGCCAAGATACCGAAAGGCTCGCTGAATTAGCCTCCTATCTTCATATATTCTATACCTGTCCGCTTGAAATCGCTGCTGGTGTGATTTTCCTGTATCAAATTCTGGGTAATTCGTTCTTGGCTGGTCTTATCGTCATGGTGGTGGCATTACCCTCTACGCATTACATCAGCCGTCGTCTTATGCTGGCTCAATCGCATCTGACTGACGCCAAATCTTGGAGATTACGGTTACTACGAGAGTTGTGTGATGGTATCAAGACGATCAAATTTTTAGCGTCAGAGAGGCGATGGGAGCAAGCTATCACCGTAAGATTCCCGCTTGATACACAGTGCAAGCTTTTACTAACCAACTGATTCAAAGAATGCGCGAGATGATGAGCTCGTGAAACTGATCAAGTTGTACACACAAAACACAATCCTGGGTTTGATCTGGTTTGCCACACCTGTATTTGTCACTACGATATCGTTTGCCTGGTATACAATGGTAGAGAAAAAGACGCTAGATGCGAGGTGAGTCAGCTTCCCTAGTTCCCTTAGATTCAAGTGTATTCTGACTGTTGATACTAGCACTGCTTTTGTGAGTATCGTCTTGTTTGGTATGCTGCGTGATCCGCTCAATGTCCTGCCTCAAGCCTTCATGGCTTATAGCGATGCAAAACTAAGCTTGGGCCATATAATCACCTTTTTGAATACAGAAGAAAAGCAGCAAGACACTGACATTCCACTGCCTCCACAAGACAGACTGGCATTTACAGAGGCTACTTTTGCATGGCCATCTTGCGAGCATCTGCTGGTTGTTCCTGCATTTGAGTTTCCTCTGAACAGACTCTCTGTGATTTCTGGTTCTCCAACTAGTGGCAAGACGAGCCTGATAGCTGCTTTGATGGGAGACATGCCCTGTGTTCAGGGCCAGCTACCTACCTGCATGCCCAGAGTCGCCTACGTAGCTCAAACTGCTTGGATCGAGCATGGCACACTGCGCGAAAACATCCTCTTTTCGGAGCCCTGGGACGATGCCCGCTACCGAGCTGTGCTGCATCAATGTGATCTTTTGCGAGACTTGTCTCTGTTGGACAATGGAGATTTGACGCTGACAACAGATAAGGCCCTGTCAAGTACTATGCGCCACAAGATATCCCTGGCTCGTGCCGTCTACGCCAAGGTAGATACCGTCATTATTGATGATATATTCACTGCATTCCAAAAAGTGACATCCACATTCATTTACGAAAACTGCATTCGAGGTGATTTGATGCGACATCGCACCATCCTTGTAGCATCTACCTGGCCAGACATGTTTTGGGCGCGTGATGCTCAGTTGTTTGTTCATCTAGACCACGGCCATGTAGATGCCATGGAGACAGACCCTGAAAAGATTGTTAATCTCATCAAACTAAGAAGATCGCAGCGGCAAGTCAAGCACGAGCCAAAGCCTGCTGCTGCTACTACAACAACAGTGCCAGCAGATATCGTTGATGCCCTGTATGAGAATACAGGAGCTAGTAGCACACACAATACAACGCTGTTTGAAGAGGATTGCTTTGACGAGGCATCCATCATTCCTGACTCTATTCGACAAGAACAAGAAGACTCCAGTACAGCGGCAGATGCAGTGTATAAATCAAGAGACTATGCCTATGCTACTTACTATGCTGCCTGTGGCGGTTGGAGATACTGGACCGCTGCTATCTTGTTTACCTTGTTTGCAAGATTAGCAAACATTTCAGAGAGTTATTGGCTAAAGGAAGGTACAAAGCTTCGACTCGTGTCGTTTTGAAATGTCACTAGATTGGTCCTGGAAACAAGGCTAACCTTTCTTTTTGAATATGCAGGTATGGTCCATGGCCTTTTCTCGATACAATGCGGTTACAGTCTCCATCTCAAACAACTATGTTTTCATCTATCTGGGTCTGTGTCTTGTTACGGTTGCTTGTAACTTTATTCGCACCGTGATTCAATACAGAGGTTCATTGCGTGCCTCCAATCGCCTGTTCTTGGGCTTACTGCAGAGCGTGTGTCATGCTCCTTTGCAGTTCTTTGATATCACACCTGTGAGCCAGATCATGAGTCGCTTTAGTAAAGACATGGAAACTGTCGACTCGAGTATAGGCTGGCATGTCAACTTTTTGCTACAGACGGTGTTTGGCGTGTTTGGTGTCGTGTTCACCATTGGCATGATCTTGCCAGAGTTCTTTGCTGCTAGTCTTGTTGCAGGTACGTTTCTATAGACAATGGCTTCATGTACTGCTCATTCAGCATGCCTTCTCCTCTTTTCAGCTGCCTTGTACTTTTATATTGGCATCATCTACATCCGGGCTTCCAGGGAACTCAAGAAATTGAACGCTGATAGTCGCCCGCCCATTTTCCATCTGTATACGGACACATTAGCTGGTTTGGCGACCATCAGAGCGTACGGCGAAGAATGGAATATGATGAAAAAGATGTTTAACCGACTTGATGACAATATGCGCCCATTCTACACTCTTTGGAACACCAACAGGTACGATGCATTGACTACAGAACAAGGTAGTATCTAATGAAAGATGTATAGATGGCTGTTTGTGAGAGTAGAACTCCTAGGCACCTTTTTATCGCTATTCATTGGCATCTCACTGGTTCAAAAGATCAGGATAATTGACGCTGGTCTCGCAGGCATTGCACTGACATTTTCAACGAGTCTATTAGAGTATGTATACTGGCTCATGCGTCAATCCACCACTGTAGATATGCACTTTGAAGCTATTGAGCGCATCAATGAGTACATGGAAATGCCACAAGAGCCACCTAGTATCGTTGAGGGTTCCAGACCTCCAGCTGCTGTAAGTTGACTCGATTTGACTTGATTTGTCATGGACTGACTCGATGTTGCAATACAGTGGCCTACCCATGCTGCAGTGCAGGTTAGAGATCTCATGCTTAGCTTCAGCAGCTCTGAAGCAGATGCCATATTGAAACACATTTCTTTCAACATCTACTCGGGGGAGAAGGTTGCACTTGTAGGTAGAGCGGGAGCAGAGAAATATGCGCTGGTATCATGTTTGTTTCGATTTATGGAACCCATAAGAGGATCTATCAAGATTGATGGCGTCAACATTGCTTGGGTAAGGCTAGCCACGAAGGGAATTTGGGGGTTTGGTTCTAATTTAGATACGGTCTATAGATTGGTGTAGAAGACCTAAGATCGCGCATTACATTCATATCCAAGGACGGTTGGCTGTTGAGTGGCACTGTGCGAAGTAACTTGGATCCATTTGGTGAGTATGATGATTACGCCCTGTGGCAAGTACTGCAGAGAGTGCGATTAGCCAGACTTCCATCGGCCACCACCTTGGGTCATCAAGAGGATGAGGACCGCCCCATGATAGCATCCACCATCATCCAAGATCTGGACAAAGATCTGGGAAAGGAAGGTTGTCGATTGTCTGTTTGCGAGAGACAGCTGCTCTGTATTGCCCGTGCATTATTACAAGATTGCACCAAGCTTGTCATTATTGAAGAAGCCCACAACCTTGATCCAGCAGCGCAAAGCATCATTCGTTCAGTCATTGATCAAGAATTTGAAGAATCGGTAAGCATCCACGCCAACAGCCATCATGTTTACATCAACACTCATTCACCCTATCCTTCCTGTTAGACCCTAATTGTGATACCCTATATGCTCCATGATGTAGTGAACTATGATAAAGTCATGGTGTTTGATCAAGGCAGCCTTGTTGAATTCGATTCTGCCGTTGAATTACTCAATAAACAGCACAGTCTGTTGCAATCCTTGTGCGAAAAGGCAGGCATACTGGATTCACTTACACTAGACATGGAAATACTTACATGATAATAAATAATACTACTAATCTACATTGACAATTCACACAAGCAACCCCCTTTTTTTTTCTATATCATGTTTTTTATTAGATAATAGTGATATTTTCAAACAAAATTATTTTGACGTTTTTCTCCTCTTTCTTTTTCGACATATTTCACTGACCAAGGCGAACATGATCAATGACATAGTTGCTGATAAAAAGAACAGGTTGTATTTTGTGTGATGGTTGGGATTTGTAGAGATTGGTGTTGTTTGTGTATCAAAGTGTGCGATTTATTTATTGCTTGGAAGCTTCGAGCTTGGCATAATAAGCATCACGACGTTGGACGTTGGGGATGTGATAGAGGTTCCACCAAGCAGCACCACCAGCAGCACCGAGAGCGAGAGAGATGGTGATATCCTTGATAACTTGTTTACGGAATTTACCAGCAATAGGAGCAATCATTTTTCAGTAGTGTAAAGAGTGGGGAAAAAAAAGAATAAATAAACGTAAAGTGTGGAGTTGAACAAAAAAAAACGAAAGATTTTATTCATGAAAGCCCATGGTTGTTTCTTTGCCTGGTGACGTCGGCAAAAAAATCAAGAGGGAGATGTCCTGTCAAACCATCCAAGGTGTTTGATCTATCCTGAATCAATCACGGGATTCGATTTTGCTATCATTGGGATAATTCTCTACTTGTCCTGCAATCTGACATCAATCAAGTGTGTGTAAGAGACCAACGACGTATATCAAGCCAAGAGACATTTGAGACGGATAAAGTACGCTGCCTTGGATGTGTGAGATTGTCTATTCAATGAACGACATGAAATGATAGCCAGGATAATCTCTCATCTCAATTTTCACTGCCAATGTCTACAATATATACTGCAATTTTGTCTTTCCACCTTGCACTATTTGGTGAGAACCCTCCACAGACGATTTTTATCGGTGGATCTGACTCTCCTGCGATGCTCTCCGTCTGTATCAATGAAAATGATTCATATTAGAGCAAACAGTATACTTGCGTTACTCTTCAATAGTAACAAATGTGCTAAATACAGCGAAATTTGGATGCATTTGATCCTTGGTTTCTCGCTTTAGAAACCGCTCTTGACCACCAGAATAGCACCAAACAATTACTTTCCTTGAGCTCTATCTTGCTGACACCTTTGCTCAACTTTTTTGGGGACCAAAAAAACATGGCCAAAATTCGACCAAAAAGCATGAGGTACCCCTCATGGTTTTCATCAAAAATCAAACGATCGCGTTTTTGACCTTGATATTGTAAACTTTTGCTATGGTATGTATTGGATCAAAATGTTTCTATCAATCTAACGTAACTCTTGAGATCATCTTTGTGGGACTTTGATATGTAAAATCTCAACATTTTGGCCAGAAACCTCATTTCATATTTTTATAAGTTGCTCAACAATTTTATTAAAAGCACATACCTTACTTGGTACCATTGGATGCGCCTTGAAAAGTAGTCCAAGAATGTATTAGGAAGCATCCGATAATAATCACAATTTATATAGTCGAATTTGGCAAAATAGTTTAATCAGGTCGAAAAAAATTAACATCTGTCCAATCTTGGAAAAAGAAAGCAAATCGGGAATTCAATTGAAATAGAGTAGCCAGAATGCCTTTCTAGTCAAGACAAGCGAGATGTTTGATGCTAATATGATGGTATAGCGAGTCGTAAAGCAGTACTGCATAGCCTCTCTACTCTTCTTTAGGATTTCAGCGCGTTTCTGATAAAAATGATGATTACAAAATGCCCATCCAAGTGTGAACCTCAGATGCGGCATGCAACAAAAGGTCAAAAAACGTGGTCTAATGAAATTTCATATTGCGTTTATTTGACTCCAAAGCGGCATGTATTTGCTTGAATTGACTAATACTTTTGCATAAACTGTTTAGCTAAAGGCATCACTTGATCACCGCAAAACCTTCCCAAAGCGCCCTGAGCAGCAGCAATTTCATTAAATGAGTTGACAGAGTCTCCCATACGCTGTGTATCGCCATTGATAGAGCTGATGACAAAAGGAACCGGCTCGCAACTGTGATCACCATACAAGGATGGCGTGGTATGATCCCCAGTAACTATAACCGTGTACTAGTCATCAAATGAACACCATGAGTAACCAAAGTCTCAAGCAGCAAACTCCCCTTCCCCCCTTTTTTTTTTCTACCTTTGTATCCATGTTCTTCTCTAAACTCGATATAACGCTACCAATCATTTGATCTATTTTCTCGAGATAAAAGACCTTTTTCTCGAAATCATGATCATGGCCCGCATCATCCACTGCTTTCAAATGACAAAATCCAAAATCGTATGCGCCTGATTGTATATTCTCTAAGCATGCCTTGGCCTTTGCATCGAAGTTTGTATTGTAATCGCCTGTTGCGCCTGGCACGTGCAACAGATCCATGCCCAATGTCATACCAATACCAGCAATGATACAGGTGGGTGCAATAAGAAAGCTTTTCAATCCATGCAATTGTTGGATGCTTGGCACATCAATGCAACTTCCGCATCCTCGTAACAAAACACAGTTGGCTGGATTCTTTCCTGCTTCCATTCTTTCTTTGTTGATGGGATGGTGAATGAGTATGTCGTAAAATGCGTCTGATAGCTCGTTTGTCAACTAGGGAACATGTGGTTTAGTTGTTGAACCGCATCCTGAGAGTGTTATTACCTACTTTGCTTGTCATGATGGAAGCTTCATTATCTAGGGTGGGTTCACAGTAGACGAGAGGTTTGCTATACATGTGTATGTATAAGTACAGATGGATCAGACACTTTCAACACTGGTTCACTTACTTGTCTACTAAGGGATCTGTGCCTGTAATGGAGGATGCTAATCCTGGGCCTCTCACTCTGACGCCGCAGCGATGCTCAATAGCATATTTGACAGAAACAGAATGATCTGGAAACGAAGGTAATTTCCTAATGGTGATGGTTACATCAAAATTGGCATGTGTGTGTCACTGGATCAAATAATGCCACTTACACATTGTCGATTGCTTTGCATAAAATAGGGCCAATGCCTTCAAAATGTCGATCTGCTTTTCGCTTGACTACGATGCCTGATGTCTTGTCCAAATACGCAAAGTTGGACTAGGTAAGAGTGGCTCCAATGTTTAGATACACAAGCAGGATTCAGTGTGTACGTGTGTGCTACGCACCTTGAATGCAATATCCGATGGGATCATGTCAAGACCGGCGCCCATGCTTTCAAACGCACCTCTTCCTTCATAGTATCTGTCAAATTCAGTGAGCATACATATAGTGTATGTATACATATATATATATATATATACATCTATAGAAGCCTTACTTTCTGGGATCATAGCCCAAGATGGACATGTGAGCTGTATCAGAACCACACGCCAAACCTGGTTCCACCGGGTCTAGCAGTCCGTTTAACCCCTTATCTAAGCAACACATCACAGTTTTAGCTGATGGGGGGGCAAATGTTACTTGCATAAGAAAATAATACCACATAGTTTATCGAGCCATGGTGTATGAGCATACTGCAATGGCGTCTTTGACTCGAGATGGGGTATGTTGACATCGCCTAAGCCATCTATCAAGAAGATCAATAGTCTACTATTTTGTTTCATCCCAGTGTGGGAGGTGTTATAGCGGGAAGAAAAAGGAAAGAAAGAGAGAAGCCAGAGTTGTGATTTAAAAATTTATTTATAATTTGAGTGTAGTTATACAGTACATTTATGCTTGGGTGGGTCTCACAGCATCTAATATCATAAAAAAAAAAAAAAAAAAAACGTCAGTTGCTGGGCTCTTTCTCATCGCGTCGCTAGTCAACCTACCAAAGTAATGATGTGCCATGGCCTCCTTTGCTGTAAGACGTTCTTGGTGATCATATCTCAATAATTTATCCAAGAAATCGACAGATTCATCCGTTACAAAACGTTGGTTATCACTGGTAATAAACTTGTTCCAGGGTTTGCGCATGTGTCTGCCTAGAATGTTGTTGTATTCAGGTGCAAGGACGATAGAGTACTTTTCAGTATATCTGAAAAGTTCATCTGTACCGAGAACGCGAGCAATCTTGACCAATTGGTCGTAATTGTCATGACCATGGAAGAAGGGCTCTTTGCGAAAGATCTATCATTCACGCACACTGAGTCATTCTGCTTCCAGTCCCTCTTTTCACCATTTCAGCTTACCATGCTTGCAAACATGCAGCCATAGCTCCACATGTCCAAACTGTAATCGTATTCCTGAAAATCGACCAAGAGCTCAGGTCCCTTGAAATATCTGGATGCAACACGGACATTGTACTCTGTGCCTGCGTGATAGAACTCTGCTAATCCCCAATCAATCAAACGCAACTAGTCACTAGACATTAGCGAGAGAGCCTCCGTTGTGCATGGTGTTTCCTAGTTTACCTCTTTCTTTTCGTGGTCAATCATGACATTGTGAGGCTTCACATCACGATGCATGATACCTTTTGAATGACAGAAATCCAAAGCCTAGGCAACAAGCGCACTCCCTTAGCAAAAACATGGCCTTCTCCACAAGACAGACTCTGGTACATACCTTGAGCAGTTCATACATGTAATATTGAATGTCGTATACTGTGAAACGAGGATACAAAATCTTGAACTCGGTGTTATTCACATACTCGGTGATAATAGCAGGTGTTTTGGACTATTTGCGAGTGAAGTGAGTACCCTGCTCATCTAGTCGTTGCTATCCTTGTGTACTTACAATAGGGTCTCTAACAATGCCCAAAAGACCAACAATGTTGGTTCCGCCTGCCAGGTTTTGAAGGATTTTGATTTCACGTCTAATCTTCTTCTTCTTGACTGGCTTCAAAGCCTTGATGATACACTTTTCGTTGTTGACAATATCGATGCCTTGAAAAACCTCAGAGTATTTACCACGACCTACTTTGCGAATGATTTCATAGTCTTCTTGGTTTCTATCAAAACTTGGGTTAATCTCCAGTCGTTTTTGATGGTCTCCATGTGTGTTTACCCCCACTCGACTTGAAGATTGTCATAGTCCCAATAAGAAGTGGGCATCTTGGCATTAACATCAGCATAGCACCGGGCTATGCTTTTGCAGTTACTCGTGTTCACAGTTGAACTCATCTTTTATTTCGTAATATATTCGAGCTAATAACAGTAAAGGGAAAGTCTGCAACTAAAAAGAGAGATGGAAAAGTTTCAACTTTTTCATCGCCTTTCTCTTAAAGTCACACAAACAGTGGAAATCACACCATCACGTCACTTGGGAAGAAGAACAAGATGTTGGAGAGCGGATCTCATAGGATGTCAGTCCATTGTCAAGGAGCATCGTGCTGCGTTAGGCTCTCTGTAAGCTACTGCTCGAGGCACCATGATTAGCATGGATAGCATTAGATCCAGCCCTCGGATGATGCTTCTTTCATGATGCCATGTTGTCCACATACATCTCTCATCGCCACAACATTGGAGGCAACTTCACCACTTCACAGAGTTTTCTCACAGTGGATATACACATTGAAAGTCTATTCAAGGACCAAAGTGTCGTTGATGGCATGTCCTGAGCAATGACTTTGGCTTTCCTGTCACCAACACTACAGCAAAGGATCGACATGTCGTGATGTTATGGTATCAGACGCGCGATCATAAACAGCACACCCGCGCGCGCCCTTCTATCATTTTTTTTTTTTTTTTTCAAGGATTTGGGATGAGCCATTTTGCTTTTATTCCATACATACAACAATCAATCCAGCAACACAGACGCCATGCCATCTCGCAACGCTACATCTTGTCCTAGTCCCAAAAAACTCAAGTACAGGGTTGACAAGGTAGTGATCACACCAGAGAGAAGAGTGCCAAAGAAGAAGCTTGAGGTTCATGTCAACGAGACTTCATCTCCAGGTAATACGCTGCTTCTTTATGATAGTGATGGACAAGCAACCCATGTTGTGAATAATAGAGGCTATTCTTCACGCTTCCTGGGAGTTTATCAGTGCATTTCAGTTCTTCAACACTTTTAAGGCCTACTTTCATTTACCCAAGAGCCTTTCCATTGACAAGTTAGAACAAGCCATGATGGCAGGCAAGGACGATATGCAACAACTTGAGGATGAAGCAGTAGAGGAAGACCATACCATGCATTTGAAGCGTGAATCCAGCGTACTGAGCCAACAAAGCAACGCAAGTGGTGCATCAGCATCTCAACCTGCGCGCCACTACTTGGCTAATTTCATGGTTCACATTGTATCGCCCCTGCTGACCCAACGTCAAAAGACATTGATCAACACGGACAACTATGAGCAATTCATCGCTGATGTGTTTCCTGGTTTCACAAATTTTGCAGATATGAGTGTACTGGATAAAATCAAGGTGTTGAAGAGCATTGAAATGGCTCATGTGGAGATTAGTGATCCTGAACTTATTTCCTTGCAAAACGGACAATCTGGTCAAGAGCTGGTAATGTGGAAAGGCATTTTAGTTGGACAACCCATTGCTCATATGTCTTGTTACGTAGAGATTCGCTCCATTAGGCAGTGATTATGAGGGCTGGGTATACTGGTACTTTGGCGATGATCGTCTGTACAGGGAGATTCCTCTTCCCATAGGCAGAAAGACAATCACCATCTCAGATACATTGGAATTCACGTTTGAATTGGTGTGCTCTACCGTTCAAGATTGGAGAGACCTTGTTGAAAAGTTCAAGCCCACAAAGCGAACAGCCAACAGAGAGCTAGCTTCTACCATCACAGCCCTTGCAAAGGAAATGATCGCTAAGTTAGAGGCGAGAGAGGAATATAGATTAAGAAATGAAGCCAAGGTCAAGAGAGCCCGAGAACTGGAATTGATGCCCAGAAAGAAAAGTAGAAGATTAGAAGTCAAGGTGAGTGTGTGTGTGTGTGTGTGTGCGTGTGCTTGATATTATCACCAAGTTTCTCCTAAAGCGACTGTACCCCTTAGTCTGACGAACAAGCAAAACGACAAAAGGCACTGGACGAAGCTAGAGAACAAGCGGCGTTGGAAGAAAAGGAGCGTCAAATGAAGGCCAAGGAAGCGAAATTAGCAGCTGATAAAGATCGCAAAGAATTACAAATGGAAGAGATCAAGATGAGAAAGGACATGTTTGGCGTGATCAACGATTTTGTTTCGCAAGGCTTGGAGACAGAGGCAGACATGAAGCCACTGAAGGCTCTCATCAATTCGAAAACACCAGAAGATGAGCGCGTCCACAAGATGAAGGGCTGGATCAAATTGTTAGGGGGCACTGTTTCTGTTGAGCTTGTTGGTGAGCCACAGCAAGTTCAGTTTGTAGGTCAAGATGTGGACACTGGTAAAATCAGAATAACTTCTATGGTATCATGCGCATGTTTTACTCATGCCCAGTTTTCTAGCTCTCGAGTCTGTCTTGTTCAAGAACACCATGAGAATCTATCTCGCCACATTGCTCTTATTCAAACTAAACCCCATCACGCTTGCCTATGAAAACACAGAGGAAGTGCACAAAAAGTTGGTGTTGAATCGCTATGACGGTATGGATGCATTTTGTCAGGAACTCAACACGGCTATCGAATCCATCTCGGATGCTGCTGTGCGTGAGGATGTTATTCACATGTTGATGACCATATTCACACTTGATCCACCACAGACCGAAGAGGTCCAGGGGGCGGATACTACCAAGCAAGATTTAGCAGCTGCTAACTCAGTACCAGATGTTGTTATGGAAATGGATGCAACTGCCACCACCACTATAGCAACAGCATCTACTACTGGCGCATCTACCCCCTCTCAACCTACACCCGAAGACACTACTGAATCCCCAACAGCTCTTAAAATAGCCGACCCTGCCACATCGCCACCATTTGATGCCATTTCTGCCGACAAGTCTGCTGCTGCCAAAGACAACTCTATTAAACCACAATCTCCATCTCTAGATCTTCAAGACACCATCATCCACCCTACTGCTCCTCTTGCTGCTACTACTACTGACATGTCATCATCTACTGTATCTGTGCCTGAATCAGCTTGTTTACCTCAAATCTAAGCATCTAATAAAGACCACCTGATTACTTGAATAGACCCGGAATTATTACCTCTTATCCTTCTTCTGATCTGATGCTGATGCACGTCCTTCTGAATCCCGCTGTTCCGTGGAGATCTGACACCTATAAGTTTTTTTTTTTTTTTTTTTTTTTTTTTTTTCCGATCATTAAATTTTTTGCTCCTTTCTTTCACCTTTCTCAACATTGTTTAAATGCATCCCGTCAATCGTGTATCGACACCACCTCTGTCCACACCTGTCCGCACCAACGATAGCTTAGTGTACGATAATGCAGCAGTTGGCCATCAATTAGGCGTTGATCGCAATGATATGCTTGCACCTGGTAAAGAAAAAGAGCCACCATCTCGATTTGAGACGGGATAAAGCCTAACACCGTTCATTACAGCTGTCTCCAGAGTACTTATTATCTATACGGGCGGTACCATTGGTATGAAGCACACGCCTGAACATGGCTATATTCCTGTAAGTCTAGTGCAGTAGGGAACTTAGTATCGACACTCACAAAATGAATGGCACAGCTGCCAAACTACTTTGCAGAATCGCTCTCCAAAGTACGTCGATTCCATGATCCTGGCAACGGATCCGACTATTCATCTCTTTCACGCACCTCATCACACGACAGTCTTGATAGCCTCAACATCTCTGACAAGGCCTCCACACCCAAAGAATTCGGCACCGTCACCAACACTGTCAAGGCCATTGAGCAACAAGGGCCTCACAAGGGGCAAAGCAAGACCTTCCAACTGCCCAGCCTGATTACACCTGTAAGCTTGTTTGGCAAAAGAATTAGGTAAACTTTTTGTTGGATATCGCAACCGCACAAGATATAATTCTCACGATATGTTAGATATTCTATTCTTGAATATGCACCTCTTTTAGATTCGTGTGACATTACCATGTCAGGTAAACTAGATTATCGACATCTTGCAATCCATTGCTCACATCCAGACTCTATTTAGATTGGGTGAGAATTGCAGGCGACATCAAGGAAAACTATCAATTGTATGACGCATTCATCGTGCTGCATGGCACAGACACCATGGCTTACACAGCCAGTGCACTCAGTTTCATGTTGGAGGAGCTGGGTAAAACTGTCATCATCACTGGTTCTCAGGTACCTTTGACAGAGGTCAGAAACGACGCTGTAGAAAACCTCTTGGGCGCACTCACCATTGCAGGCCACTTTGTGATTCCAGAAGTGTCTTTGTATTTTGGAAAAAAGCTGTATCGTGGTAACAGAACAAGTAAGATCAGTGCTGTTGATTTCGAAGCATTTGATTCTCCCAACATTCCATCGCTTGTCGATGTTGGTATCAACATTGGTAAGCTACCACCCAAGCAGACAAGACAAGACATGTATTAACTCTAGCCTACAGACGTCAAATGGCCACTTGTGCTTCGTCCTACACATATCGCTAAATTCAACGTCTGCCAAAAACTCAACCCAAATGTCGGTTCACTCAGACTCTTTCCCGGTATTAACGATTCCACCATCAGAGCCTTTTTAGCACCTCCGCTTCAAGGAGTCGTTCTTGAGACATTTGGTGCTGGCAATGCACCCGCTCGTCCTGCTTTATTAGCTGCTTTGAAAGAAGCCAGCGATCGCGGCGTCATCATTGTCAACTGTACGCAATGTCGAAAGGGTCTTGTTACAGATGCCTATGCTACTGGTAAGCAGCTGTCTGCCATCGGTGTTGTGCCTGGTGCAGACATGACACCCGAATGTGCTTTGACCAAATTAGCCTACTTGCTTGGAAAGACGCCCAACAATCCAGAGCAGGTACGCAAGATGATGACCCGTAACTTGCGTGGTGAACTGACTGTGCGTGCACCTTACCAACGTTTCAGTGCCTCCAACAATCGCACCAGCCTCCTTGTCAACATCTTGATGAAGTTTTCTGCTCGCGGTAAATTTGCTGCCAGACAAGAACTCGATAGAAGTGGTGGCACATTGGATGAAAAGGTAGAACCTGAAGTGGATGAGGGAGAGGAGACCGATTTGACCATGTCGGTGGAAGAAGAAATGCTGGCTCAAAAGGCGCTGGGTCCTGTTTTACTCTGTTCTGCTGCTGGATCCAATGATTTAGAGGGCCTTAGTCTGTTGGTGGAAAGTATGGGCGAATTAATCAATCTCAACTGTGTGGATTATGACGGTCGTGTGCCACTGCATGTCGCCTGCAGAGAAGGTCATCTTAAAGTTGTAGAGTATTTATTATTGCACGGTGCTGCTATCCATGTCCGCGATCGATCAGGCCATACACCCCTCTTTGATGCAGTGGTAGAGAAGCGAGCCGACGTTGTCAGAATCTTGCGAGAAGCAGGTGCACATTTAGCAGAGAACGAAAAGAATGACATGGGCCCTTATTGGTTTAAAGCAATCAAGAACAACAATGTCAAATGGGTCCAAGTTGCTCTGGAAGCAGGCTTCAATGTAAATTGGGCAGATCCTGTTGAAGGTCGTCGAGGCATCGACATTGCTGTTTGCGTGGGTCGCATGTCTATATTCAAGACATTGCTGAATCAACCAGGAGTGGATCTCAATGCATCTGACAAATGGGGAATGACAACATTAGATAAACTAGAGTCATTCAAAAGCAAGCTGGCATCAGGCAGCCAAGACAAGCGAGTGTCTTCTCTTTCTACAATTGAGGAAATGATGGCATTGCTCACTGCCAAGTTGGCATCACCATCAACCCCTAAATAAAGCTCTCTTATTTATGTTCTCTTTTAGCAGACTTTTGAGCAGCCAATGCAGGCAAACATTGTGTATATAATCTGAGATCAGGCAATGTGATGTGGTTCTAGGTTATATGGTGATCATGATGAACAGTGGTGACTGACCATATCTGTACATTGGAACTCCGTAGAAGGCTTTCTTTCCACATTGTGATGGTCTTCTATCACCATTGCTTCTCTCTCTCCTTTAAATCTTTTCTTCTTTTGCTGTTCCAAAAGATCTATCGTGTTTGAAATATCCATCGAGAAACGCTATAGAATTGAAGCATTTGACTAATAAGATGAATCAGCAGAATCCCAACATAGCAAATGGTCAAGCGCACCAACCGCAACAGCAGACACCTCAACAGCAGCAGGTCCAACAACAACAGCAAGTGCAAAATCCATTAAACTTGAATCTAACCAACGAAGTGCCCAACGCCAACTGGAGAGAGGAACTGAATGTGCAAGATAGAGCACGCTTTGTCTCTCAACTGTAAGCGATCATTTCGAGAAAGTTGGAGATGTGAGTCTTATTATATGTGTATGTTTGATTTCGATAGAGGAAACGCTTTGAGGCATCTGTCGCCTACAACGTCAGATACTGATATCTTTGCTGCGGCCAAGAATTTCGAGTTGACATTGTACACTAGAAGTACGAGCAAGGTATGCTTGTTTGTTGCGTGAAATGTCGTTTTCGCTGATCGTGTCTTTTTTTTTTTTTTTTTTTTTTTGTAGAATCAATACATACTAGCTTACGCGAGAAAGTTTCATCAAATCAAGTTTCAATTGCAAAGCCAGAATGGAGGTGCACCAATGCTGAATGATAGTCAATTGCAATTAAACTTGAACATTGCAGGTGGACAACAAATGTCACCATTGCTTCAACAACAACAACAACAACAACAGCAGCAGCAGCAGCAGCAGCAAGCACAACAACAGCAAACTGCTTCTCCTCAAGTAGCTCCTGTGCAGCAGCTTCAAAACCTGTCGTCGCCCTTGAACATGAATCAACAGCAGCAGCAACAAAATATGAACAATCAAAATCAGATGCGTCCAAACATGTTTCAACAAAACATGATGCAAGGCAGACCACAACAACAACAGCAGCAGCAGCAGCCTCAAGGGCAACAGCAGCAACAACAGCCTCAAGTGGGTCAGTCTGCACAACCTCAACAGCAGCAACAGCAGGCTCAACAGCAAGCACAAATGCTCGCCCTTCAAAGAACCGCTGCACAAGCCATGGCTGCTGCCGCTGCTGCAGGAAACAATGGCAGTGTTGGTGCGAATAAAATCACACCAGCTCATGTAGCTGCCAATGTGAACACGGCTCAACAACAGATCCCGTTGAATGTGCTTCAAAACTTGAATATGGGCAATGTGAATCAAGCGGTTGTGAACATGTCTCCTCGCCAATTTCAAGTGTATCTTGCTCATCAGATTGCTTTGGGCCAACAACAACAGCAGCAACAACAAGGTCAGCAACCACAACAGGGTCAGCAAGGCCAACAACAGCAAGGATCGGCAGCAGATAACGCCAATTTACTTGGTATGACTTTACCTAATAATGCAAACCAAAACTTCCGTCCTCCTGTCTCGGGTGTCAATGCTGCTGCCACAAGCTCTCCCATGCAAGCGAATAATTTCTCCAATGTAAGTATCGCTACATGATGGTTTTAGGGGTTGAGAAGCTGATTAATTGCAGGCTGTGAATCAGCAACAGCAACAACTGAATCCTGAAATGCTGATGCAACATTTGCAAGCTCAACAGGCTCGTGCTCAACAACAACAACAACAACAACAGCAGCAGCAGCAGCAACAGCAACAGCAACAGCAACAAGCTCAAGCCCAAGCTCAAGCTCAAGCTCAAGCCCAAGCACAGGCTCAAGCACAGGCTCAAGCACAGGCTCAAGCACAGGCTCAAGCTCAAGCTCAAGCTCAAGCCCAAGCTCAAGCCCAAGCTCAAGCTCAAGCCAAACAGGAAGCGCAACAAAAGGCCCAGCAACTCGCACAGCAACAGGCTCAACAGCAAGCTCAATTGGCCGCTCAGCAACAAGCTCAACAACAGTTGGCCGCACAACAGCAAGCCCAGCAACAAGCCCAGCAACAATTGGCACAACAGCAAGCACAGCAGTTGGCTCAACAACAACAACAACAACAACAAACATCGCAAACATCTCAACAAGTGCCCAATGTGTCTGCAGCCAATCTTCAGCCTGGTGCTGTATCTAACCTTGGCGGTGCGCCTCAACAACAACAGCAACCATTAGGAAATCGAACAATCAATTTCCAGCAAAGACAAGCTGCTGCAGACATAGTGAGACAATATGATGAAAACGTTCGTAGTACCAGAGGTAAGACGAGTGCTCGACATGTGGGAAAGAAAAGAGTACAGTGTATTGAAAAAGGGGCTGCTGCTTCTTTTTTTTTTTTTTAGTGCGTGGTAATCCTATTGAGGGTTTATCTGATCAGGAAAAGAAAGCGATTCAAGAACACACAGCCATGATGAAGCCCATGTACGACAAAATCGACAGTTTACTGCCAGTCTTCTTGGCCCTGACATCCAATATCGAAGCAACACGACGCTTGATTTTGATGAAGTACATGTTTGAAGATCAATTGACCATGCTGGGTCAAAACAAGTATGTCATTACTTTGGATCACTTGACAAAATTGAAGGAGCAGTTTAGCGGCTACTTTTCTTGGGTGCGTAATGCTGTCGGTAACCAGCAGCAGCAACAGCAGCAGCAACAGCAGCAACAAGGTAGTCCAGCTGTTGGTACTACACAACAGGCACAAAATGTAGATGGTTTGCAACAGACTGGTACTCCTGATCTTTCTCAGCAGCAGCAGCAACAACAACAACAGCAGCAGCAGCAACAGCAACAGGTCCAAGCTGCTCAATTACAAGCACAGGCCCAAGCCCAAGCCCAACAACAGGCACAAGCTCAAGCTCAAGCCCAACAACAGGCTCAACAACAGGCTCAACAACAGGCTCAACAACAAGCCCAACAACAGCGTCAAAATACCCCTCAAATGGCCAACCAAAATCGCATGGACATCAATCTATCTCATTCCACTTCCACAACATCAACACCTACACTTCAAAATACAAATCAACAAAACGCAATGAAGCGTCCAAGCATTGACCTCAAGCTTCCTACCAACAAAAAGCAAAGAACCAACCAATCTCCCGCACTGTCTGCAGCTGGTACGCCTCAACAGCTACCCAAGGCATCACCTAACCAACAGCCAAACCGTCTTTTGCAGCAAGGTGCAAGTCCAAATGCTCCAAGCCCTGCTAGTATACAAGCAGCTGGAACTCCTAATCAAATGATGGATTTGGCTCACACTGCATCGCCTCAACAGCAACAACACATGGAGGAGCAGCAACAGCAAATGAATGCAGGTGTTCAGGAACAAATGGGTAATTCTGCTGCTGCTATGACTGCAGCGGGCCAAGCAGGCATGTCACTCAGTCAAAGACAGGCTCAATCTCAAATGATTTACCAAGCAGCTATCGCTAGCGGCCTTTCACCTGCAATTGTCAATCTTTTACCTCCTCGTGCATTGCAATGCAGTTGGTTATTACAGCAATCAGCGCAGAATCGTATCGTATTGACTCCCTCGCAACAGCAACAAATTCGCGCCATGTTGAATGAACGGGTGGAAGCTGCCAAGCAACAGTTGGCTCGTCAGGAACAAGCTCAGCAGCAACAGCAGCAACAACAGGCATTGAACAGACGTCAAAGTGGTGGTGTGTCGGGTAGCGCCATTGATCTGACAGGAAACAACAGTGCTGTTGCCAAAACAGACGAAGAGATCAAGCAAGACACCTCACAACAAGCAGCACAGATGATGCACATGTTGCAACAACAGCAGCACCAACAACAAGCACAAGCACAGCAAATGCAATCTCAAGTGCTGCAGCAGCAACAACAGCAACAACAACAGCAGCCTATGTTACAGGCTAAATTAACCCCTATACAATCACCTCGCCCTGTAACAAGCGTGCCTGGTTCTGCTGCTACTATCATTGCTACTACACCGAGTGGGACTACACAAGCTCCAATGGCTGCACTGCGTCCTGGTATGGGCCCTGACGATAAGGTGGTGAATACAATGATGTATGCAACTGATGTCTTGAAGAGTGTTGCGGCTATTTTAGCATCTGCAGATCGACCAAAGGAACCAGATCAACAATTCACAGTCGTCAAGGATGGACCTTGCAGTGCCTTGTTATTTGAACCTTATCCGATCAAGACGGATAGTGAGGAGGATGATGATGATGAGGATGACTATATGGAAGAAGCGGAGGAAGATGGCAAGATGGCCATTAACAAGCAAGATATTAAGAATACTTGGTACCAAGTCGGTATGGACACAGATGTGCCTCAGTTAAGTGAGATCATGACAGGATTTCACTGGCAGGATGACAGCCAAACACTATGTAGTGTGATTAAACGTTGTGCTTGATCTCTCTAGTGATATTCAACAAGGAATAATAAAGCATGTTGTATAGACACACGAAGCATTTCTCTGTTTCCACAAACCAGGAGAGACACATGAATTAGTATAAGCTTTTGGTCGGATTAAAAACATTTCTGAAATTACACTCAATGTATGTCGCTTGAAAGATATGTGTGGAGCAGCAACAAAAGCTTGGGTTCCAACTCGAGCTGTCGATATAAACGGAATGTTTTGGATAATGGTTACCAAATGCAATTATATTCTCCTTTTTTTTTTTTAAAAAAAAAAAAAAGAACAATAAAAATGAATGAAATTTGCACATCTATAATAACAACAACAACAACAACAACGTAAATAAGAAAAAAAGAATGTTACACATTTTGGCATGTTCGCTTTGATGGTATGCATGTAATTTAAGTTGGCAATGTTTGTATGTTTATTCTGTGTGTATGTATGTGATGGATAAAAATAGACGACAGTTTACTAGATTTGCTGGCTCAATGGAAAGGCTTTGCACAACACATACAAAACATTTTTTTAAAAAAAAAAATAGGAGGTCAAACAGATGTTGGATGGGGATTTCCTTGAATCATGGTGATTTTTTTCTCCCTGTATGATGATAATGTAGTAGTGATCTCAATTCTTTCAACGCCACTCAATTTCGGATCACCAGATTGTAAAAGGTAAAAAGAGTTACAAAACGAGGGGACGGTTCTGAAAGAGAAGAAAGGAAAATAGATTTGATTGATCTATACACAAAGGAGATAATGTATTGTGCGTATATATATTGTATTAGGGGGGGGGGCTTAAAATGCAAAGCAAATCAATAGACGACATGAGCTATTTTACTATCATGTTGCTAAATAACATATGTATCTACCTAATCCATCTATATTTCAAGGAGCTGCAGGTATATATAGATAATGTTGTGTAATTCTTCTCGTTTCTTTTCCTTCTTGCCCTTTCTTCTGCACCCTCTTCTTTCTTGTATCAAATGAATAAATCATTCTTGTTCATCTGCGTGTTATTGTCTCTTGTCTGCTGCGTCTTTCAGCCAACGGAAGCTCGTCCATTGAATCTTGCAAAAACTGCTAAAAAATTACTCTCCATTCTTGGTACAGGCACTTACTATGATGTCGCTGCTGGTGTTGGATCGTGTGGTCAAACTAATAGTAATGATGACATGGTCGTAGCTGTCAATCATGGTCAAATGAAGAACGGCGCAAATCCCAATAACAACCCGTACTGCAACAAAAAAGTCAAGATTGTCGGTAAAACTGGAAAATCTGTGGAAGCTAGAATTGTAGATACATGTCCTGGATGCGCAAATGGTTGCTTGGATATGTCTTCTGCCTGTAAGTATATACTATACGGGGGGTATGTAGTAATGCTAGTGTACTGACCATCTTCAATTAGTATTTGAAGAGGTGTGTGGAAATTTAGATCTTGGTGTATGTCAAATCAGTTGGGATTTCGTTTAATGTATACACATCTTCCAAGAGAGATGCTGGCTCATCCATATTATACATCATGTACCATTCTTCCATTTCTTTGTTTCAATATCTTATATATTATTGTTGTCTTGTACATTCCTCAGCAATTGACAACATGAACGACAGTAGCATCACCTGATAACCGCCACACAACCTTTACCATATATCCTTACATATGCATATATACGCCTCTCGTTCAATTACATAGAATTACCCGTAAAATAAAATGTCTGACAAAAGAAAGAGTTCAAATGGTTTTAATACAGAGTGCTTTTGTTATTGTTATGTTTTCTGACCAAACTTTTTCAACATTCTTTGTCATCAAAGTCATTTATTCTTGATTAAAGGGATCGTGTAGTAACTTGCTCTCTTTTCCTCTTCTTTCTAATTCAAGTAGATGAAAGTGATCTTGCTGCAGGCGATTTTTACTAGTGCCCTATCAGCGATGCAAATGTTCATATGCCAATTCAGATTTTAGCTTTTTTTCTGTTTGCAGAGAGTGACTTGAGACGTTGTTAATGCCGTCTGTATATTCATAAAATGCTATTACAATCGTTTTGGCTATCTATGTGGTGATGAAAAATTTTTTTTGCACAGGTGCACGAAACAGTACCCCTTTTGTATATGTATTGATTACTGTATTTAATTTTGATAAGGTCGTTCTAATAGAGTAATGACAGCTATCATATGCTACTGTATCATAATCTCAACTTTCGATTCAGCGATATTCAAATGTTTAAAGAATCCCATAGTAATACACAGTGAGCGTACCGTGTCGAGATCGAAAAAGTTGAGCCTACTTTTCAAATGATTTAGAAAGTATCAAATGGTGTTGTTGTCGATGAGCACTGATTTATAGAGCCTTATTTCTCAGTTTATTAGAATATTTTTTGCATATTCTATCGACAGCAAATCCTTACAAACGTTTCAAATATATGATCTATTATCATAATAAGTGCACACATTGGTAAGAGAACAGTTTCTAGCAGTGCTCCTGCAAAGGAAATCAACATTTTCGGTAACCCCTATATACTGCTGATATCGGTAGGCCAACATCCCAAAGCATTAAGAAGGTAGCCTAGGCATTTCAGCTACAAATAAAGACTAAATTATTCAATTCACACATAAGGCTAGGAAGAGAGATAGACTCTTTGCTTCAAATCACGATATGGTAAATCAACATCGTTCAGCAAGTAAACCTTCCTTTAGAAATTGGGAACCAGTAGGATAGAGTTCCTACAGCCTTTGTAAAACATAGTACTCTTCAGGAAGTATTTGGTTAATTGGTCGATTGAGATTGGTGTTCTAGTAACCACACCATCACAGCTCAATTAGCCATAATAAGTTCGAAACGTATGAATATTCCCAAACATCTATCACTCAAACTTTATAGTTCCCTCCATCATTGAGAATGAGTAACAATGAATGTCTTGATGCGGCCATGGCTGAATTGTGTAGAACTAGTCTAGTCCGACAGGCTCAACAATAATGTCATTGACGCGCACATCTTAAATTTACTACTGTTTAGAATAACAAAATATAGACAGAGGAAATACATTTAGAACTGAATATATTTATGAAGTTATTCCAAGATTGAAATGAGGATCAAAACTAGTGTAGATTTCGAAGGTATTTATAGTTATTTGACAGTGCCGCAGCAATAGGACCTTGACCTTGAATGCGGGATAATTGTATAAGCCTTGAACCAGTTAGCGAGGATGTGCTGCGTAAGAGCTCATGAACCACCAGTCAAGGACAAACAACAAAGGTGATCCAGGATAGAATGTTCTTCCTAATAGCTTTGACGGAAGAACATTTGTCGGAATGGAAACCCACTTCCAGGGACGAAAGGCCATAGGCTACTACTCTCTAGGAACCAGGAAATAGATTAGCCATTTGATGGCACCACTCATGTTCCTTTGTGCTGCTTGAATAAAGATCTCTCACTTCTACTACGCATCTCTGCTCACTCTCAGATCCTCTTTTGTAATATACAACGTCTAATACATTTGCCTCTCAGAGATGATCTATATCCTAAACAACTACAATCACGCATTTTAACAAAGAAATACTCTAGCCTTAGAAGTAGAATAAAGCATCTATCACTAAGAGATTGAGTTCTGTACAACGCTGAACATCTGGATCATTAGACAAAACTGTGATTTCCTTGCTCCTTTGGCAACACAAACTACTGCGCCTTACTTTTTGGCCAAAGTCTGACTAAATCTAGCCGTTTTGAAGCACGAATAACTCATGCCACAAAGCGTTTTGAGCGCTTGGGATAGCACCACACGCCTCCGTTTGACCACGCTTTACTTCCTGATGCTTTATCTCAATTTTTTTGGGTTGTTGCAAATTCACGGAAAAACGACGATTTTTCATGAGTATTAGCAGGGGAAAATTCTTGAAAATCAAACGATCGCGTTTTTCACCCCAAAAATGAAAATTTTTCTATGATATATATCGGATCAAATTGATCATAAAAATGCAACGCAACATTGGAAGCTGTTTCTATGAGGCTTGTATATGCTAGATTTTGACATATTCACAGAAAATCTGTTTTCATATTTTTGCAAATTTCTTGTTATTTTCGGTCTAGAAGCTGAGTAAAATCAGCACCATTCGATGCGGCTTTTTTAGATCTCCAAAAATGCATTAGATAGTTGGATGTGGCAACGACAGTTTTCATAGTTAAATTTGGCAAAAACGTTCAAAGGATGTCAAATCAAGTCAAGTTTGAAGACGAAAATACCCACTGCACAATCACAAATTAAAGTGCAGCAGTTACGGCTGCCGCGGCAGAAGACTGAGACCAAATCTACTAGCCGTGACGTTGAATAGGGCGCTCTCTCATTTTTCCATACCCTCCTTTTTTTTCCCTTTTTGCAAAACGCGTTTAGTATCAAACCACATTGGTTTTGGAACCCTTTTGATTGAAAGTAACCCTCCAGCTTCTGATAACACAGTCTTGCACTGTTAAAAGCACTTGATACTGTTTCTTTTAACTGGAATATAGCAGGTACCGTTCGACAACGAGCACAGAAAGACGTAGAACAAGCACTAATCGAATTTGTTTATTAGGTTTTGAAAATTTTTCTGTTTGTTTGATGCGGGTACTGCTACCATTACTTCTCTGCTATCTCTGCTGTTTGCTTCTATGGTTTATTATGTCTGGTAGCTGCTTCTTTGGTCTCCATCTCTGGCAGCTACTTCGTTAGTCTTTGTCTGATCTCTGGTGTCACTCGTTCTTCGGCTTTTCTACGCTGCTGGTGTTGCTACTGGTGTTGTTGTTGCTGCTGCTGTTAATATGGTCTTTCCTGGTCTACTGTCTTTGGTGCATGCTCGTTCCCTGGTCCATATTCGGTAATTGCGTACACTCTGGTCTATCTACGGTGGTGGTAAGTGGTAAGTATCTTCTTTCTTCTGGTCGCAATGATATAAAACTTCTTTGAACGTTTATATTGTTACTTCCTTTCTCGTGATAATGCATTCGTGATGTTTGCCTTGTTGCGCTTTCTTCTTCTTTTTCTTTTGTTGGTGGTGTTTCCTCTGTGGCTTCACATGAAACAACATTAGTCATTATGTCGTATTGCAAACTTATAATACCACTATTGCTTTTGCAGTTATGCGTATTTGTGCCATGTTGCTTTACATCAGACTATTACTACCATGCACGTTGCTCATGTATGCATTTTTCTTGCAACAACAACGAGCTTTTTTGAACATCTTTGATGCTGCGTTTGTTATGCGTTTCTTTGACTCGCTTCGTGTGAGTGTCTCTTTTTTTTTTGTCTACATACTACTATACTCTTATAGTATTATGTTCATTTGTTCCTTTTATTATGTTTTTTTGAAGCATATTTTTTTACGTTGTGTGGATGTGCCTATCACTGAAGCTCAACAAGACTTTATCCGAGGCTAGGAGATGGATAGGCCGCCTCCACTTGGTTATCACTACTTACTTTAGTGATGATTGAGAGTCTCAACGCCAGAATCTAAAGCTAGGTGGTGTAAGTAAGGCATGCTCTAGCACCTGAGGGAAATTTGATGATAGTAACAGCTATATTGTTATTATAGCGGCGCTTAAAATTTTGCCTCACATCAAAACAGAGGGAAACCCTCGCAAAATTTTTTTTAGGTCAGCGGAGTTTTTGAGCAATCTGATTGGCTAAGAGGTTTGAACAACGAAGGTCTACAGCTAGTTGATCTCCTATTAATTTGTCATTTAAAGCTGTTTCGTTTTTGTAATAAAAGGGTATCCAAACAAACTATTTTGTATTAATAAATAATAAAATAAGATGCACTTATTTGATTTGGCATCCATTACACATTCTTATGAGATAGATATTTATTAAATTTACTATGTGAAGATGCTTAATATTAAGTATTACTTGAATACAATATTATTTACGTTGTTATTACAACAGTATTTATTAAGAATGATTGCAGAGTATTTATACGTTTGCAACTAGCTTGTAGGATTAATGATGATAGAGATCAATAGATGCTGCTGTTGCGATATCTGGCAAATGTTGTTGACGTTTGATTTAAAGTGGTAATCAATGCAAGAGCACTGGCCATAAGGGTCGATTTGAGTAACCTTGGTGGGCTTGGGTGAGCTATCGTCATAGCATGATTTAATGTAACCTTGATGGTTTAAAGTGTGATGTTTGTTATTGAAGTATGGAATCCTTTATCTGGGATATTGTGCAACTACGGCAGCAGGGCATAGTTTTTATATTTGAATATGCTTGTTATTGATCTGATTTTATTTGGATAAAGATACCATCACTTATTACGACCATCATGGGTGTGATTGAATACACTGTGATCAGGAGTGATTCATTCACACGATGTGCGATATAAGCATGCATCTTTACTTTAGTATTTTTAAATGGTTTTTTGATGTACATTTGAGCGCTTTCATTAATAGATCCAAATAGCATGAATTTGAATGAGTGCTATTTGATGAACTTTGGTTTTCAATT